TGGGAAGAGGTTCGTCGGGAAGTTGCAGGAGACAGGAAGGTGCGTGAGGGTGGATGAAGATCTGACTAGCAGAAACCGCGTGAATGTCTGGACATGTGCAGGGGCGTTTCTTCTCCTTCGATCTTATCGAGCGAGCAGTTGAGAAAAGGGAGGGGCGCAGCGGGTTGAGGCGCGATAAGTGGTTCGAGGAAGTTTGGTCCCGGTGGGACAAAAATTTGACCGGATCCTCAGTTGGTGCCTGGTTTTACTGATTGATAAAGACGACGGGCGATCACTGCTGGGGAACGAGGTTGATTTCGGGGCAACTTGAGGCGAGGTTCTAGAAAGATCAATGATATCGTGATCGAAGATAGAGAGGCAAATTTGAAGGACACATGACTGTTAGAGTTGAGTATGCAACGACAAGCAGAGCGCAGTAGAATGGATGTTGGATGGATGGATGGATGGATGGATGGATGGATGAATGCATGGATTGCATGGAAAGAACTGACTGACTGACTGAGAATCTCGGCCAATGTTCGGTGGAGGCCAGCCCCCAGTCGTATGATCGCGGGCCACGCCTCTTCCGGCAAGCCGACCCCAAAGGGGCAATGTTTCTCATGACAGTACGTAATTTTGCTCCGCTGACAGAGCGGACGGGGCGGAATTGGTTAAATTACCGTCACAATGGTGTATTCAAAGCCCGTCGCCTCCCTGTCTCGGCTATATTTGGCAAGCCTCCCAACGATCCATCATTGATCATTGATCCATCATCCATCATCCATCATCATGGATTGCTCAATCCATAAGGAATAACTTGAGAACTTTCTAAGAATGGACGATCACTGAACATCCTATCTTTTCGGTACAGGCACATTTGAATCTCTCATAATCGAACAAGGCCCATCTCAACCCGAGAAATCCTTCCAACCCGATCAGCCCAGGCAACCGCGCTAATACCGGTCCGATGCTCAGCCCACCTTTTTTTCCATAACGATCAATTCAACTTCTCCCAGGGTAAGAATCCGGAAAAGGGGTCCTATTCTGGCAATTTCTTGCTGAGAGACTGTCCTCGATTTCTTACTTGCATCGTATCAGCTGCCTGCGACCTGAGTTTGAGGAATTGAATCAACCCCACCGTCGAGAAGCGGGGCTGCCACAGCCTGGGACAGTCATGACATAGATATATACATCTAGCAGTAGGGATGGGCTCGACTGGACGCAAACCATCACGCTTTAAGGCTCAATGATCTTTCTGTAGTTGCAGGAAAGATACGACGGGCAATGGGCTCCGCGGCGTGGAGCTAGTCTCTCGAAGATCGGATTTTATGCTCTACATTTTAAGGAGTTATTCTCAGAGAGAACTGTTTACGCCTACCAATACTGCACTTAAGCACGCATTGATCCTAGGAGTTATTCGACAGTGCAATTGCTGTCACTGCCGTCGTAGAAGCAAGCGTCATTGTCGAAGATATTGCGTAGAGACACCCAATGGGACCCATCGGGCTGAAGTGGAGAGGAAACCCATCGCTGCAGGTCCTGGGCCCTTAGACAGTTTATTAAGATTGCAAGAAGCGCACGTATGGGGTTCAACGAGAAGAACTGTAACCAAAAGGTATCCACAGACTTGTCCAGGCTGGGTCAACTTTTACCCTGCCTGGCTAGACTGACACCTTCACCTTCACCGCCAGTAATGGTCTACAATTGAGCCCCAACGCAAGCAAAAGACCAAATATGAGCGCCCTCTGTATTTTTACTCTAGGAAATATGTACACCTGTGCTAATAATCTACTTACAGTGCCTTCTCCACCTCTGCCATCTTACCCATCACCTCCTGCACTGTGACCTTAGCCCCCTGGGCAGGCTCCTCGTACGGGGTGCGAGGCTTCAGTTTCTCCTCCGCACCCTCAATCCCCGCTGCCACCGCCGAGAAGATGGCCGTGGCGTATTTGGTGGACGCGATGCCGCTCTTGCACGGCGACTCCGCCAACGCCGCCTGCCGCTGCAACGCCAACGCCTCGTCGACCTTGCCATCCACATACAGCTTGTAGACCCGCGCGGCGGTCTTGGGGAAGACGTTCGCGAAGGCCGCAATGCACCCGGCCGATCCGACCGCCAGCCCCGCCAGCAGGAAGTCGGATTGTCCGCCGAACACGGCGAACTGGTCCTTAGAGAACGTGGCCGCTAGCCGGGTGATCTTGCCCACGGACGCGCAGGTCAGTTTCACGCCGACCACGTTCGAGACGCCCGAGGGACTCTGCGCCTCAGACTCCCGGACAATCGCCGTGATGGTCTCCGAGTCGAGATCCACCCCATTGCACACGCCGGGGAAGTTGTACACCACGACGGGGAGGGCGGATTGACGGGCGACGTCGGCGAAGAACCGCTTCACGACGGCGGGGGTGGTGGCTTTGCCGAAGTATGCCGGGGGCAGCACCAGCAAGTAGTTGGCACCCGCGGCAGCCGCGTCGGAGGCGAGCTCGAGGACTTGTTTGGTGGAGTGGGCGCCCACGCCGGCCATGAGGGGGAAATCAGGCCCCACGGCTTCGCGGGCGGCGGCAATGCATTGGTATCGTTCTTCGCGGGTAAGGAGGAAAGCTTCGGAGTTGGTGCCAAGGATGACGAGCCCGGCCAGACCTGTCGTCGACAGATATTTATAGTATTGTTTCTGGGCAACCAAGTCAATGGTGTCGGTCGCGTGATCGAAGAAAGTCACGGCTGGACACCAGACACCCGCTGGAGGGATATGGGGCTGGGCGGTCACGTTGGGGTTGGAAGTGGAGCCCATGTTGACGTCAATCGGCTCAATTCTGCGGAACTCGGGGATGACTCAAAAGACGGTGATGATGATGATGATGATGATGATGATGATGATGATGAAACTTTGCTGATTCTCATTTTGGAGGAATTAGAGCGCATTAGTCGCTTAAGTAGTGATGGTGAATGCGGGGGGGAGGGAAAAGAATCCGGTCGGGATCCGATACCGAGTTCTTATCAGCGGGGAGAGATTCCGAGTAGGGAGAAAGAGAGAGAGAGAGAGAGAGAGAAGATAGGGAGGGAAATGAGGAGAGAAGGAAGGAGATTAGATAGACTAGACTAGCTCAACAGGAAAATCCGGGGTAACTAAGGGAGGATAAGGATAAGAATGAAGCATCTAAAGAAACCCCTTGAATCTTCTTTCCCCTTCAATTTCCCCAACCCTTTCTCCTTTTCTTCTTCCTTTTTTTTTTTTTTTTTTTCCTTTTTTCTTTCTTCTTTTTCCTCTCAAATTTTTCCTCCCCGTGACCTCCATCCATGGCACTTGTTTTGAGCGTCACGTCACTTGACCCATGAGTCAGATCGACAATTCGATGGTCTCATCGCCGAATCAGGGCCAGTTATTGGCTCACACCGCCGTTGGTCACGACGAGCTTCCTCTTGGGGATTCTCATTACGTCTTCAAAAAGACTGCAGGCTGCAAGGCCAACAGCCACTGGCCTAGGCATGAATAATGAGAATTCGAATATGCCTCATAATCCCCTTCTCCTTTATTCCATTTACGAGTTTGCATTCCACTTCTTCCACTTGTTCCACAAATACCCCGCATAAAAGGAAAAGGGGGGTTCAATGCGTTTCCACCTCTTGTTCCCCGGATATTTAACTGCCAATGCCCCCGTGGTACTGGGGGATGTGATAAGAACAAACAAACACAAATGTGTAATACCGCAACCATGCAAGCACCGCAAGAGATTTACGATCTGGTAAGTGATGTGATGCAGTGCACCTCAGCCGAGACCTCAGCCGAGTCGCTTGAATGCTAAGTGCAATCAATGCCTCATAGATCGTGTCCTTTGTGGATGACGTCGATAGCCGGCCGTGGGCCGCTTCGACACGACAACAGAAGATTCAATCCGACGAGCTTCGACATCAACTCGCGACGTTACGCCTGGTCAACCGCGCCTTCTGTCGCAGCGCCTCACCGCGACTGTTTCGACACCTTCGCGTCGTCGCCAAATCCGCTCAGTCCAAGACCTCGGAATCGCCGCTTGTAGGCCTCGTAGCGCTCTCGCACGGCCCCTATGCCGACTACGTGCGCCAACTAGACATCGGGCTCGAGGACACCGAACACTCGGAAGAGTTCTGCTCGATGTTCCTGGAAGATTTGGCAGGGGTGCTGCCCTCCTGCCTGTGCCGGCTGCCCAAACTCAAGGCGCTTGATTTCCAGGGGGTTCCGGGCTCGTTACCCGAGGCTACCACCCGAGACTTTGTCAACACCGTCATCAGCAGCCTCCGCTACGTGCCACTGCCGAACTTAACCGAGCTGGACATTGCCTTCCCCATCACCCACGATTTCGCCCAATTCTTCCCCCACAAGACCCTCAGCTCCAGCGCCCTGCGCATCTCCACCGAGCTCGTCCTGCAGCGCCTGCACCACCTGGGCCTCCGCATCACCGCCTCCCCCACCCCCGAGCACGCGCAGCCACAGCAACATGAATCCCCCTCTCCGCCGCCCGCCGCGACCGTACACACCCCCGGCTTGTCGAATCAGGCCCACGCCCACTGGCTCTACAAGATGATCCGTCACGCCAGCAATCTGAAGTCGCTCGCCATCGCCAGCGCAGACACCCTGGATCTGGACGGGGCTGCTTTCAGCCGCTCCCTCCGCCTGGAATCCATCCAGCTGCGCCGGGTGTCCATCTCGTCCTACAAGCTGCTATCGCTGGTCGAACAATGCAAGGACTCCATCCGACACATCGAGCTCTACCAGGTCAAGCTGAACTCGGGCGAGTGGCAACATGTGCTGTCGCGCATGACGCATCTGCCCGGCCTGGTGAGCTTCGTGATCAAGTCGTGCGGATACTCGTCGACGGGCGCGGGGGCCACCTACTACAACCCGCATGGCTCGTCGGGGGCGGTGACGAAGACGACGAACTCGACAGAGATTCTGGCGCTGGGCGCCTTGCACCGTCGGGTCCACGAGAACCGGGTGAACTGCGGGCTGGCCCCGTTCCGCGAGACGGAATTCCGCCGCCGAGTGAGGAGTATTTGAGGTTTTCACTGTATGTTTTGACAACATCACATTAGCATCAGCATCTGTGGCATAGGGTATGCATCTGCATTAATGGGTAAGGTTATGACAAAAAGAATGATTAGCACAGATAAAATAGTTGAGATAATTGAAAAGTGACAATTGAAATGTGACTGGATTTACGTATCACCACCGCCTCTGCTCTCTTAGAGTATCCTTATGAAGTCCCCATATCTTAGAATTTCAAATTCTTTACGGTATTGAATTGACTAGAAACATTTAGACAAGATTGAAGTACTTCTTTTATTACTTTTAGAATATTACATAGTGTATCGAAGATTAGCTTTTCTCCCTTTATCTTTCTCTCCTTTTCTTTTCTCTTCGTTTTCTTTTTTTCTTTTTTTTTTTTTTTGGTGAAAAATGCGATGTTTAGGAGATGCGTGGTATTTATCCCCGCCAGCTCAGCATGCAGCCACCTCCAGCCACCATTGGCAGTTGTCCTCCTGCACATCATGCAGATCACCCGGGAGGAGAATTGGGTAGGTATCATGGAAAGTGGTACCTGACCCCGCGGAACTAAACCCCGGACGTAGCTTTCCCCTCCATACATCAAGTATACCTGGGCAACCCAACACCCTCATCCCCCTCTTTCCACTACCTCCCCCCCTAATCCTCAATATATCCCAAACCCCACAAGAAGAACATCCCACCAGCCCCCAAAAAGACTCAACCGACCCAAAAGCGCCCCCCAAAATGACCAACCTCCCCAAACAAAACCCTACAACAACCAGCCCCCTCCCCAACTACACCCGCCACATAACCACCCACTCCGACCAGCAACTCGCAACCATCCACTCCACCACCCAGGGAGCCTGGACGCCCGTCGAAGCCAACACCTTCGCCTTCAGCGTCGCCTACACCACCTCGCGCTTCCCGGCGACGCTCACCGGCGACGCCGACCTCCGCGCCCACGAGGCCCTGCTGGCGAGCAACACCCTGGGGCTGGTCAACCCCGGCGGCACCGTGTGCCGGGTGGTGGACTTCGCCCCCGGCAAGCCGCCGCTGATGCACCGCACGCGCAGCCTGGACTACGGGATCGTGCTGGAGGGGGAGATCGAAATGGTGCTGGACTCCGGGGAGACGCGGCGCCTCAAGCGGGGCGACATTGCCGTGCAGCGGGGCACAATGCATGCGTGGCGGAATCCCCAGCCGGCGGGGTGGACGAGGATGGTCTTCGTGTTGCAGGATTGCGAGGCGGTCGAGGTGGGCGGGGTGGTCTTGGGGGAGGATTTGGGCGGCGCGGGGGAGATTTTGCCTTCGGGGGGGAAGGAGGGGTGTTGATGGGGATGGATAGGGGTTGAGAGGTAGGGGGTGGGGATGGGGGTAGGAGGAAGCGGAAGAGGGGAGGGGGGATTCTTATTGTTTATGTTTGGTGGATGGGAGCGGCCATTCTTCTAATGCGAAGTCTTTTACTATTGTTACCACAATGCTGCATTCTTTGCTGGGGAAATTGTGATGGGTCTCCTCTTCTTATGAGCTTCTTGAACACCTTCTTGAACACCCTCGTAAACTTGCAGAATAGCAAAGTCTCTCTAAGTACATGTTTGAGTAAGGAGAGTAGCAAAGCCCTTTCTAAAGTCCTGTGGGAATAGGCAGGGTAACAACGCCTACCTAAGGCTTGGATAGAATTGAAGTAGTGAGATAAGTTGTATTATCTTGAAGGTATCTACAAACAGTTCATACCCATTTGATTCTCTAAAAGATTGCATATATTGATCAATTTACTAAGTCAAAACACTATGGAAAACGTACTTGAGATAAATGTCATACTGATACTGAAGAGATATAGTTAATACCTTGTTCTTTGACTTACTTCGAAGGATGCTTGGAAAGAATTTGATGAATACCCCACTTACAGAAGTAGGAAAAGGGCTTTGCTACTCCATTGGAATTGGAATGTGCGCGAGAAGGTCCTCGTATCTCTAATAGGGCATCAGTAAGTGATGCAGGAAAAGCATTCAGTGAGATCAATTGGGTTTGAGGGATGGCGGTAATTATTCGCTATAGGTTTGCAATTTAGGAATAGGTTGGCACATGGCTTTGTCATGCTTGAAACGTGCTCAGCCCTATACCATCATGACATACAAGCGGATATCTTCCCCGAGTCCTCAGCCGCAATGCTGCTCATCATGACATAGATGGTCTGACTCTTCGCGTGGCAAGAGACCCTCTTCCCCAGCTTTCTGATCTCCAGCTCTCTCTCATTACCTTGTTTCGACTCACATCAGCAATTTCATCCTCAATGATCTACCACCCAGTCAACCTTCTCACCAGAACCACCAACACCCAAGATAAAACTAAGCAAGCACCTAAAAAGATGCCTGTTCCATCTGTGGCCACCTTGGCCTCCAGAACCCCATCCCTCCCCTCCTCACCCCATGCGCATCGTTTCAGCGTGGGGAGAAAACACCCTGTGAATCATGATCTCGTCTCCCCGCGCCTGATACCACTCGTCCAACTCAAGAGACCTGCCGATGAATATCCCAGCCAGCCCATGGATATTTCCTCTGACCTATTCAAGCATCCCAACAAGGAAGAGCTGGACATCATGTGGCAAAAGGCCACCGAGGAGATAGCAGCTATGCAGAAGCACGAAGTTACAGAAGTAGCAGCAGCCGCAGTGACCAGCACCAGGAAAAACTCCCTGTTCTCGAACCTCGAGCATTACGAGGATGAAGACCTCGACGACGACATCAATGACCTCATTCATACGGGGCGGGCTTACTCTCGCTGCAGCGATGACCTGTCCGAGGATCAGTTTTGGCCGGCCGAAGAAGACTCGACAAGATCCCGGACCATGCTGCGGTCGACCGCGACCACGCCTCGCTCATCAGGCACGAGTTCTATTGTGGAGACAAATCTCGAGTGCTTGACGCATGAGGTGCTTCAGAATTCTCAATATCAATGCGATGAGGATGCAAGCTCGGCCTATCGAGCCCACAGAACCGAGGCATACGTGCACACTGTTTCCTCCTCCGCGTGGTGGGCCAGTCCCTCTCCCTCGGACTGCCCTCTCACCGACAAGACGGACTATCATTGCATGATGGAGGAGATGCTTCAAAACCATTATCAAATGGAGCTGGAAGCGGAGAGAAGGGCAATTCGTCGAGCCATCAAAAGCCGGCCACGCCTCCACACAACACCCTCACCCACGCCGTCCATCGGTCCCGCTCCGTCGACCCGCTTTCTCGCCGAGGAGGACTTCCTTCTCTACCTCCGGAGAATAGATGCCAAGCAGGACCGAATGATGACGGCCGCGCAGCGCAACTGGCCCATCTGCGAGCATCAGCAGACCCTGCTCGGCATCCAGCAGGCCCTGCTCCAAGAACAACAGACTCTTATTGACGACCAGAAGGCCATGATCGCCGACCAGCAGGCCCTACTGGCGGACCAGAAGACCTTGCTCGCCGATCAGCAGACCTTACTCGCGGACCAGCAGGCCCTGCTCAGCAACCGAGAGACCACAACAAGGACATTGCAGTGCCAGCAGGGCTGGAATTCGGCCATCAGTTCACCCATGCTGGCACCACCGTTCTCAGCAAACAGCACCTGCGCTCCATCCAGAGCCCCTACACCCTCCACCAACTGCAAGAATCACCGAGCCCCCAGAAATCCCCGGTGTCAGGCCCTTCTCATCAACCAAGAGATTGTTACAAGGACCCTGGCGAACCAGCGGGATTTGGCTCTGGTCATCGATCCAGGAATGTTAGCACCGCCACCCTCGGCCAATAGCACCAGCGCTTCGACCAGAGCCCCAACACCAACGTCCGCCGACAACGAAGACGACCACCAGCAAGCCGTCCCGTCGTGGGCATCCACCACATGGCTGCCGTATCGCCCCAGGGTTCGGGTTTGATTACCTTATGTAGTGTAGCGTTTTGCAGTCTATGTTTAGCTTAGCGAGTTGGATCTTTGACAATTGAATACCCGTGCTTTTTGCCAATGAGACTAGATATCTGATCGTAAGCTGTTAAGGATGTTCGTGATTATCTGTTCGATGGTGTGTGTTCATTCGACTTGTTAGATTATAGCAGGTGCAAAAAAACACGGTAGGCTCGATAGTTAAGCACTGCTAGTAACGGCCACTGTATTGAAGATAGCCATGCCCGTAAAAGTAAATGTGTAGATCGATGCCTACCAGGTACCTCGGATTTAGCCATAGGGCAGATATATCCAATCCCGCTGGAGTATAGTGCCAAGGGTGCGGGCCACCAATGCACAAGCCTTTCATTTACAGCGCTTGAGAAGTGAACTACCATACAGCTTGCCTCTCATGATATTCTCAATCTCGAGCGTCATCAGCTACTGCGTCAGCTGGTTAACAGAGGGAGACTATGGTCTGGGTAAAAGCCGCATTATTTTTCTGGCGGTCAGTTTCGGTTTCCAACCGGGTCCGCGCAGCGACCTCGTAGGCAGGAAGCAGGATGCACAGATCCAGATGACGAATAAAGCAGCGTCGGGGTGACCTTGGGGAGACAATCCGGCCGAATTCAATCAACCGGTCAGGAGTCGGAAGAAGATCGGAGAAGGTATGCCTCTCGATCAGCGCTTGCTATTTTCTACACACACCGGCATAAGAAGCCAAAGCGCCCGGGCGTAGATAGACCAGAATTACAGAGAGAGTTTTGGCGGGTAAAGTGCAAATTCCAGTCATGTCATCTCTTGCAGTGCGAGAGTGCGAAGCAGAGCGAGGATGCAACAGTTGATTGGAGGCAATCGGGCTTAGAAGCAGGTATTCTTGGTCCCTCAGGCTGAAGGCTTCTGAATCACTTGTGGCTAATCAGAGCTAAGTTGGACCCTTTGTAGAAGACGAACCAGGATCCGAGTCAAGGGCTGTAGGCCTGAAGAGGCATTGCAATCATTTATCTGAGCCCCACCCTAGACACTCAGTCTCTGGAGGGATAGTAGGGCGCTGTTCAAGGTTTCATGGTCACAGTACTGAATTCAACTACATAGTACTGGAGTATGTAGGGTAACTTACATGAGTACTCCAGAGCACTGTTGACAACGTAGTCTTAGTCTCTGGATACCGTGTCTAAATAACAGTCAATTCATCTAGATGACTATCAAGAAGAAAGACAGGTTGAAGGCACAGAAGGGTACAACAGCATAAGTAAGGTAGTGGTCACCAACTTCCCCTTCCACTTTCAGTATGCACCATGACAGTCATTGCTGGGTTCAAATCCATGAAAACAGTCGACGTGAACGAGTGCAACGATTCAGAAACCCAGCACATAGTCTCTCTTTTGACACCCCAATCAATCACAAACGTAGTCTGACTTTCTTTCCGAGGTACGAAGTCTCCTGTCAATCGTGATCTTCTTAAATAGTCCTCAATTCATCATGACACATGCGGGTGCGTTGTCTGCAATTTATACCAACCCTATTCAGAATCTTGCGGTGTTTTTCGGAAGGGAATGAAGTTGGAAAAAATCCTAGAAGAAGGTCTAGTGTTGATAGGCCTAGATCTTTTCCATGATTTATAGGATGATCACTACCAATCAACTTCTAATCTAGGCGTAGAATGCTGCACATTAGGCACAACTTCATTCACACTCATTGTCGGAGATCCGAACTCATTTCAAAGTCTTGGAAAGCTCTAACGAAAAAGAAAAAAAAAGGGAAGTTGCGGTAGCTTAACATAGAGGTCCGGGTCCAGAGGTCGTCGAAATGATCTAGTGCACAAGGACGTGCTTGCGAGAAACCAAGATGCCTTTGTATTAGCCTTGTGGCGTTGCTGCTAAACCTCTGAAGCCAAGTTCATGTTCTAGCTTCTGTGCGCCAGTTTGCTCTTATTCCAACCCCAGTCATCACAGATTTTGATCTGAAGCAATGATTCCAAACAGTGCTCTACATCGGCACTTTCCAGTACTATCGCTTTCATCTCATCTCTCCACCCCGGCTGCCCAGCAGTCTCATCTATCCATCGCGACCATTTCTCAACAATACCAACTGCTTGTTGAGGAGATGTTTGGAACCATTCCGAGTGCGGGTGCAAGCATGCTTCGCAGTCAACCCTCACTCGACAGGTTCTGAGATCCGCGTGACAAAGGATCTCAATCAGTGCTGGACTTTGGATCCGTCTTTCCAAGTCAACGGGACGAGGGTAGATTCCCGTGATCTGGCGGTTACAAGTTTCACTCCATTCATCCATCCGTTCCTGTGCGGTTTTCTCGGTATAACCAACCTTGACGTAGCCTTCATTTCCCTTGATCTCGTAGACATAGACATAGCCTCCCCCCTCCTCTCCCTCTAAGTTCTCAAGCACAACTAAAATCCGATCCTGGTATTTCTCGGATGACCAATCTTTCACGTTCCAGCTCTCCGATGAGAGAATTCGAAGTGGGGAGGTATCGTAACCCGTCACTACGTGGCATCAACAGATCTGTACACATATATATCATGGAAGGAACAAGACACTGACCTTTCCAATGCTTCGCTGTCTCTCGCAGAGTGCTACTCACAGTGTCCAGTTGATCTGGAGTGGTTTTATTAGTTGCATCTGCCGTGTCTGGCGGGGGCGGGCTTGATTCTAGGAGGCTCCGGGCGGTCTTAATGGCTTTGATCCAACCAGCAGCCTTGCTTAAGCACTGGTTCTTATGGTAGCAACAGAATGCCGCTTCTCTGAGATGCTGGACCCAGATTTCCAGTACTTCGTCGCGCAGGAAGACCTGTGGTTTGAGGATCTCCTGAATGCTATGAGACATAGTCTGCACCGATTTTCCACTTAGTTTCAGCCGGCATTGCTTCTTTTTGCTTGAGATCCCGATACAGGTTTTGCTGGCTTCAGGAAATTCATCACGAATGCGCTTAATGGCCGAAGAGATTTTTGCATCGAGGTCACCCAACGGAAAGAGGTCTGACCAGCTCACGACTCGGCGCTCGAGCGCACGACCCTGGGCCAAGCTGCGGAGGGCTAGATGGAGGAGTATTAGGGAGAGCTTTATCTTTCAGGGCTCTCGCGGGTGTGTCCTTGCGTTCGCTCTTGACAACACCAATCTTTCTTTCGGATAGACCTGGTGAGGTAGGAGGGCTAGGGGCGAGTAAAAGAGGTAGTGGGGCGGAAGGCCGAGGGGGATTCTCCATCCTGATCTTGTCCGACTTGGGTTAAATCGCTAGCAGAACTGATCAAATAGAGAAGTCCTGAAATGGGCTTATATATATGTTCACTGTCGCCACGGTAGCCTCGAGGGCACGCGAAAGAAGCAAGCGCAGACATGGAGGAAACGGCTTCCTGGATACCATTTATAGTGATTCCCAAGTCAGCCTCGCATTCCCCTGGTAAGGTGGCAGTTGGAGGAAACGTAAGCTGACAGTTCTCTCGAAAGCCACGGCGCCAAGCTGCTAGAGGATAATTGGTCGGAGCCATATCTGCGCTTCGGAAGAGGCGGGGCCAGGAGGAACTAATAAGACCGTGAGCAAGGCGAACTAAGTATATCTCTACAGCATTAGTAGTATCGAATGAAACTAATGCCGCGAATGTCTGAAGGCAGTACGAGGTACCGTGGCATTGCACCTCAGCGCTAGCATGTGGCAAAGGGGAACAGGGAGGGAAGGAGCTTTTACTGTGGTAAAACTTGTTGAAAGCGCGCATGGGAAGTCCACTTGAAGATTGTAAATTCGGCTGTCCCATTTGAATATATATATATATATATATAAATATTTATGAGAAGCGGAGAGAAATCCGTTTTAGACAGAAAAGTGCAAAGACAGTGTTATTATGCTGATGGACAACAATTAGACAAAGACTAAATAAAAAGTGCAAGTAAAATACATACAACAGAAGGGATTCGCTGGTGGTCACCCACCCAACTACTAACCTCCCGGCGTGTGGCTTGAGTACGGCTGAGCGGACGGGAAGCCCTATTTTCCACACCCTGTGGTCGTATGTGCTGAGATGGAAGATAAGAAACCTTATAACCGGAAAGGAACTTGGGGAGACGAGAGATCGATCAACAGTCTACAACAACATACAGGCAAAATGCCAGCTTCATCTCATCCCCAGATGAAGAAATCGTTCAAACACGTCCGCCTTAACATCACCTTGGACGGAGAACAAGGCGAGGCCATCATTGTCAAGCTCCAACACATTCTGCAATGCCTGTTTGGCCGCCGCCAACTTGACCTTGCGGAGGCGTTCATTCCCCTGGAAACCATAGACCAGCGACTGTCGATGCAGCCCACGGGCGTACTGAATCTGTCCGTCCTTGGATTCGCAGGCTTCGAAGTGGGTGATTGTCTCGCGGAGGGCGTCACTGTGACAGGAAGAAGCATGAGATGAATCAAGTCAGATGATATGACAGGATAATCTAGGAGCTTGGAAAATATACTAAGGTGGGGATACTCACTGTGCTAATCCAAAATTCTCTTCTTTCATGTACACGTCGGCCAGCTTCAGGTGTGCCAGGGCAACGAGATTGGCTTCTTCATCGACCGTCTGGTTCCCTAGTCTAACTATTTTCTCACCCTCAAGTGCTGCTAGTGCTAAGCCATAGGAATACTTCGCCTCTCGATGCCGCGACAAGGCGAATTCCGCGTCGCCTCTGGCCAAATGAAATCTACTCATGCTTGAGGAACGGAGCCTGCGTTAATTCCATCCCCTGTTACAGATCGATCTGGGCAGTTGGGAAAGCTTACCTGCAAACATCAACTTTAGACTCTATCCTCGTTTCTATGTCGTCGGACTTTGCCGCTAAGTCGCAAAGCAGATCGACAGCCTCCTGGGCACAGCCCTGCTGGATCAGAATCCGGGCGAGATATGTGCTGAACACAATGTAGCTGGTAAGGGCCTTGGATGATCTCTCACAAAAAGCACTGACTTGATCACGCGCTCGAACGATCGCGGCGAGCGCGCGGAAGGAACTTTCTATCGTCTGTGCCGCGTACACACGAAGTCCATTCTCAGCCACTTCGGTTGCGGTGGTGATGAGCTGCTGCACCTGGACGGAGTCCGATATTGGTGCCCGGATGTCATCTCCCTCCTGCAGCCTAGGGTCAACTTGATGATATTTCGGCTCGACGGGCTCTGCTTCAAGCATTACCTCTGTGGGAAGTGTGCTAGGATTGACCAAGCTAATGGCCAGTGGCTTTGATCCTCCAACGGCCGCGTTTTGCTGCTCCTCTGCTAATTCCGTTCCTCTCTGCGGCGCCTTGGACCCCGCCAACTCACAGCCGGGGCTCAATGATCCTGAAGCCTGTGAGTCATCTAAACCACCATCATCCATATCATTGTCATCCTCGGTCTTTTCTTTGCCCGGTGATTGCTGCTCTTCCGCCACCACATCTGGCAGCCAGATGATCTCAACCTTGAATGGGCCGGTCTCAGTTTCCAGCCCCATCAGCCCCGAGGTATACCCTTTCAAGAAGTCCCGCACCTTTGGATGAACCATGGCAACGCCAGGAAACTTCGTTCCTTTTCCGGAAGACGAAGCACAGCGATTACATAAAACGGAGTAAGGCTCGATCAGCATCTGATCGCAGCCTGAAATACCCGGGAGCTTTATGGGCGGCTCTGCTGGGATGTATTGTCGCGTGATCGTGGCCGAGGCATTGCGGTAGATCCCGGCGATCTTTGACAGCTCGACCTCGCGGTCGACGGGGTCATCTTGAATGACGCAAAGGCCATCGATCCAAAGGTAGCGAATACCGAGCGACGTGGCAATCCCGCATGCATCGCGGTAGAGAAGTGGGAGGTCAGCCACGCGTCCCCCATTGCTGCAGACTTGAAGTGTGGATCTGGTGAGCGTCACTGGCATGGATTGGTGATCGCCGTTCTGGTCGGTCCAGCTGTAGCTCAGCGCAACGTAGGAGGCGGGCTTGCCCGGGGTATCAATCACTTTCCAGCCAGCGGTGTTATCGTCGATAAGCACGAGTCGTTGTGGTCGCTGGATATCATCTTCCCTTGTCGTCGCGGAAGGAAGTCCCTTCTCAGTGTGCTGGGTCGCCAGTAAATTGTGGGCCAACGCGACCAAGTCCAGATCCTCTTCGGCATTTTTCAAGACATGAGAGTTATACCTGTTCCATATGAAGAGAGTTAGTAAATACTAACAGGGCGGTTAGGATCTCGCCAACTCACCAAGCACATAAGAGGATGAGCTTGATAAAGGGCGTATAGTGCTCCGGGCTTGTTAGGGTTGCAGAGGCAACCTCCGACAGGCGGTGGCATTGGGTGTGGATGCGCGAGAACTCGGGCCAGTAGCCAAACACAACATTTTTGAACTTCCGCTTGGAGGGCCACTGCGCAAGCAGCAGTTGCACCGCCGTGGTGAATGCATGCACCTGCTCCTGAGTACTGGTCAGATATTGTCGCAAGGTAGATTGTACCACTCGGTGCATTTGTATCGATGAATGGGAGCTCGCGGACGAGCAAAGTCCACTTTTCAGGGACTCGATTCGGGCCCGGTGGAAGCTCTCATCTGTGATCGGAAAGCCTCGGATAATTGGGCTGCATCGTTGCGCCTGAAGCAGGGTCGACTCGGGGGTGTCATAGGGATCTAGGTAGGAGATCACACTGCACAAGCCTTTTGCTTCGGGGGAGAGTTGATCAATATTCAGACAGGCCGTCAGCAGCGTGGTTGACGTGGAGTGGAGCCGATATTGCTTGCGTAGGCGCATCAGCCCAGGATGTTCACTCAGACTATCCGTAACGCCACCCTCGAGGTCATTACGTCGGCTGGAGTGAAATTGAGACTCGTTCTGTAGTGCTTTGCCAACCATGCTCACTGCAAGCGGGTTGCCCCCGAGCGAACGCACGAGACCGAGATCCTGGACTTGTTCCCGAGGGAGACCTGTAATGGTATGGACCAATTCGCTCCCTTCCTCCTCGCTGAGTGGGTTCACAAAGAATTCAACTAGAGAGCTCCTTGGAAGAAGATCGAGGTCGGGGGACCGACTAGTGACGAGAATATTTCCATGATCACAGCGTGGTATATACGCCTGTAGGGCTTCCAAATTATCAGCATCATCGAAGATCAACAGCCATTCCGACTTGTTTTCTTGCAACCATGACGTGAGTCTCGCATGGCTTTGCAAGTGACTATGTTTCTTGTGGCTCTCTAACAGTTCCAGAGCGTAAGCAATCTCATGGAAGGACTGCGCGATACTCTGTCGATGGCTAGCCTGTACCCACATAATTGAACTGAAACGCCGGCCATGATGGTGAACGTACTCACGGGCAACAGCCGTCTTGCCAATGCCCGGCATACCAGTCAGAATGGCTGCTCTCTGTCTGGGAATCATAGTCATCTGTGGTGTCGTTCCTGCTTGATCCTGGAAGTATGCTCGCAGAGATTCCAGGGTATCCTGCCGCCCGCAGAAATTGGGAGCTCGGTCGGGCAATCGAATCTGTGATGGCAGAGGCCGACCAGAACTTACAACAGGCGTCTCACCCGGAAACCCATTATTGCCGCTGCTGTTGCTATGATCTTCATCTCTAGCATTATGGGCGGCATTGGGGGGCTCTGGGCCGGCATCTGTGTGATTGGGAGCCATTGTGCCTGTCTTTTCGCCAGCAGAATGACTGTAGCTGATCTGGGCATGTGAGGTCGCCGGTGCTGCGCAACCAATATCTACTTCCTCGCCTGTTCCAACTGTGGATGAATTCACTGAGTTTCCGATGAGGATCGCCGACTGCAATGTCTTGGTAGGTGGCGATTTTGTGGGCTGATGTGTGTCGCATTCACCGCTCGATGAATCAGGCACTGCGTGTGTAATCTCTTCAGGGTTGTCGGATGAAAAGTACACATGCAGTCCTTCGAAAGTGGCACCAGTATTTGCATTTTCAGTGGTCAAGCGCTCCTGAATTGGGGTTACGGGGCACACGTGCGAGTCCTCCGTCGATGAAGACATATCCTCCGTCTTTCCATCACGTTCCCCAGCATCGTTATCCCTGATCTTAGGTCGAGGCTCCCACTCATTCGCAGCAATCATGTCGAGTTTCAGACGATACCGACTCTGACGATGAAATACACACCGCTTCTGCTCCCCCTCATCTTCCGACAGATTCTCGTCCACATCAGCCGTCGTCCACTTTCGCACGGTGACACTTGCATCGCACACGCAGCCTTCGTAGCGTGTCCCCGTGCGAGTCCGCAGGCGGAAGAACGACTTGGCCTTGACTGTGGCAGACGAGATGTGGAACAGACGCGAGTGGAGAGTTATATCTTCGAACCGATCGGAGATGGCTTTGAGGCAGCACAACGCTTGTTGACTGCATATCTGCAGTGGGGCTTGATTGGAGGAAAGTAGGAGGAACTTTTGGACGAGGATTGGCCATTGCTCGCGGTTGGCATCTGTCAAAATCGGGTCCCCGATCATAACTAGGGTTTCGAGACAGTCAAATAGGTTGGATTCCCCATCGTGATGTCTTCTGGGGTGCGCCTCGATTATAGCCTGTCGTTCGTTGTTTTATCACATAAGTGAATTGTCATAGTCGAGGTGCGTCGAAGGAGGCACAAGCATTTACATACCTTCTTGAGGATAAAAGCACCCAGGCGATAACCTATTGTGATGAGGTTACAGTCGGGCGACTAAATTCTCGAGATATTTGATGATAAGCATCACGAAAGCCTTGCCATTAGCGAAAGCAGAAAGATCATACCTTGACTCGATCCTTGCAGAGTGCAACGAGCTCATGGTACAGTTCTTTCCCAGCCTCGCAGACCAATTCCCACGACTGGACAGATTGAACTTTGATACCATGCCAGTAGATCCAAACTTCCAGTGAAGGCTTGAGTGCTGCGAAGCAGTGCTGGATCCATTCCATGAAGTGTGGGCATGTTTGTTCGGCCAGGGAATCTGCATCGAGCCCCGGGACCACGACGACGCTTTCAGGGACACATCAGCAGAGATACCTTGAACTTACACCGGCTCACCGGAATTATCATCATGCATCCCGGATAAGAAACTAACACACTACATTGACTTACATCGTCTTTGGATGGTCGTCAGGCTCCGCGGAATAATGCCTTCGGAATCGTCCCATTCTGACCCATAGAATTAGGAAGGAGCCCTCCTGGTCTCAGGCAGGGCCAGCCATAAAAGCAATTCGGTTTCCTTTTTCCTTTTCGCTTTTTCTCCCGAGGGGGAGAACGTGTCACAAAGACAGGTACGCTTTTCTGTCGATGCTGCCTGGGAGGCTTACGGCTGGGTGTTGCACGAGGCACAGCAATTGTGTGGAGGAGATTCGGTGTCAGCCTTGTCTCGAATGACGAGGCTGTGCCTTCGACAAAGCATACTGGGGGGCCAATCTCGCGCAAGATAAACTACACTCTCCGGCAACTTATGCAGATGGTCTGCAGCAAGGGAGCTGGTGCTCGCACAACTGGTTGGTGGATACATTATCAGGGAGGGCTATCTGAGCGCCTGGAGGATCCGACGAGGCGCAGCGAACGCCACACAAGCTGTCCTATGACACATATAATAACTTCGCAGTAGAAATTAAACCCCAGGCCAGATATAGAGTCACTACATAGGACAATCAAAGACGTGAATTCGGTACAACTTTATGAGACGTTGGTCACGGAGACATGACGAACCTGCCAGCAGTTGAGCAGGAGCACGAACACGACGAACCTCCTGACAACGGTGGAGCTCGATTCCTACGATCACGAGTCCGGTCTCTGAATCGCAATTCATTACACTCGGTCGCCTACATGAGCCATTTGGCAAGCTATCTCGATCAGCCTTCTCAGAAGCCTTCCCTACAATATGTTCCCGATCGAGCGGCCGTCTCATGTACGCGGAGCGACAATGTCTTTCTCTACTCGTACTCTCTTGCCCATGCTGAACAGCCAGACCCCCGGGCATATCAAGAGGTGTCTCAATTCCAATGTGCTGGTGAAGACAAACAGGCTGAGCTCGTCTTCCTCACCGGATATCCTTCCCCGCAATGGCTAAATGCGGTAGTGACGCGATACGGAATCGATCATCGATTCTTACACAGGCATCTCGACTTCTTGCCGACCGGGCAGAGAGACTGGTATGCGGTCCCCAGTATACCTTCCCGATCCCAGCAGTTTATACAGATCGTGGTGCCATGCATCGTATTCACTGGGCATGAGGGTCGGTTTGTGTCGGCGGAAGATCTCCAGCAGGCTCGCTTTGCATGTGCGGAGCTGCTGCGACAAAAGTCCAAGAGCTTCTTCGGGCGGACAGACACTCCCGCGGGTCAGACGATTGTGCGCGGGGTCAACATTCATAGTGGCGAGGCGATGGTGCTGGAGCATGCCATTACCGTCTGTGTGCGGACAGACGGCGAAGCATCGAAGAGTAAGGGACCACACTAACCACGTCGTGTGTGCATGTGAAATGTTGAGAAGCTGGAAGCTTACGACTAGTGTGAAACTCCCAGTCATAGTGTGGAGCGATGCAGCCAGCGATGATGTCTCGAACTACATTCCCGTCCCTGACGTGAACGCTTTCCGGAACGTGGCCGGTGCTCTCGAGTGCTGCCCGGTGTTTTTCGAGAAGCATCTTGATACCCAGCCATCGGGCTCGAGAAGCAAAGCCTCTGGCAGTCTAGGTAGCAGCGTGCAAGCCTTATCGGTCTTGGCTACTGACTATGGACACACGCTCGAGTGGAGTGCCGTGCAGAAGGACCCTGTCCTCGCGCTCGAGGAGCTGTTCGCGTTCCAGTCCGTCGCGGCGATGCAGTACCTGAACATGCTGCGCAAGAACATCACGCAGGCCATGCATCGCACCCAAACCATAGACGTGGCCTCATTGAACATGGAAGATATCTCAAACTTCGAGTATACGAAGGCCGTCCTGGTCCGATGGGCTGCGCACTTCCGCACACTGTGCCAGGCGCTGGACCCTGACTGTCCTGGCAGCCCCCTCGCTCCACGATCTCATGGGATGTTCCCCTCACGAGAAAGAATGTTGAACCTGAAGCGGCGCGACCTGGACTTCCTCGCCGCAGAGGCTCAGGTATTAATTGAGCTGTGCGACAGTGGGAAGGCGACGATCATGGGCAACTTCTCCATCGCTGAATCCAGGCGTATGGCGGAGGAATCGCGGCTGGTCGGGCAGCTGACCAAGCTGACCAACCGTTTGACTTTCATCTTCCTGCCGATCTCATTTGTCACCTCGGTGTTCGGGATGAACTTCAAGCAGTTTGGACAAGGGCCCCTGGATATCTGGATCTGGGTGGCCGTCACGGTGCCCTTGCTGGCGGTGTGCGTGATTCTCGTGGAGTGGCGGATCTCGATTCGAGCTTTGGTTGAGAAGGCATGGGCCAGATTACGACAACCTTAATCCTTAGGAGGTACCTAAATGATAACGCTCCTGGGATGTAAAGTGCTCAAAGTCGGCCAGGGTGGGGACTGGGCTTGACTTTGCTAGCTTTGGAAATTGTTGCGATACAGGGCAATTCTATTAGTTGTAACTAGATATATGCGGGCGTAAAAGCTAGTGTTTACATTAACCCTAACTCGCATCTTCCCTCTCACGCTTCGAAAGTCTCTGTAGAGTCATTCATCACTGCAGACCCTGTCGACTGCCGTATACCAATGACGCAAAGGGGCAGTTTGATAGCCAGTGTGTGAATATTTACCCATAGTATCACCGTATCGGACTCACAGAAAATAAAGACAGAAGCAGAGTTCCAGCCACCATTTCCTCCCTGTACTCTTCAACCATCCCAAGTACTTCGTGCATATGAACGTCGCAAAGCAGAGACTTTCAACCTTCCCTAACCGTCTTCCATCAACCAAGCCCTCAGAGCCTTACGACTTCCATCTGTTCTTGACGACCTTTGTGGCTCTCCTGGTGTTCTTGGTGTCCCTAGGATCGTGGCCTAAGACTATCCCTGATCAACAACTGTAATTATCCAGCCCCATTACAAAGCGAAACACAACACCGGCTGAGGCTAACGTGTGAGCAAACTCTGAGTCTAGATGTGCATCTTTCTCGGCCGAGTGCGCTATCCATGCCCCGAGCGATGTGGATATACTCAGAGGCGGTATAATTTCTAATCATTCGGATCGTGATTTGAATGTTTGGACGACTGTTGATGGTTGGACTGTGCTATAGAAATGGCTGGACTGGGCTTAGGAAGCCCCAAACGAAAAGGACACCTAGACGTGGACCTGCCGAGAAGCGGTGTTCTCGATACCTGTTGACGGGAATTTCTGCTATTGCTGTTGGCTTAGAGTTGATTACGCGGGTAGAGCTGGGCGGGGGCTTCAATATCATATCTTCATCCTGATCCCAGTTGACTTGCGACTTGCCTATGAGCAGTGTGAGTGTACTGACCTCCGCAAGTCCGGCAACTATTACTAACATATCTTATCTTTAGGTATTTTTAACCACCTACACCTATGCAACCCCCAGTCAAAGCACTCAACGCAGCCACCATGTTTGTAGTAGACACTAAGCTCCATTGATGACATTCAAATCTGGAGACTAGATGCACCAGACACATATTGTGTCACGAACACGAGCCTGTCGACTGCAGACGCATCTTCTGGTCGTCCCACGCAAGTACGCTTGGTGCTGTCTTATGACAGGACGGACATGAATGTGAAGGTTAGAAGCCCAGATCGTGCAGTGCCTTCGGAGCATAGTAATGGACTTTCTTTCAGGGAATAGCATTAGGGCGAGACGTGTTTCCACCGAGCTTAGGTCACCCATGTTCCTCATCTTTTAGCATGTCCATAACAACCATTTCTCCTCGGGCTGTGATATGAGTGGTGACAGGCCTCGCGCCTACCAAGGACTGAATCTCGAAATCCTCTCTGTCCCCTGCGCATTAACGAGAAATGAATCCTTCCGCAATGAGGATGTGGGCAGAGACATTCTCGGTGAACGTCGCGATTTTCGGCGAGACGGGTCGTCTCTTGTTCCACCGGCTCAGGGGAAGCAGTACGATGCGGGAACTGCCCTCCCCACATGTGACTGTGCTTGACGGATTTGAAAGATGCTACTCGTCTCTTCGGCAGTACCATGGTCTGGCGAGGGAGTATGCTGTCCGCGGTAAACCATTCCCAAACCTATGGCCGGGTTAGGGCTTGCGGGTCCTCAACCTTACCCGTGCCGGACGATGAACAGCAATCAACTGTGTGGATGCGGATGAGGCCAACAAAAGAAAAAACCAAAAATATGGAGCTGCGGGGAATCGAACCCCGGACCTCTCCCATGCTAAGGGAATATTATACCACTAAACCACAGCCCCAATTAATGTTTGAGCTACTCGCAAATGTGTCACCCAAGCATTAGTTGCTAGTCAATGACAACTGCCATCTTCCGGACCACTTGTCGATCTCGGATATTGGGATGCATGTAGATCAATCATACAGTAACATGAAAAGAGCTTTGGGCAGAAGAGAAGACTCTTCTTTCTATTGAGCTACACTATAGGCATCTACCCATAGCAAAACAGATTGAAGTGCTTCTGTAAGGCACTTTGTTGACCATCTACCCCGTGGCTAGGTTGTATAAATCCAGGGGACAACTGCATTGTTGCATTGTCTGAGGAGCAACAGTACGCTCAAAGATCAAGCTGGAAACTTCAAGTCGAATGACGACGGATGCTAAGTGGCACAAATTGCGCTTGCTAAAATACCCAGAATATACCAAAATTGTCTCTTTGCAGGGTGTCACAGTGTTTTCAGAATGTCAGTATACGAGACCTCTTGGCAGACCCCGCAACCTTGACCCTAAAATCCGTAGTTCAACCCTCCATCCATGATTCTGCCTGGTGTTAGGGAATCGGCTGCCTGTTCTTGAAAAGCCACCAACTCACCTGGATTAAAAATAATCAGTATATCTGCTTGAATACCATAAATTCGAAATCTCAACCTCACACATTCCTTATCCACACAGATGATAAGCAGCAATATCAGTAAGGATGATAGTCCACCGCCTCAAAAAGGCCCATAGAGCTCTCTCCGCCATCATCCCCGCCTGCTGGATATTTCATCTGTTCAGTCTGATGGTAGCCACCAACTTCAGCCCCGGCGCCACCCCCAGTATGGCCCATCGCCTGGCCTCGTCAAGCCTTTTCATCTTTCTTGTGTGCCGGTTGATTGTCCACCTCCGCCCGAATTACTCCCACCCCACCACCTCAAAGACAAACAGCAACCATTCCCTCGACCACCACCACTGTACCACCACTACCACCAGACTCATAAACTATATCGCCAACCTCCTCCAGGGGCCCATGAACAAACACCCCCGCAAATCCGTCTTTCTGTTTCTGATCTGCAACGCAATCCGGCCTCGCGACCTCCTCTCCGCGGGCGTCCTACTATGCACGCTCGGCATGTTCTCCTTATGCTGTTCCTGTTTGTCGTCCTTGGCTTGGATCCGACCATGACTACCACCACTGACGCCCGCGAATTGGGACTCCGCGCCTGGACCGTGGCCTCGCCCACCGGGAGGGAGGATCTGGCCGACATGTGGCCGCCCGAGATAACGCGGAATATGGCGTTGATTTACGAGAGGATGATCGAGGGAGGGGGGGGGGGGGGGTTAACCCGGACACGGCGGTGCAGTGGATGCTCACGTGGTGGTTTGAGGTCCTGTTGGGTCTGGCGTGGTTAGGGTTGGGGTGGTATGTGCTGGGCCTGGCGGGAAAGGCTCCATGGCGGGTTTTGGTGGGTGCTCTATCCATCGGAAGGGTTGCTCCTCGACAGTCGGTGGTAGGGGATGAAGAGAAAGGTATTTCTGGGGTTGTTGACGAGGTGGAGAATGTCGAAGGTGGTGGGAGGCAGGGAGGAAAGCGGGAGACGGAGACGTTGAGGTTTCAGGGCGAGGCGAGGGTGGAGTAGTTTGTCGTTATAGACATCAAGGGGGTGACTGGGTATTCGTGGCTGCACAGAATGTTATCCTTCAGTGAGTTTTGTCGCAAGAAGGACTTCGCAGTTGGTAAATCTCTTATCTATCTCGGGCGTCAGTGAAGTGTGGCTTTTGGCGGTTTGAGGGTTGATTAATCGGCATTCGGAACAACTTGTGTCTAGGGCATCGGAAACCCGATTCTCTTTTGAATTTTGACTTCAAGGCTCTACATGTTCTTTCCTTCCTTCTTCTTATAGTTGCCCGGCGTTTCGTCACATGAAGCCACTGGTTCCTTTGAGTCGACCAGTCGACTCCAATTTCATGGTTTTCAGCTCAGCCTTGGAATCCTCCAATTCCTGGCGCTTCCGGATTGCGGACTTGCCCTTGTGAGGTTACATACAACTCTAACCTGACGCCATTCAACCTATGCCCAACTTGTCGAAAATAACTTCCTCGGTAATGATACACAATAATTAGACCAGCGGAGTCACGTCCGGCTTCTTACCGCACTTGGCCTAGATTCACTTGTGGTCGATAGCGCCCTCATCCGCTAGGAACCTTGGATCGCATGAGTATCGGGTACATATGTGCCATCAAGGCTGCTCCGTTCCTATCCAGCTGAAATGATTGCATGTTCTTTACTGTGTTAAATTGTACATAATGGGCATTGCATTTAAGGTTGTAGGTCGGATCGTCCAATTGACGGTAGTCGTCGGTTCCGTCCCATACCACTAGGATAAGCATGCAGCCCTTGTTGTGGCCCGCCTCTCATAGTTCCGACATATAACCACTAACTAGCTCATCTGTGGGCGCCAATACCATTTTCACAGTTGTAAACAGATCTCACCTTGGTGTGTGCCTGACAAATCAACCTGCCATGCTTAGCGATCAACATCCTTCCGTGATTAATCAACATTCGCATTGCGGTATAGGATTACCAACGCCAAAATTCCAGCATATCAAGGCGCTTATATATAAAGCACCTGATTCAACGTCTGTATGTACACAAAGTTCATTTCAAATTTCATTGACCATTCAATTATCTACTTAGTTACGCCTTACCTGATAACAATGACTTCCTTACTCAACCAAGCCGCATGGCAGCCCAAGGCTCGCACCAGATCCCTCCGAGTCGGTCCAGGGCCAATTCCTAGCCCTAATGAACATGAAGTGGTGATCAAAGTAGCCTACGCAGCGGTCAATCCGACCGATTGGAAGGTGAGCAAGCCGCCGTGGAGGATAATAGGTATCTTTGGAGAATAGCGTTCACTATAGCCATTTCGACCACATAGATGCAAGACACCCCGTACTTCGAGCTCGAGTACCCATTCATCTGGGGCAACGATGTCGCGGGAACCATTGTGCAGCTTGGCTCCGAGGTCACGCAATTCAAAGTCGGGCAGAGAGTAATTGGGTGCGTTCAATTCAAGTCCCGCTTTTCTCGAACAGAAAAAGGGCATATCTCGCAGCGGCTTTAAAACGAATACTGATCCAATCAAATGATAAGACACTGCGACTCATTGCTCACGCGTAAAGCCACCAACGCAGGCTTTCAGCTCTACACCACCGTGCGGGAGATTCTCGTCGCGGAGGTTCCAGACTCCCTGTCTCTCGCCAACGCGGCCGTGCTGCCTCTGTCGGTGTCCACCGCCGCCAGTGCTCTCTACGTGCAGCTGGATCTGCCTTTTCCTTCCCTGAGTCCGAAGAGCACGGGCAAGCGCATTGTCCTCTGGGGCGGGAGTTCATCGGTCGGTAGCTCGGCCATCCAACTGGCGGTCGCGTCGGGACTCGAAGTGCTGGCTACCGCCAGCGAAGCCAACCACGATCTTGTCCGGAGTCTTGGCGCTTCGCAGGCCTTCGATCACCGGGACCCTGACGTGGTTGATCAGATTGCCAGTCTTGTGAGGCAGGGAGATTATGTTGTGGACTGCATCGGGAGTACAGATACTCAGGCGAAATGCGGTCAGATCCTGGGGAGGATAGGGGGAGGTACGCTCCCGGTGATGCTATGGCCGCAGGGTGGGCTGCCGGAGAACGTGAGGGCAGTCTTTGGTGAGTCTGCCGATTCTTTTTTCTTTCCCGCTATATCACAATCGGTGAATATGCTGACGGATGTTATGCAAGTCAACGGTCTGGACCCGGGGATGGTGGATCTGGACGTGGGCAATGCCGTGTGGCGGAAATTTATCCCTGAAGCGTTGGCAGCGGGGAAGTTCCAAGCGAAACCGGACCCTCGTATTGTGCCTGGTGGGCTGGAGAAGGTTCAAGAAGGAATAGATATTTTGCGCCAGGGAGTGTCGGCTCTGAAAGTTGTGATAGAGATCTCTCGGGAATGAGCATAACGACAATACTACTATGGTGTCTAGAGAAGCAGCTCAGGTGTCAACCGAAATAGTTACCTAGATATGTACAACGGACGAGAGAATATGAACCAGTTTCCCGTCCATTCGGCTAAACACAGCCGTTCCGGCGGCACCGGCGCTCTCCATCCCCGAGAATCAGACGGGTGGAAGGTGATCCGGCGGCCCGAGCCGGTGTAGCAGGCCAGGGTACAGAACGCCATGGCGGCTAACGTTACGGTCACCTCGCGATATAACGAGATCAAAGGGGCGTGTGTCCAATTCGTTAGATATGGGTTTTCGTCTTATAGACTATGTGTAAACTGGCTTCCATGGAATATCCTAACAACCGCGAGATCGAATACTTAAGCATGTGCGTTTTGTCGACCTAGTTATTTCATACTTAGGTAGTTTCTAGGCTTCTAATCTCGGGCTGATCAGGCTTCGCAAGAAATGGCAGCTCCAGCGGCAAGCCCACCCACAGCTTCGCCGGAAAGAGTTGGGCGGAGTCCTCAACTGCTGAGACGGCGTTCGAATGTGCGTTGAGTCTCCCAAGATGGACGGCTAACCCGAGAGCTAGGGCTATCTGGGCCAGAGCGAGTGGTGCACCAAAACCATGGACTTTCCACAATTCTCGCGGGGGTCGCTCGAATTCCAGATCCTCTTCGAGGACGAGTCTGAGGAGTCTGAGGTGTTTGAGACCGAGTCACATTCCACACTCTAACTCACACATCATTAGGGGGCGTGTGGCTCGGGGTTCTGATCTGAGAAAGCTAAGAAACAGGAACAAAGAGTGGGCTAGAATCAAGCCCTGCATTAGCAATGATCAACCTCTTTTTACACTAGATTGTATTTAAAAGAACTTTCATTCTCATGATATAAATAAATCCCTTTGATTGATGCATACTCCTGGTGGAGTATATAGCTTGTGCTGTAGCTTCCATATTGTTTATACGTTAGTGAGCGGCGTTCCCGGTCATTTTGCTGTCACCCTTGCGGCAGACTGCATCCTTCAAGGCTCGTCAGCATCAATCCTAGCTTCACATTCCTTCAAGATTCCTTGTCCTGTACTAGCACAAAAGACGTGTTCTTCTTCCACTCTACCAACCCATGCCGTGAAAACTCGATGAAAGTCTCCCAGCGAGGCATTCAAAGCATATCCTTTACCGATATTCTTCACGATTGTATTCCATCGTTTGTTCACTTACGCAACACGGAACTCTTCAATAGATAAGCCTTTATCTGCAAGTCTCATGCAGGGAAAGTTTCCCTCAACCGACCAATGGTCTTTGTCCTAAACTCGAGTGAAGGTCATACCTGTCTACGCCAGACAGAAGATATAAATTGAGGTACTACATCCGAGTCCCAGAGAAGATTATCAGACCACATGTCTATCATCCTTGGACAAACTCGACGCCTTCAAAGTTAAGTTCCAAATAGTCCAGAAAACATTCCACAGCCATGGCACAGCCCGCAGAAGATAGCCATCGTATCCCCATGTTCACCGAGCAGAAGAAGCTGCCCGGAATCGGTAAGCTCTCCGCGACCTGGCTTGCGGTCATACTGCTTGAGAATGTGCAGTACCCCGAGCTCGTTGCCGATAATTGGGCGCTGGCCCTGCAAATTCTGCAGGGAGTATGGCAGAACCGCCGGCTAAAGTACCCAGCTCTTTGCCGCAGGCGAATGGGTGGTGTTCTCGCTGCCAGGGGATGTGTTCGCATATTTATCGAGTCCCACATTGGGTCCGGGACCTGTGGCCCGCCGCTGCGCTGGGAGTATGGAGGTGTGGACGAGTATGGCGAGCTGCACCTGGAAGAAAATTGGGAAGACTTTAAGGATGCTTTGGAAGCACTGTGCGATATTTATGGGAATGAAGCTGAAGCTGGGTCTGAGGCGGGGGTTGAAGATTCGACGGGTCTTATGTGGGAAGAAGGGTACTAATACCCGACAGTTCTCTCCCGTACTTTTCCATTTTTGACGGTTAGATACATAAACAGATACATAAACACTTCCAAACAGAAATGAAGGAGCATTCACGACCAAAGGGATAAATGAGAGACTTTATGTCAGCAAGTAGAACAGGCGATCTTGAATCAAGTAATGAACGGCCTCTACGCCATGTAAAACCAAGTCCAGACACAGACATAGTGACCGTCTGATGTCAGGCGATATCATCTTCCTCTTCCTCCTCGGACCACCAATCAGACGTAGTCCAGCTACTGCTGAAACGCCACTATCACACGCCCCCATTCATCAATAGTGGCCTGAACAGCTGTCAGTCGATACAAGACAGTCTGAGTCTGGGTGTTGGTGGCACATGCGGCTTTTTGGAGGAGGTACCTACACAGCTGCTTGTCCAGTGTTCACATATCTATTATTTCGTCTGGATCCTGCATTGTCATAGGTGCGAACTACTTGAGGGCGAACTACCTACTGAGGTGGAAAAAGCAGAAGCAAAAAGGGGGCAACCGCTATCAAGCTGCCTACAACAAACAGCCAGATAACAAAGAACCTGGCCGCGCCTGGTTGATCAGAGTCACTGGGGTCGAACATTTTGAATATATAATTGTTGTAGAACAGGAGATGTGTTGGAAGATGAGAAGCTTTCTTTGCTGATACCGTATACTAAAGGGGCAGCGGCTGGCGAAATGGTTGAGGAAGAAAAGAAGGTGTTGTATTGAAAAGGTCTTTCCGAGTTATTATACACAGATCATGATAATTATGGCGGGTGTGAGCGGAAAATAATTCCTGTCGTCCAGGTAAGGAATAATAGTGTCAACTGAGATTCTGACTGGGAGCTCTACAGAATCATTACTACCAACATTTTGATCACTAGGTATATCACCAAGTGAAACATCAGCTGTGCGGGATTGTATGGGGTATTGAGACTACAACACAGTCGCCTAAAATATTTTCCGTCAAATCGTATGCTACCTTTGCCCACCGACAAGATATAGTTGACTAGTTGACCATGAACAGTGATAATCTTCAATCCCTGAGTGTGTAAGGTATATATCACTCTCCTTGAATCTCTTCCCCGCCCCGTCCATCGAAAAACGCTTCAATCATTGCCGTTCGCTTAGTCTTCCCCCAAATGGGCCAAAGTTGTAGCCTAGCATAGCCGTAGTAATAATTCATCCTACTCGGCTCTAGAATCATTTTCTTGAACCGAGGCTATTTTACAGTGACCCTTTTCTCATACGGGTTCTCGACTAGTAGTAAGCGGAGGGTACCGACCTTCAAACACATATTTGATCGATCCTTTGACAAGCCACCCGTGCGCGCACGTCAGGTCCCGGCGCAAATACTCTCTTAGGAGACCAACCATTCACAATCCTTTCTCCCACACGAATGATCACGTCGTTCATAGCATGCATATAACACCCTATCAGCAGCCATTTCCGAGGCGCGTTTCGTATAACACATCGCTAAAACCGGAACAAATCATGACGATGACCCAGATCGATCGGGTCTTATGCTCCCAACAAAGGCCTTTGTTCCTCGCCTAAAACCTCTTTCAGTACACGGCAAATATATATGAAAAATTCAGACAAAGAGATTTCTCCGCGCCCGCAGCACAACTGCATAAATAGGGGCTAATGGCTCTCAATTAGCCGAACCCGCCAACTCCTCAAGTCCACCCACCCCTCATACTCCGGGTCATGCACCTCCGAATCCATCGAATAAGCAAAAACCCCAATATGCTCAGCCTCCCGGAGACATTCACCCAGTTCACCGAGCTTGGCGAGGCAGATATCGGCACCCTGCACGGCGACCATGTCTCCGTCGTGGTGATTCATATCAAGAATGCCAGACTCCTTAGGGACGATTGGGCACCTGCCGTGCAGATCCTCCAGGATCAATGGCACAGTAAGCGGCGGCAGCAGCAGCGGCATCCGCAGCCCGATGGGAAGCCGCTGTGTGGGGTTCTCTCGACCAGGGATTCCTGTCGTTTCTATACTGAGCCTACGGCCGGGGACGGCCCGCCGCAGCGCTTGCAGTACCAGGGTCGCAGCGAGTTTGCGCCCCCCGTGGATGACAAGCACCCAGAGGTGTTTTTGGCTTTTCTATGGACATGCCTGGATGGATGTGGGGCTTCGGGTCTTGGTGTCGACCCGTCTTAAAGTAGGACGGATGAAGTGCTTAGGCCGGGGCCTGGAAAGTTATCGTGTCTTTCGCTTGCTGACCCTGTGTTACTTACTTTTATTCTTAAAAAGCATAGCAATCGAATACTATAAGCATCACTCAATCTTTCATAATGGATGCAGAAATTATGCTCCAGATGTGTAGAACACATATATACAACAATGTAGTGCAGCAATTCTGCTACAGAATCAGACATAATTCTGATTGGGCTGACAGCCTGCTTGTCCATTTGAAGAACTTGGAAGCTAAGCTACTACTCTACCTACTAGGTAAGTCAGGATCATCGGCATTGGTATGTTTGGGACAAAGTTTACCTGGAGTTGTACTGTCCAATTTCATTTAAACAAACAAAAATTATCAACTTTATACTGGGATCTTGTTCTTTTTTCTCAAACTCATGTGAAGTTCAAAAAGCGACCAACCTTTTTTGCACGATATACCTAAGTCTATGCACACAAAAAAGCTTCCGCCGATGGAACCAGGAAGGATGGATACCTAGAGCTATTCATGAGGTGAAGAAGATTCTTGCTTGGATGGGAGTAATTCATATTAGCTTGATCTTCTCTCTGCCGCCGCGGTTGTGGGAACTACTTGTGGATTGGCAGTCAGTCATCTTCTCGCCTAGCTTCGACAGGTCTTCGAACCCGCTGACAGGATATAGTGAGGCAAGAGCGTGCCATTATCGCTTTGCGTGTATTGATAGCCCCGCATGAGGGTGCTACTGCTCGTCGCCCGGCTCCGTCGCTCTTCCACAAGGAAGGACCTACCTCGATGACCGTCCCTTTGGCTCGAGATCCACCCGCGGACAGCGCTTCCCGTTCGGAGATGTCGCGGACCTCCAGGCTTACTCTAGCTCTTCACCCCCCGGGAAGAGACTTAGCCCAGTATGTATGTGCAGGGCTGCGAAGCTCGCGTGACTTTTGGGCACGTGATTTGAGTCTTCTGCGACTTCACCCGGGCGAGATGAGCACCGTACGCAATCGTTTTTCCGGGCTCAAGGATACGCCTTGAACTTGGAGGTAGTGGAACGTTCTTTAGCTCCCTGCGTCTAGAAGACCGACTAATGCTCGTGCATTTCAACTAACAGCGTGATTTTAGGAATGTCTCGTCGAATCCATCAAGGCATTGATCTCCTAGCGAGCTCTCCTAGAGGTGAGCCACTCACTATTTCCATTTTGAACCGGCCATTTCCGCCGTTTTTGTAGCTGTTGCTGCATTGTTGAGGCCGACGGAGCTCGCCGGAATGAGTTGCATATTCACATGACCGATGCCTGCTCCAGGCCCGGAAATTCTTCACCACTTCTGCAATCTCTGTATACAGTACCTGTGCCAATGTGGTTGCAAGTATAGAGCAATAATGCTTGACTTTGTGGCCAATAGTGCTGATGTATCAGTACGAGCTTGATGGTTAGCAAAATCAATCGACGCTATTTCGTTGTTCTTAATCACTTTAAGGGCTCTGACAAACAGTGATTGAATTTCAAAGCTCTCGTGAGATGCAGTCTTATTGGTCGATGCCGGTCAACATCATCTCAACCCCTTTCGCTCTGGGCCCAGATCAGTACTTACTTGTGTTCAAGGTCTAATAGATTAAGATATTAAGTTAGCCACGCCGCACGTTGGGATACATACTAGATTCGAATGCCAGCTAACCACATTGAATTGTACCTCCCCCTGTTCACAAGTGACTACCAAGCCCAATCGGTATGTATCACAATGGAAGCCCCATCTATCGAGTTGCTCCAGCTCGCATACCCGCAACAAAGGCTGCTCTTGATCTTCGGAATTATGACGCGATAATGCCCCGAGGGACCATGTAGTGTCAGTTCAGTCATGATATACCGTGGCTGGAATAATTCCTAATAGCGGCCTTTGGCGACAGGTATGAAAAGGGATGAAGATCTGTTCTACTTTGACATAGTTTGGATGAATTGAACGCAGTAGACTTGTGTGAAAGCCTGATATGACTTAATCCTTTATTCCACCTCTATGTGGATTTTACCTCCTTCTTCTTCGTGATTGGGATTCTTTGGATGTCAAGGTATGGATTCTAATCCATCTCCAGTAAGGTAATTTCAAGAACTGGATCCCTGGTCAGACTCGGCCAAACTGTCGAATATGAAACAACACCGAATTCAATTGTTTCTGCTGCATCAATGTTGCATCGATTGCTCCGAGAATATGGTCTGGGATGGGCACTCGACTCAATACATTCCATCTCAGACAGCAAGACAGAAAATGGTAATCCTCTAATGCATATCAAGTATAGCCACACGTATTCTTCGCACAGACAGCAAATTTGAAAGCTAGAATACAGGAGTATCATGTCAAAGTAACCAGTAGCTTGAAAACTATCCGTGGATAAATACTCTCTGGCCTAGAGGCTCAAAGGTCTTCTCCACCGGGGAACCGGCTGGCTTCCCGAAAACCAACTGAGCCTTGAGACTCCAGCTTCCAGGGACGTTCCAATGCTGAGTAATAGGAGCATCCAGCATGGGGCTATAATGCTGAAGATTACATCCCAGCCCTTCTGCTTCCAGGAGGGCCCAAACTAGGTTGTGTCAGCGAAATGTTGATCGATCTTGCAGACAACGACAGGACTTACGTGCAAATTGATGCATGCCATTGGAATGCTCGGACCCTGGAAAGAAATTAGCACTGCTGTATTTCCAATGTTCTCGTTTGATGTCACCTACATTGTGGGAATTTATCCCTGAGCATAGGCCACTTTTCCTCGAGGCGTTTCAGAGGCATCGGGTCTTCGTAGAATAATACCTATTGCGTGGTGATTAGGCCTCATGGACGGTAATGCCAAGCGCATCAGCAGGGCTCACTTACAGTCCCGTATCCAGCACGGTACATGGCAATCCGTGGCTTGTAGAGCTTCTCAAACAACTCCGGGCTCACTGTCGAGGAGGCCACTTCTGCTGCCAGGTCCCAGAGCTTCCGATGCTCATCTTTGAGTAGAACCACGAGGCGTGTTGCCTGGCTGTTGAAAGCACTAGGGGTGTGTAGGACCACCTCATTGATCAATTCTTCCAATCTCTCATCAGAGATGGTGGATTCGTCGGATAGAGCATAGATCGTTCGACGGCCTCTGAAGCCGTCGCTCACAGCGGTCGCGAGATTGTGCATGACGTAGTGGAATGGTGCCCGGATTAAGAGATGAGATAAAATAATGACTGGTAGCAGAGAAATTGGGGAGTTTGTGATCATTCTTTTACAAGTGGGTGGGCTACAAGTCTTAAATAGCACGCGACAAGAGGGACGAAGGAATGCGGAGTATCCACTACAGACCGTAATATACTCAGCCTTGCTTATTCTTTCGTCTGGTGAAGCTTAGTGTCTTCAACAAATTCTCCTCCCGATACGCGAAAACTGCGCCCGACATTTCTCGTTCTAATTCGCAGTCAGGAAGTCGATCTCGTTTCAGGCGTGTCGGTCTATCTTCCATCGCGTTGAGCAGGTATCCTTGTTTACTTTCTTGATAATAGATCATTTTTGCGCGATCAGCTTAGGGTGTTTTCACACAGCATCCTCTGAAAGTCTGTCTCAATCAATCAGCTAAGAATGGCCTGTTATTCACCTGCAGTAGAACATGATAGCCTCGAGTGATTTGAACTATGCCGCACGGGCAATCTGGCACCACCGGGGTGTCGGACATCTACACTTCCGGTTCTTTCGTCGACTTTGACACCGCCGGGTGGTCGGCCAGCTTACTGCCGATCCCTACGATCAATCAAACAGTGCCGGTGAGTCGGGCAATATTACCTCCGATTCTGTCGGTCGTATTCCGAATCACTTCGTGCTGTATTTAAAGTTGTGGCAAAATTATGCGATGGGAATGAGACGGACCTACCCAATAGAGGTCATGCCCTCAACTGGGCATGCCCAGTTGCCCAGTTCCCATAAACCGGCATAATCTGCACGTGATGAGGGCCAGGGTCGAGCCGTGCGCTTCCTGAATCGGTCTAGCGTGCCTTTTGGCTAATCGTGGAGTATCCTTACTATACTACATTGGGAACTGGAAAGGCCTGCAGTGCCCAGTTCTGGCCCCGGGCCCGGCCACTGCAGTAAGACCGCCTTCCCAATTCCGAACGCTAAGCCTATTTGGAACTGGGAAGGGCACCGCAACTGGGAATGTCCACCGCAGCGCAAGACCTCTAATAATCTGGTCAGATTAAAATAAGTAGTCTTTTTGGTTGTTGAGGAAAATTATATTTCCTTGCCGAGCGTTGTAACCTTTTCTTGAATTCGAGTCGATTTCTTAGCTGAAACAAGCTCTCAGTTGCCATATCTATAGGTCATCGACTGACATTCGAGTTGAATATAAAAATGTACGAAGTTGAACAGATAAAATCAATCGCACAGATATCTCGGCCACCTATCAGGGATGTCACATAAGCTTCCAGCCGGGGCCTGAGGCCCCTACTGCCTATGCATGTACAGCGTGGGGTGAAGGGGTGTTCGCTTCTTCCCTTTATTTCCTCATATTTGAGGTTCTGAGTAATCTCAAGCGATTATGAATCGTCTCAAGTACGCACGGTGTCTTGAATTGTTGTAAAGCTTATGCGATCCTGAATACCTTCCCTGACCATAAGACAAAGTCAAATGAATTTGTATCAACTTTCTCTTTCCGCAGGGAGCCATTGGAGTAACGGCTCACTCTGGTGTGGTCACTCCTCTTCCATTAATGAATAGCTTACGTGTCTATTTGGATTTTGGGGAAGATAGGAGGTAAGTTATTGGAGAGTTTGGGAAGAGAAGGCAGGCACACACAGTCAAGTGCTTAATGCGGGGGTGGAACGAGATGGTCAGATACAAAAAGGTGGCTGTGCAACATCGCGAGATGCGCCCCCACATGGTATTGAAGGCTGAAGGGAACGTATCATATCGCCCAACCCTAATTCACCTACGGCTCCTGCTCAAACAATTCCCATTCTTTCGACCCCATGTTGATTACCCGAATCACTGCTCTTACCTTTAGATGAGCCCAGTCCCTCACCTAACATGATAAGGACAAATCTAATAGCGACAACCGAGCAACTCGATCTCGGACTCATCGTGGGATATCAACCCGCCCGGTTTTCTCGCCTTGATCCGCCGAGGGCTGACCGCCGAACTGATGGGGCCTTAGTCTTATCTGGCGCACCGAGTTCAGAAGTCACAACGGGCCTGTGACTGGATGGGATTGTCAAAATTGGCAGCAAAGCGAGTCAATAACGGGGGCGGAGGCACTGAGCGGTTCAGTACAGGCGCGGCCAAGAGACGCCTCGAATGCTCTCCCGCTCGCCGAGTCGCCGAGTCAGTTAGGGTTATGTGCAGTACACCCCCCGGGATCCCGCATGCATCACGAGTCTCGTGAGGGAAGCTTGTTGTTTGATTAAACCTCGGTGTCTGATGGTGTGGCATGCATGCATGACGGAATTTAGGACATAAGATTTGTTAACTCCATGAGACAACGCACACAGAAAACACACTCCACCGGCTTTAGTGCTCTGATAGAGTCACAATGGCGTTTTTCTTCTTCAAGCCACAGCTCACTGTAGCTACATTCCTACAGCCACTCGCAATCGGTACATTTCCTTGTGTGATGCCATCCCTGTTATCATCCCATCTCATGTCATCTCAGTCCACCCTCACACTCCGTGTCCGACTCTTCCCACACATCCCTGCACCATACCTACTACCCTTACATTCAATATCTGCCCACACCCAAACCTCTCCTCCTGTGCTCCCTCCAGGCAAAGAAAATCATTGAAAAGCTCGCTATGGCACAAGAAAGTATCACCACTTACGGCACATCAAACGTCACCATCGTCGTGAAATTATGCCCCAACTATCCATGCAGCGCATGCTCTTTGCTCGAAATCCAGGCCTTTCACATCATCGACCAGGTCTCAAATCTCAGACCAGCGAGGCCGCGGAAAACATCAGTGGGCTGAGGCCGAGGAGGGCGGTGGCCAGGTCAGTGGCTGTCATGGGGGTGGAGGCGTAGTCAGTCATTTTTGTTTTGTTGTCACAGTGGTATTGAGAGGATAAGGAAGGTGTGATGTTGGAAATAGGTAAGTACGGGAGAGACCGTTGCAATGTCGATGATTTACGCGGGGAAAAATGTTGGTGTTGCTTGGTGGAAGTTATATTAATCGCTGGGATGCCTTGGGCCTCAGATCCTACGCCGCACGCCGAGCGAACTTCCACCAGATTGCGAAAAATAGGGAAATACGACTTGACTCCACTACGAACCCAGTTCGGTCGGAACACACACAGTCTTGATTATATCAAATTTAAGGAGATATGATATGATCGGTCGATCCACCCCCAAATCTACTCCTCCTTCTTCGCCCATGCCGCCGATCCCGTCCGCAGCGCAGTGGACAGATCCAACAACTCATCGTAACCGGGGTAGGTCGACTTATCATCCACGATATTGACCACCTCAGTATTGTCGACGTACTTCTCGATCCACGACAGCGAGACCACGGTGTGCGCCCGGTTGACGTAGGGCTCCTCGCTGGCCTGCAGCGCCTGGAACTCCGGGTCGTGGTTGACCTTGTTGAGTTCCTCGAAGCTGCGGAAGTAGAATTCGATGGTTACGTCGTGGTCCTATCGGCATTCGATTGTCAGTCTCGGGGGGTTGTTCAATGGAAGCCAGGTAAATGGACGAGGCCGGGCTGATATCCTACATCAATCACCCAGCCGCGGTTGTTGCGGCGGCTCATCTCGTCGACGAAGGTCCGATAGGCTGGCGGGGAGTAGCACTATCGTTGTGTGTCAGAGGGGAATCTGGGATAGAGTACTGGGCCACATGGCTTGGCGCTTACCTGCTGGTAGGCGTAGATACCATGCTTTGCATGCAGCTTGGCCGCCTTGACCACGTAGTCGCGGGCAAAGTCGTGGCCCTCTCCACCCTGGCGGGCTTGCCCTTTGTAGAGTTTGATGGTGAGGCGCAAGAGGCGCTCGGCCTGACGTCCTGTTTGAGTCATTGCAGAACCGTAGGGAGAGAATGGAGTGTGTTTTGTCTACTTCTCCAGCATGGACAAAGGTAGCATTTAAATACCCAATGAGGGTTGGGCAGGGTGTCCGGAGTTAACGGAAAGAAGCCTTATCTCAGGGGTCCCCCAAACCCACCCCCTGGTCAAGCTTTTCATATCCGATGTCTCGAAAAAGGCTAAGTGAATGACAAATCACATCATAAATTATCAATTGCATGTCATATTTCACATCCGAGGCACTCTCCCAGCATGGAAACGCCATCTCAACCTCCGCAGGCATCGTTTCGGCGGTAGGCGATGGCACCACAAGATCTCACCAACCGACTTACTAAGCGGAAACTAGCGATGGATCTTACGCTTCATCCCAGAGATACTATACAACAAATGCAAATGACCTGGTGGTCAGCACCGTAAACGCCCCCGCCTGGATCTGTAGCCCTCTTTCGGCCGTATCCTCCGCCACCCACATCTCCTTCTGATCCTGCTGGGCCGTCCACCAGCTCACCGAAAATCCACTGCGTGCTGCCCCCCGGTTGCGAGTACGGCGAGAACCGCGCGGCGGCGCTTGACCTTTGTCGGCTGCCTCCATCCATGCTGCATACCACCCCTCGATTTCCCGGTCTTTAATGCGGGCTACCGCTGTGAGAATACCAGCAATCTCCCCGCCCTCCTGCGCGGTGAGGCTTGAGTAGACGGAAGAGCCCCGAAAGTGGATGAAGTCGGACCAGAATAGACAAAACATAGCGATTGGTGAGATCGTCAATGTAGTGCGCAGGGCTTGAAACCATCACTTGAATAGAATCGAGGGGGCACTCTTTCAACCTCTTTTTGAGTGCGGCAGATAGCTAGATAGCCATGGGAAGGGATCAGAAGTCGGAGCAGTGCGTCTTATGTTCGGCACTCAGACTCTATCACCGGTTATTATCAACCACGGGGTAAGAATCGTCAATGAACAGTACGAAAAGATCGACGGTGGCGTGGTCTTTTGTTGTTTGCGTTGGTGGTTAGGGCAAAGGAGATTCGACCGCCCGCTTCCACGTCGGCGATCACGTCTGTAGGATCGATCATCTCGGCGTCAACCCCGGCAACTTACTGGATAAGCTGGGATGCTTAGGCTACTAGGGCGAGCAAACTGCAGTCCTTGATCTTTCCGTGATGCTGGGATATTCACTCTTTGAAATGAATATTGATTAGATCAAGGGAAATAAGTCGACCGTTCTAAATGGCCACCGACCTGCCTAAAGCCAATACGAGCTGATTTCAAACTAATCTGGTATTGCTAGGCAGTCTGTAAGTCTCGATAAGTACCTGCTGGGATCGTGTATATAGCGTAGGGTAAGCCCAAGGTGTTCAAGGATTGAATACCGAGACAATACATAGCACGCATGAGATGTAGGCCTCGTCAACAGAAGTGCAGTTACGCATTGTAAGTCACTCAGCAACTCCCTTTTCTCTCGATATTCCCCTCCTGTTCTCTTCTCTCTTCTGCTCGATACAATGCTTCCCATAGAAAGCAAAGCAGCCACCCTACAACCCGCACCGCCTCAACTCCGCAAACACCGACCCCTCCCTCGCCAACAGCCGCCCCGGCGCATCGACCTCCACCACCTTCCCCCGATCCAGCACAGCCACCAGATCCGCCTCCACCAGCGTCTCCACCCGATGCGCCACCATGACCACCGTATGCCCCGCAAACTCCCGGCGCAGCACCGCCTGCACCCGCCGATCCGCCGCCCCATCCACCGCGCTCGTCGCCTCGTCCAGCACGACGATCCGCGCCGTGTCCTTGCGCAGGAGCGCGCGCGCCAGGCAGAAGAGCTGCTGCTGGCCCGGGGAGAGCGCGAGGTCCTGCATCGCCGCGTCCAGCGGGTTGTGATTGTGATCCTGGGCTGTGCTGTGTCCGGCCTTCTCGGCGACAGTGGCCCAGAGGTCGGTCAAGGTGAGTGCGGATTGGATTTGTTGGTCGGAGTAAGCCTCAGGGTGGTTGCTGCTGCCCGGTGGTGCCACCCCGCCACCAGGCAGGGTGAGCGTCATGTTCTCGCGGACGGAGCCAGACACGAAAAACGGCTCCTGCGGGATGGTGATGATCCGGTCGCGGAGGCAGGCTCGCGGCACGGACCGGATGTCGAGCCCGTCGATGAGGATCTGTCCTGCGTCGAGGTCGAGCAGGCGCAGGAGGGCGGCGAGGAGCGTGCTTTTCCCGCTGCCGGTGCGTCCGCACACCCCGAGTTTTGTGCCCGCGGGGACGCTGAAGGTGACCTCTTGGAGGGAGGGTGGGGCTTTCGGGTCGGCGGTCCAGGCGGCGTTTACCTGTTGGAAGACGATCTCCCCGTGGCGCGGCCAGGTGGTCGGTGGGGCGGTCGCGTCCCCGTCGGTCTCCTGCGGGGTGAGCTGCGCGGTAGACTTGATCCGGGCGATTGCCCCGAGGGAGGTCTCCAAGGTGGTCCAGAAGGTGAAGAGCATCTGGAAGGTGGCGTTGAAGCCGAGGATGCTGTTCAGCGCGAGCCCGATCTGCCCGCCCGAGCTGGACGTGCGCAGCGTGACGGCCAGAGTGACCAGAATCACGGCGAGGGTCCCGATGAGCAGCTGCAACACCAGGTCAAGCCATCGCTGGATGCAGTAGAGCAGGTAGTACGGTTTCTGGGACTCGTCGAGCAGGTGGTTGCTGCGCATCGTGAACGCGTGCTGCCAGCCGAACGCCCGGATCGTCATCAGCCCCTCGAGCGTCTCCATAAAGTGCGTGTACAGGGGGCTTTTGGCTTCGAGGTCGAGGAACCGCATCTGGCGCGAGGTGCGTAGGTAAATGTTTTGCAAGAGGTACACGAGGCAGATGAGCCCCGGAATGGTCAAGGCCATGTAGCTGGAGCCTGCCGCTATGAGGCCGATCTGGGCCAGTCCATTGGCCAGGGCTGGATTCATGGTTAGACGGCACTCCCCTTTGGTTGGACTCGCAGATAGCACCGACCTTGTAGAGTGATGATCATTGAGGCTGGCAGCATGGCGTCGACCAAGGACATGTCCTGGCTAAATAGGTTGAGTATGACCCCGCTATCGACGGTGTCGAAATACGACTGGGTAGCGTGCGTCACGGTGTCGATGAGGGTTTGATGTAGATTGCCACCTGACTTGGGAATGAGGTAGATAAACACAATCCTAGGAGGTGAATGGGAATCAGCCACTGGGCTCTAGATGGCGCTGGGTATCCTGACCTCATAGACACGTAGAATGCCGTAAGGCAGCTAGATGCGATCACCGCGTAGACCGCACAAAATACCCCGACACGACCAACTGCGCCAGTCGTGTACATTTCCAGCCAGATCTCTGCCATGTCAATTAGCCGCGATGCTCGCAAGGTCAAAAATAGCACCAGGAGCCCCGGCACATACGTGGAAGGTAGGTCGTGACGGCAACGAGCGCCACCATGACCAGCATCATAGAAGAGAGCTTCCACCCAAACGAGCGGGCGTAGTATTTATACACCGCGAGATCCCCGGTCCGCCGACTCAAGTCACTTACATCGGTCGCGCTCGGTCCCCGGAGCGCCTTCGGCAGCGGTTTGCTTTGCTTGCTTGGCGCAGGAACTTCCTCAGACTCATTCTGCAACCCAACATCTGCGCTCGCAGCCTCGTGCAGCAGTTCCGGTCCTTCCCCGCGGGTGAAGTCCGTCCAGGGTCCCTGATGTGCAATGTGGCCCGATCGGTCCAAGGCAATGACATGATCGGCCAGATGCAGATGTCGGACGGCATGGGTCACCAGAACGACCGTGGACGCATTGCGTCGCAGCAACCCCTCTGGCCCGAACAGATTCTGCACGATCTGCAACTCCGTCTTCGCATCGAGTGCGCTCAAGACATCGTCCAGCAATAGAACGGACCGTCGGCTGTAGAGTGCGCGAGCGAGGGCCTAGGAGGGGCACTATCAATACAGGGGATCGCATCCGAAGGTCACCGCACATGGGTATCCACCTACCACGCGCTGCTTCTGACCGCCACTCAGGGTCACACCCCGGCTGCCGAGCAGAGTAGTGTCCATCTGCGGCAGGCGCTTGATGTCGACATCCAGAAGACAGGCCTCCAGTATAGTGGCGTACCAGCCCTCATCCAAGGCGGCCCCGGGGCCGGTGATAGCGTCTCGAAACACGAGGTTCTGCAGCCATGGTGACTGGCTACAGTATGCGATATCTCGGCTGTTGATCTGGATGCTGCCAGGGGTGGAGACAGCTTCGCCCAAGATTGCTTTCAGGAGGGTGCTTTTGCCCGACCCGACAGGACCGACAACGAAGCTAAACGAACCGGGGAGGACTTGCCAGTTGACCTTGTGCAGAACAGCCTCGGATTCTGGCGCCGGTCGTATGTCGGCCTCGTGGAAGGCGACGATGGGCCGATCGATGGACTTTGCGGGCAGGCTTTGCAGGACAAGCCCAGATTTCCCTAGTTCATGGATTGTTGCACCAGCTTCGCCATTGGGTTTGTCTGCGGCGGATAGATAGGTGTGGATTCGATCGATGCAACCCATTGCCGAGACCAAGGTTGGGTAGGAGGAAAGAAGCTCTCTCGCTGGGTCCGTCAGCAAGGAGATGATGGCCAAGGTTCCAAACGCTTTGTCGGTAGTCAGCCGCTGGGACTGAACGGTATAGATCAGAAAGACCAGAAATGGTCCGATCTCCACCGGGATCATCGCTAGTTACTGGTGTTAGTGATACCCTCTCGCAGGATCCTGGTGAGAAGAGGGTGAGACCAACAGATAGTGTTACGCCAGATGCCAAACACCCGAAAGCTCGCCCCAAGATGTAGCTCGCGAAGCCGCTGGCCGTGGATGGTTTGGGCCATGCGCTCGGACAGACCCATCATTCTGATGCTCTTCATGCTTCCGAGGAGGGAGGAAGTCAGCGCGACCCGGCGTTGCACCGCGCCCACCCATGTCTTTTGGGCGGGACCGATCTTCTTGGCCACGTGCAACGATGCATAGAACGCGCCTGAGAAGGACAAAGGCTTAGAATGCAGGGATCATGGCAACGTGAAGAAAAAGGAAGCGGGGGCACTGGTATCGTACGTACCCACTACGGCGATTGTGGGACCAATGCAGATCCACCCGACTTGGCGCTCCAGCAGCCACAATCCAATCGCCAGCTCCACCGTGCGCGCCCAGACCTCAGCGATCTGGCGTAGGCTGAATGCGATCCGGTCCACGTCCGTGCTCATGAGGGTAACAGCGGCGGACTCATCCGGAGCCCGCGCGAGAGCCAGGGTTTTGGCGTAGATCTGCGAGACCATGGCACCACGAAACATGGTAATCATGCGATAAAGGCGGTGTTGGTAATGCGCCGTCGAGAGCTATGGATGGACGGATGGATGACTGTCAATACACGCGCGTCCCCCCAGCACGTCGGGTGATAGGGGTGGTAATGGACTGTACCGCAATTCCCAGGTAAATCAAGCCGGTGGCTGCAATCAGCCCGTAGCCGTCACTCTTATCCCGCGTTGAGTCCGCATCGCTGACATAGCTGATCACCCGAGTGATGAGAAAGGGCTGGGCATACGTGAAGCCAATGAGACACAGTCGGGGGAAAACCGTCAGAAGAAGCGGCCATTTGAGGCAATAGAAGAGGGCGATCACCAAGGAGAAGCGGCGCTCGGATCGATCTAGCGGTGGGGTCAGCCTCACCTCTCGTGGTGGATCCAGGACATACGTTTCGCCCACGCGACCTGCATGCGCTCATGTAACGGCCCAGCCGACAGCTCCTGATCCACGCGATCGAGGTCGCCGAGGGACAGGTTCCTGCGATAGCCGCGAACGAACAACGGGCTCAACCACCAGAAAAAGCTACGATTGATGATCCCACTCGTGGACTCCGGGGGATACCTGCTGCGAAAAGCATCGTAGAGACAGGCGCGCTTGTCAACAGTCTCAAGAACGAGCAGCAGGACCTCGGCCCCCAGAGCAACGGAGGCGACACTCGAGACGGCGGTCAAGTGCCGTCGGAGGTATAGACTTCGAAGCTGGGTTGCATTAAACAAACTGTCGAGCAGGAGATAGATGCAGAGGAGCGAGGAGGGACGCTCTGAGCGTGTATGCTCCAGGGTGGAGAGTGCGAGGACGAGGCTGCTTCCCAACAACGACACGGCAGCCGATGCAATGGACGCTGAGGTGGCGGGTCGAATGCTCCACAGCGCCAACAATGCCACTCGGAGGCCCAGGAGGACAATCGCGACCGTCTAAAATTAGGCGACGGGTTATTCAGAGTTCGAGGGGGGTCGTGGGAGGATGGGAAATTGTCTTTATAATTGGGTTTTCTTTTTCTTGCTTACTACTTTGCTGTACACCAGAGGGTGAGTGATGGGGGCCTTCCTCGGACATCGGAGTAATTGGACCAGGCGAGGCGGTGCCAGGAGAATCAGCAGGATTGAAGGAACCAGTCCAAGGATGCTCTGTTCAAATAAGAGGGTGAAGTCGAAATGAACGAGACAGTCGGAAAGCGAAGGACCGAATCTCTGGTCATTACTGCGACAATTGTAGGCCATGAAGGGGAGAGAGGGGTAGGAGGAGGAGGAGGAGGAGGAGGAGGAGAGAGAAAATTAATGGCACGATGGCATTAGGGGGGGAAGGAGGGACATCATATAAGATTACAACCAGGAAAATTACTGTAAGACTAGGAGGATAAGGATGATAAGACGATTAAACAAGCATGAGTTCTCCGTAATTGCCGACTGCGGCTTGGTAACTTAATACCGGGTATTATATATACTTGTACTTGCTTAAGTACTGTTGATTCACTTCCCAACTAAGTACTAAGTATCAATCACCACATCCGAGGTCCTCCACATCCTCACACCCATGTAAAGTTTCCCCACGATTTTGACTGAACCGAAATCCTCACCGCTTGGTTATACGCTCAATGACTCATTCAGGGCTTCACCCGAGTCACGCAAATTCCGCATCATGCCATCTTTCAATCTCAAACCCCGATGTATTGTACTGCTTGGCCCACTCGCGAATCTTCCAAAAGTTCCGACAAGTATGCTGGGTGGAGAAGTTGGCCTTCCAGATGGGATACTCGGGCCCCGGGGGTGGCACGCGCGGGGAATGCACAATCACCGAGAGGTCGCTGTGGCACATGAGAGCCTGGTCCGCGAAGGTGGGCCAAGAAATAAGTGATTGCTTTCATTTGCCGAGGAAACACGGATGAATGCAATACCTACCTGCCGCAAGTACTCAATGCAGTGATCTGGAGAGGAGGTCAGCTGGATGGATGCACTCGAGATCGCGAGATACGCCCGGCTTACTGATGTGCACAATGTATTTCACCGCCGCCTGGTCGGTCGTGTTGTCGTTCCGCCAGTCGACGGGCTGGAAGACATATTTCCGGATGGAGTTCAGACAGTGCAATTGATGGAAGACATCGAGCTGGATGAGAGCGGTGGAATCGTTGACCGTTGCCGGCATGGTGGGCTCGAGGAGCGAGGCCTCCTGCTCCGGGTTCAGTGCCAGAATCCCAACTGAAATGCATGGAGGTCGTCGGGGTCAGCTAACCATGCGGTGTATGGAACCGGGGGAGGGGGGGGGGGGGGGGTCAGAGTGCTTCCTATGGTAGCTCACCATCCACCAAGTGCCGCCACTGCAGATTCACCGCGCCGGTAGGGGGCCCTTCATAGGGACTTGTGTCCTCGCTGGGTTCTCCGGTCCATCGACTCTGTTCAAACCGATACGGCACGTATTCGACTGCCTCCGAGGCAGATGCTACCGCCAATTTCTCAGTTGTTGGGAAGTGACAAGTGAGCCACGCCCGGGGTGGGTGAGGCGACACTCACCGAACTCGAATTCTTGTAAGCCGGACGCCTCGCCGGCTCCCCCGGTATCAGCACCATGATGGGCGTCTGGTAGGGGGTCATCATGCGACATGGCCGGGCAATGCTCGAAGTTGAAGCCCGACCCTTTCCACGGCCGACTGGGATGCACCGGCGGATCAAAGAACACGGACAAGCGGTTGTGATAGAAGAGTGTAATAATCCATGTGGTGGCCAGCGCAAGGTGCAAGACCAGAAACAGCACGTTCTGCATCCATGGGGCTGTCCGTCCTGGACGAGCAGACGATGCCCGAAGCGACCGCTGGTGGCTTTTGAAGTCCGTAAGCTCGGTTTCGTTCATTGTGCGTCTGTTTCTCTCGCTTGTGGTGGATATCCACGGTGCATTTTCTTGCTCTGGGATGGGTGGGAGGTGGGCGGCAGAAGCACTCGACCCACCGGAGCAACAGGAGTACAGTATCAAGGCTCGGAGATGAGTGACCGCGGAGAATTGAGATCCGCCATCTTCACGACAGATGAACTAACCATATGGAAACAACCAGTGATCTTAGAACAGACTGCAATGGGTATTGGAATTGCGCGTGCATGACTGGTACTGTACGCCTGTGGGGACGGTATCGTGAACCCAAATACCTAGAATACCTAGTACCCTTTCATTACAGAGAATATACCGAAGAGTGTACCGTACCGTACTGTGTGTACAGTACGTATTCGGGAGGTCGCATTGATGGTGTGGTTGGCATCAGCACTAATGCACTAGCTAGCAAGTGGCGACCCTGGAAGATGAAACACACTCCGAAAAGCACTGTAGGATGGGTGATAAGGGAGCTCGGATGCCAATGGGATTGCTAAGATTCGTGATGATCGCCGGAAAGGGTCGTGCGTGCAGGGAGTGGGCAATTGCACACGGGTCGATCCCCCGACGGAGCATGGCCGGAGTCCCGCTGCGGAGGCAATGCCACGTAGTCTGACCTACTTTATATTACAGCTGGTACGTTATATAGGTTATATCACGTTACGCACCTAATAATACCCCCCGTAACAGTACTGCACAGGCTCGGGTATGTAGGATTGCTGTGTATGTTGAGCGGCTTTGGGCCGGGTAATTCTGAAAGATTATTATACTTATTGAATGAAAATAACAATTTGAACCTATCAAGGTGACAAGCTAGACAGGTAGGAATACTGTAAATGATAGGACTGAGAAAAGAGTTGCAGGTAGTAATCGCGTGCTCTCGTCAGTGTTTCGAAGCAGTGGTAGACCCCGTCCTAGATAAATTCGACCAGCGCGATTCAAAGAAAAGAGCCTACCAGCTATGATCTGGTCACAAGCTCAAAAAGAAAGAGAACAAAAACAAAATGCACCTGCCCAAGCAAGACGAATTCGATGCGGCGCGGTTCCTCGAGGATATTGAACGCACTTGCGCGATTATCCACGCCCCATATTCGGAATCCCACACCCGGGCAAGCCTGGAGGCCTTTGCGACGAGTTTCCAGCGAGGAGCCGTCCTGTGGCGCACGACCAACCGACCGGGAGACGCCTTGAATTATCGCTTCTACGAGCGCCGCGTCACGGACACGGTAGCCGCCGCCGTCAAGGCTGGCCTCCTCGCCGCGGACCACCCGCTGGGAGCCCTGGTCACCGCCTGGAGTCGCCTGTACGATGGCACCCCGGAGCAGTCGTGCGACTTCGACGCGCAGCGAGGGCTGGCCAAAGCGTGGGTGTACCTGGGGGAAATGCGGCCCATCGACGACATCCTCGCCGTCGAACCAGTGCCCGAGTCCATCCGTCGACATGGGCCCGTTTTCCACAGCCTCGGGCTCGAGCGGGTTCGGCATGTGGCGGCCGACTACACCTCCCACACAGTGAACATCTACTTTCGGGCCCCCGGGCCCTTGAAGCTGGAGCAGGCCGATCGCTACGTGCAGCTCGCCCATCCGGCCGGGGCGCTGGAGCCCGACGAGGTCGAGCAGATGCGTCTCTCAATGAATCCGCAGGGCTTTACCTTCGCTGTGACGATGGACTATGGCACCGGGGACATCAAGCGTGTGGCCTTCTACGCGCTGAAGCTCGAGCTCGCCAGGTGCCTGCACATCGACCCGCGTCTGGACCGGTTTTTCACTGGCACGCCGTCCTACGACGAGGAGACGATGAACGCCATCGCCTGGTCGTTTGGGAATCACGGCAGCCGCTACATCAAGGCCGAGCGGAGCTACTGTGGTCAGCTCGTGCCCCTGCTCCGGGACTGGAATAGTGCGATGTCCTCTTAGACTGTGAGATGGCAGGCAATTCATAATTTATTTGAATATATGCAGGCGGTCTGTATCACTTCCCGCAATTATCTCGAGTCTGGAATGTATTTATTGGGGTACCGTGAACTCAACCGTACAGGTTCAGCAGTTGTGGCTTGTGACCGTAACCTATGGAGTACACCATTCCCAAGCATGTCAAGATCACGAGCCCCACAGATACTACAGGTACATATCTGGGTCGACATTTTGTAAGACATAGTATAGCATAGCATGCGCGCGAGAGATTACGGTGAAGCCCAGCACTCACCACCGCGGGACCATAAAAAGTCGCGACTCGTCAGGGTGAAGGTCCAAATCCTGCGGTTTGGTTTCCTGTGGATGCGGTTAGCTCATTGTGTCGCGCGATGCACAGAGAAATTCTAATCGAAATACGAAGTTCTGAGTCAATAACTTACCAACATCTGCCTCTTAGCCTCCTCCGACGCGGCGGTAATGGACTCGGTGAGCGCGGACGCAGGCAACGAGGCCCAGCCATCCAAGCAGATCTCGTCGACGCGCGGGCTCTCGCCCGCCGCCGCCATCGGCGCGAGGTGCAATTGTAGCAACGCGCACTCGAATTTCCGGAGGACCTCCTCGACAGTGGGGATCGCAACGACGGCCGGGTCGAAGATCGCTTCGATCTGCACGCCCGGCGGACCTAGCGTGCAGCTCAGCCGGAATGGCAAATTCACGGCTAGCTGGCCCCAGAGTAAGGGTAGGGGTAGTGCGCTCTGGGCTGTCGTCCCCGCCGTCGACGATGGAGCCGCAACCTCCAGCTTGGGCAAGAGGTTCAATCGCACGGCGCTCATGCAGAGATCCATGATCTCTGGGCTGATCCGGGCGATGTTGCGGAAGTGGAACTGCTCATATGCGGTGATCGCGGCCGTATCGGCTTGGATTTGACGGCACAGGGTCCCAACGGTCTGCCCCGGGAGGACACGGATGCGCAGCGGGTATGCGGTCATGGTGGGTGCGATCAGATCCCCGACCCCGGGCAGATCGGCGCAGCGCCCGTGGCCGAAGACGCCCAGGATGATGTCGGGGCAGTGCAGAATCTCCGCGAAGGTAACGGCCCAGGCGGCGTTGACCAAGGTGGATAACGCCATTGGCCCGGGGGACTGGCCATCGAGTCGGACCAGCCGTGTAAGAAGGGTGTCACAATTCACGGGCTGACTTTTGTCCATAGCGACAGGGGGAAAAGGTCGCGTATCCACCCCCTTCAGATGGTGCGTCCAAAATCGGGTGGCGGCGTCGCGATCCATTGCCACGATCTGCCGAATGAAGGTCTTGTACTTGAGCCCTGGGGGTGAAGGAGGGGGGCACCCGTCAGATACATACGCTTGTCGCAGCGCCAGGAACAGCTGCGACAGCGACCAGGCGTCGTAGCCCGCATGATTCACCGTCATTACCAGGTATTTGCCCTGAGTTTGCCCATCCTTCACGATCCCTAGTCGGAAGAGCGGGTCGCCTGTTCCGACGATGTGTTCGTGCTCTTCCTCCAGGTAATGTTGGAGGGATGTCCCCCGGCGCCAAGCGAGGCCAGCTCCGGTCTTCACAACCACCTGGACATAGCCCGACCCCGAGGGATGGCGAATCATGTGAGTCCGCAGGATCTCATGAGTTTGGGCCAGCCGATCCCACGCGCGGGCGAAGCGCTCCTCGTCCAGCATGGCGGGGAGCGCGTACACGGCCTGCATTTGGAAGGACCGCGAAGTGATTCCGGCGTGGATGGAAAAGATCTGCTGTGCGGTGGCGGGATAGATATCCTCCACTTCAGCGACAGGCACCTGACAGTCATTGCTGGCCTTGTGGAGCAAAACCTCCCGCTCAGAATCCAGGAGAAGAGAGAGGGCAGGCAAGTCGTGCGCCACACTGGTCTGGGGCTCGGCAAAAGAATCAGAGACCGCTGCGGCTGCCATATCTGCTAAGAGAGGGTGCAGGAGGACCTGGTTCACCGTCAGATGGAGTCCTCGCTTGCCAGCCTCGGAGACCAGCTCCATGGCGAGGATCGAGCTGCCGCCTAGACTGAAGAAATTATCCTTCGGTCCAATTTCCACGGTTCTAAGAACGGCAGCCCATGCGTCGCGGAGCTGTTGCTCAGGACCGGTCAAAGTTAGGGCTCGGGCATCGGTTGAAGAGGGGCCCGTGAAACGTCTCGCCTCGCTGGCGGGAAGTTGTGCGAGGATGGCTAGCAGTCGCTCGCGATCCGTCTTGCCATTGACAGTGACTGGCACGCTGCGTATGGGGATGTACAAGGACGGAATGGCATACGCTGGAAGTGAAGCGCGCAATCGGGAACGCATGGCGACCACCATGGCGTCAAACCGTCTCTGCTCGGTGGGTGAGGTCTGCAACACCGCCGGCCGTGAGCCCCGGTCCCAGTCTAGATATCCGAGAGAAGGCTCGTCATGAACCCCGATGACCGCCATCAGGACAGGGCCACGCTTCTCCCCGGACCCTCCGCCGCCGGTATGCCCAGCGATTAACATAGCGAGGACACAGAAAACATCCTCTCGCAAACACTGCAGTTCCGCCTGCAGCCGAGCCTCGACTTCCCCTAATTCAAGCCGCTGCCCGTTGACCTTGACCTGACTATCCTGGCGGCCTCGAAACCACAGCTTCCCCTGCTCGTCATATCGGGCCATGTCGCCCGTGCGGTACAGCCGACCGACCGGATCGACGTTCAGGGCACGCATCCACGCCGGGGGCGCGATGAAGAACTCCCGCGAGCGCGCCCGGTCGGCCAGGTATCCGCGGCCCACGATGCTGCCCTCAATGACGAGCTCGCCCGTCTCACCGCTACCGCACAGCCGGTTGGGGTTGTCTCGATCGACGATCCACAGCCGGCAGCCCGACGGGGCGCCCAAATCCGTTTCGGAGTGCGCGCCGCGCACGACGGCGGCAACCACAGCGCATTCGCAGGGCCCGTACACTCCGTACACTTCGAAGGACTGAGCCAGTTGCCGGACAGTGTGCTCTTTGGGAGTTTCCCCACCAGTCAGGACCACGCGCAGTGTGGGAACCTGATGTAGATCGAGCGAAGGCAAGAGGGACTGTGTGAAAAAGGCGTGGGTCACGCGCATCCGGACCATGCTCGCCACAGGCGCATTCATCCGCTCGTCCTCTGAAGGGACGCAAATGCACCCGCCACAGAGCAAGGTGAAGACAATCTCCAGGACGGCGATGTCGAAGGAATAGGCACTGAACTGAAACATCCGCACGCGGGGGTCGAGTTGCACCGTTTTGATGAATTCTAGCGCACTGGTGCAGAGGCTCCGATGCTCCACCACTGCTCCCTTGGGGGCGCCTGTTGATCCTGAGGTGAAGGCGACGTAGGCAACGTTATGGGGGCCACATCTCGCCGTTGAGCCTGAGCCCAATGGTGATACTGATACCTCCGGGGCTCCCTCGCCGCTACCGGAGGACGAAGAGCACTGGGCCAAAAAGTCATGGTCAACCACCACAACGTGAGCGCCACGGAGGAGATGGCCAGAGACTGCCACGCAGGGAGCAGAAGCCAGGACAATCGGCGACTGGGCTTGGTCTAGCACCTGCCGCAGCCTGTGCTCCGGGGTGGAGGCCGCCAGGAGAATCACGCCTCCGCCCGCCTTGAGCACACCCAAGAGAGCCACAATCATCCATTGGGACTTGGCAAAGAGTATCGGGACCAGGACCTCGGCCTGTACCCCATACGCAATCAGGTAGTTCGCCAAGCGTGTCGAGAGGGCATTTAACTCCCCGTACGTCATCTCGCCATCCCAGGAGCTGATGGCTGGCGCGTCGGGATGGGCACGGCACTGCGCACCGATCAGGTCATGTGCACAGTAATCATGACTGATAGGAGGGTTCAAAATGGTAGTCCAGGAAGGCAAGTGTGATTGGTAGTCCCCCATGTTGGCGTGTGGTGCTTGGAATGGGCTCTCTGCGACGACTCGTAATAACACGAAGAGATTGACCGCGAGTATGAGACTGACTGATAGCGGACTGTCTATCTTCGAAGCTGATTGCAGGATTCACGAAGTATGATCGCATGCGCTGTGTCTTTCAGCCAGCCGAGTCACTTAGCCGGATGGCGTGCTGGACTAAAGAGGTGAAACCTGTCGATACCACCCACTGTGCCACAAGACGCGGAAATTCGTGTCTGCTCGAAGGGAAGTTGTTCCCGCCAATTGGCCTCCTCTCAGATATTGTATGCTATACGTAGTAATACTACCCTGCTTCTTTCAACAACCAGGGTCACTCATATGGATAAGAATACTAGCAAGTGATAGGTTACCGGTAGACTCAAGGCTATACTGATGGATTGTTAGTGAATCCCGCATATGTCACGATACCCCGCGTAGAGAGAGATCGAGGTCATCACTGGTAGATAAGTACTGGATAATTCGATCGATAAATTGTCACGACGCACGGACGGGGTGAGGCGTGGCCAATCTTCAACTTAATAATACTACGGTAACTGCTAGGTAATTTAGGTATTATTTAGGTATGTACTAAGTTAGCCACGCTGGAGCCATCTTGCTCCGAGGCTGTGCCAAGCGACCAATGGCAGGGCTGTCAAAGCTTATCAGACAACAAGCAATCATTCACTTCTTCCGTCTAGGTTGAATCAGGGATTTGATAAACAGGCTGGTCCCGAGTCCCTGCATACCGATACCGTACAGGACTGTCCCTCACTATTGTTACCATACTGAATCATACCGTATTGAAACTTGATCTTGTATAACTTGTTTCAATACACGCTACATACAGTACAGTATTAAAATATCCTTGAACAGAACAGCCGTCCAATGCTCATGTTACAGCCCAATCTACCTGGGGGCTTTAGCATATGGTGTGGTCTGAATCCTGCTTTCCCTGCACAATCTGCAGGACTGAAGAGAGGTAGCAGGCCCCGCCCTGGGGCCAAATGGCTTGGTAGCAAGCGGTCCGAGGATCTCAACAACCCACAGATCCCTAGACTCCTGCTAGCCCTTAACCCCCAACACCCTCCCAGGACCATCGAATCATCCACCCATTCACCCTTCTGCCCATTGCTCTCACTCGCCATTCCAGCACAGCACTATGCATCCAGACGAGGAATCTCTGTTGAAAGGCACAGAGGACCAGGAAGAGGCAGAGGCCTCCTCGTGTCCGCCGGGGGACGAGACCCCCCCCGTCATGGCGCATCACCAGCCCCGCAGCCATCTCCTCTGGGCCATGCTTCCCGGCATGCTGAACTCTCTCGTACTGCTCGGCAACATCTTCTTCTTCCTGTTCGTGGTCAACAAGATCCTCACCATGAAAGGCTACTGCCCTCGGGTCCCTTACTGTAAGTGATGAGCCCTGCCAGCGATGTCCCCTGAGAGGGGTGAGAAACGCCCACCGAAAATAACCATCCGAGCTCTAGCCCCCGCCAGTGCCTCGCTGAGCTGGGTCTCCACCCCGGTGGATTACGACGCCCCCAATCCCTTCGCTGGGGAACTGGGTTCCCCGGAATTGAATCGTGCATGGGAGGAGCTCAAAATCCGTAAGTGACCACCGGCGATGCTGTGCGGGTAGGACCGCACAAGTCCAAGCGCCAGCCCTAACTCGCACCTTATTCTTCCAGACGAGATCTTCCGGGCCTCGGAGGAAGACCTCCGGAGTGTCAACGCGTTGAACCCCAACTCCTTGCGCATGGAGCATGGCGGGTATATGGCGATCCTGCGGGTCTACCATGAGATTCATTGCTTGGTACGTTCCCTGCTGTTACCCTGTCTTTCCTCTCACGGATATCGGGTAACCATAAGGGGGGTGGTAGGATTGGATTAAGCGCGAATGGAAAGTCGAGAAGCCCGAGATGATGGACCACCTGGGTAAGTGTTTCACTCCCACTTACCGGAGACTGTACGATGGGCTCTACTGACATCCAGTCGGGGGTGTCTCAGATCACTGCTTGATTGCTCTTCGCGACGGGGCCATGTGCCGGGCGGACCTGTCGGTGGGATCGCTGTACTGGTGGCCGGAAGAGGAGCACCGACGCATTCGGCGCCCCCCCGCCCAGCGGCGCTGCGTTAACTGGGACAGCCTCCAGACCTGGCTGCGGCCCAAGCGGCTGCAGTTCTACGGTGGAGTGGCTGAAGCTCCTATCAAGCCGGATGGGTCGAAGGTGGATGTCGTCTTGGGGGATCATTTGCATACTCTGGAGGATTTGAGCGCGATCCCCTAAGGGTGTGCTTTATTGGTGTCAATCTCGGTCTGGCTAGATCTTGGATTCATCCTTTCTAACACGCCCGTGTCTTTTGTTTTGTGAGTAGGGAGCGAAAGTGGGTAGCAAAGGGGTGTGCGTAGCTTGGATGTGACTGCGCTATTGCTGTAGGCTCTTCCAATAAAACGGAGCTCGAAATCCACGGGGATTGCACCATGAGGTGCCGTTCATTGAAACCCAATCAGAAGTATTATGGACGGTCTTCTGTCCCTGATTTCGGGGATTGTCTACACGTAGTGCTATCGCAGATAGGAGGAATTGAGAGCCTGAAATAATACTGGTTCATTGATGAGAACCCCACTTCGGTGAATAGCCCGAGTGCCCGAGTTGCATTGGTGGCATCCATCAGCACATAAAACAATCAGATCCAAACCGAGGGCCGCAGAATAAAGGGGCTTGTATCACCAGTGGGTCCGCATCTCTACTCACTGGATGGATCAATATACTGCGGAAAGGAGGGGAAGCCGGCCCCTGTGCTTCGTGGATGATACGAGAGACCACGGTCTCACGCGATTTTTACCCAGAAACCAATCGCAGGATTACAAACCTAGTCTCGTCCCGTCGTCATGTCCGGCCCACTATGCCGTCCCCCTCTTGAGTTGGTTCCGATGTGAAGGAGTGCGTCGGAAATGAGCTGATGCCGCCAGACTTTGCAGACACCTGGCTGCCCCGAATAGTATAAGGGTCAGCCAGATTCTCCTTCCTCGCCGGTCACCCGATCCCCTCACGCCATCTTTTTCATTTCTTGTCATTTTCTGACTCTATTCAACACCATGTCCGGTCAATCGCTCGATCTCTCCGCCTATACACGTGGCTCAGTCGCGCAGCAAGAGGCGTTTGCTCAAGCGCTGCTGCGGGAACTCACACAGTTCGGCTTTGTGAAGCTGGTCCACCATGGCCTCTCGGACGAGGATGTTGGCGCTCTCTTCGACTGGGTTCGTAGACACTCCTTGGAGAACAGAGCTGAGAAACATCTCCACTAACAGAGCCATCTGCCCTTTTTCGCTTTGGTAGACGCGGAAATTCTTCGCTCTGCCTAGCTCGGAAAAAGTGCGACTCGCGCATCCCGCAGGCCCTGAGCCTCAGCGGGGCTGGAGTTGCGTGGGCGCGGAGAGGACCTCCAAGCTTTACCGCGCGGGGCTCGGCGAGACGAACATTGACGAAGAGCTATTCGATGCGCGGGTGAGATTATGGTGTCTTTTTTCCGTTCTTTATCCTGTCCATCCTCCGCGCTGCCCCCCCTCCCCCCTCTCTCTCCTGGCTTTTCTCTCTTGCCCAACACCTTATTTTCGTTGATGCTGATGACAAAACCCACTACATGGTAGGAGCATTTTGACCTCGGATCCCCCGACGACAGAGCATGGCCTAACCGGTGGCCAGATGAGCGTTGTCTGCCGGGCTTTCAGGAGTTCCTGGAGCGGTACTACCGCAACTGCGCGGCGGTCAGCTCAGTGGTGCTCGCGGCGCTCGAGCAGGCGCTGGAGCTGCCCGCCGGGGCCTTTCGCGAACGTTGTACGCACACGGCGAGCGAGCTCCGTTTGAACCACTACCCGGCCATCGAGGTCGAGGAGCTGCGACGCGGAGTCGTCAACCGCATATGGCCGCACACCGACTTGGGGGTCATCACCTGCCTGTTTCAGGATGGCACGGGGGGGCTCGAGATGGAGGACCGCGCCAGCACGGCGGCCGGACACAAGGAGGCGTTCCTCCCCGTGGCCCAGGGACCGGAGGGGGCGCCGGCGGAGATGATCGTCAGCATCAGTGAGACGCTGCAGCGCTGGACCAATGGTCGACTGCCGGCCGCTGTGCATCGGGTCGAGCTCGCGCCGCATCTGAAGACGCTGCAGCAGGGGCTGGTCCCGCAGCGCTTCTCCAACGCGTTTTTCGTCAAGGCCGACCGCGAGGTCTCGGTCGCGCCGCTCCCTCAGTTTCTCGCACCGGAGACACCCGCCTTGTATGAGGAGATGTCAGCATTGGAGTATCATCGCTTTCGGGTTGCCCAGGCCTATCGTGGGTGACGACCGGGCATTCGCCTCGAGTGTTGTTAGGGTTGCGATGTGGGCTGGTGTTCTTCGGTGCCCGTACCTGATCTCGTATCTTGAAATACCAGACCCACAGTTGTACAGTACAGGCAATGTGAAATGGGAACCTGCTGTACCTGCATTGTACATACAGCATAAACATCAACTCGGACAGTGCTGGTTGCCGCTTGGAATATATTGCGAGTGGCTCCAGCTTCAGTATAATCACGTATCCACTCCTACACGCCTGTCATGATTCACTCGTGCGCATCCGACCGTCTTGCACGAATGTTCCCCCAACGATGCCCAAATTAACCATCACCATCCTCGGCTGCGGTATCCTATCTCTCCATTCCTCCCTTTCCGTCTTTGCCTTCGCATCTCCACCAGAGACAGACTGATTGATTCCCGAACCCCTCCAGTGTACGGGAACCGTAGGCACCTGCATCCTCGACGGCCTCCAAGTCCCCTTGACCTCAACAGTTGAGGTTGAGTTCATCGTGCAAAGCCTTCAGCCGAACAGCAGCGCAGCAGTTCCTCAAGACAAATCTCAAATTTTCAAGATATTCTAGTAAGAAAATTGTTATTGAAGTCCAGACAAACGCAGAACTACCCGCAAACATATTTTTGGTAAAGGGGATGAGATGGAATGCACAAATACAGCTAACCCATCTTTTCTGGGGATATATAAAATCCGTTGTTCGTTACTTCAAGCCGAAGAGTAAGATATGTATCAGAGATATATTCCATTGTATTCCGCGTCTTTTTCCCAGGGCTACTTGACGTTCAACAATTCTAAAGGTATGAAGGTATGAGGTCTGAGAAAAAAGATCTTGGTATTCTTTGAGAGTGGCAAAATCAATCAATCGAGTATATAAGTTTATACCATCTTCGACTCTTAAAAGCAACTGAGCATTTGTTGTCAAATTATTAGATGTTCGAATGTTAGAGAAACCAAATGAGCAAGCTTTATTGTGAAGGGATGGATGTAAGCACGATGGTTCTCCGCCACCCAGAGATGGTTCAGACATTCATCGCCCGCTTCAATTCCTCACAATCCCTTGACTCTTGCACGAAGTGATGGAATGGGCCATGCGCCTGGTACAGCGTCCGTGGCGGACCATACTCCTCGACCATCCCCTGGGAGAGCACCACCACGCGGTCAAAGTCGACGACGGTGGCCAGCCGGTGGGCGATCACGATCAGCGTGCGCTCCGTGAAGGCGTCACGGATCCCCCGTTGAATCAGCGCGTCCGTAGCCGGGTCGATCGCGCTGGTTGCCTCGTCCAGCACCACGATCCGGGTCTGTGTGATCAGCGCCCGCGCCAGACACAGGATCTGTCGCTGGCCTTGGGACAGGTTGGCTCCGCCCGGGGAGATGGGATGGTTGAGCAGTGCCGCCGATGCGGCAGCATCTTCGCGCGCGGGGCCCAGGGAGAAGTGCACGCGCTGCAGCGCGGCGTGCAGCTCCCCGTCGCTGTAGTGGCCGAACGGGTCGAGATTACTGCGCACGGTGCCCGAGTAGAGCACAGGGTCCTGCGGGACCAGCGCAATGCGCGAGCGCAGGGTTGTCAGGGGCACAGAGGCGATGTCGATGCCATCGATCGTGATATGGCCTCCGCCGCCACCGCCGGCCTCCAGAACCCGAAGCAGAGCCAGCGCCAGCGTCGACTTGCCGGCCCCCGTGCGACCGATCACGCCCACGTGCATGCGCGGGCCTATCTGGAGGTTGATGTCGCGCAGCACCCAGGGCAGTTCGTTAGCGTATCTGATGGAGAGGTTGTGGATGGCGATCGCCCCCGTGGCTGGCCAGTCGGGGGCTGTAGAGCGCCCTTCGAGGTGATTCTCCGTCTCGATGCTGGCAAATTCAACCACCCGCTCCGTGGAGCTCATGTTGAGCTGCAGGCTGATGACGCGGCGCATCAGGTCCTCCAGCATCTTGCTGTACTCCAGGCTCACGGTGAGGATGAACCCGGCCAACGGGGCGTCGACGTGCTTGGCGGCCACTGCCACGACAATCAGGAAGCCGAACAATGCGCCAATGATCCCAATGCGCCAGGCCGCCCACTGCGTGATTAGCGCAAATGCCCAGTGCGTACGTGCCTGGTTGTCGATCAGCCACAACATGCGCTCCGCGTATCGCCCGGCCACCCCGAACGCGCGCAGGGTTCCCAGCCCCGCCAGACAGGACCGGTGTAGCTCGAAAATCGGCGACTTGGCCGTGGCCTCGAGGCGCTTGACGTCGCGGGCCGCGGGCAGGAACCGGCGCACATATAACAAACACCCGCCAACCAGCGCCAGCTCCAGCACAATCACCCACGCGGACACCAGCACCCCGGAGATACAGATGATCGCCAGCGCGGTAGCTGCCGACAGCAGCGTGTGCGTGTCTCCGGGGACACGCGAGTCGACCAGGGCAAAGTCCGCCGTCAGCCGGTTGAGGATCTGGCCGGTGGGCACCGTGTTCAGCCACCGCAGCGGCGCGTGTAGGATCGCATCGAGCATCGAGTGAAACAAGCGGTGGGAGGCGTTGAGGGCCGCCACATAGACAAACCCGCACTTGCCGGCCTCGAGCAGGCTGGCCGACAGCGAGATCACCACGTAGATGGTGAGATAGTAGTTCAGCCGCAGATCCGGTGGGCCCAGCTGGATGGCTGGGGAGCCGAGCCTCTCGTTGAACTGCGTCCAGACCTTCATCCACCACCCGCGGCCAAACAGGGCCAGTTGGGAGGCAATGACGACCAGAATGGCCAGTACCCAGACCAGCGTACCCCCTGAGTGCGCAATGTACTGGCTATAGACGCGCCACTTCACCGAGCCACGCTCGCGGAACTCGTCGCGAATCCAAGGAGACGTTCCAGTGGGACCAAGCTTGCCCTCAGCATCTCCGCAGGAATTCTCAAAGTGCATCATATTTTCGTATCTTAGCGCCTCCTCTGGAGCTACGGCGGGCACCCCGACTGCGTGGCCGGGATGATGAGTCTCCCGTGGACTCAGAAGATCGATCTGGGGAGACGGGACTCTGGCTCCATGGCATTGACCGCTGTCCCGGATACGAAGTACGTACGAGGCATGGGGCAGGCAAAGGGCTTCATGGTGGGTCACCAAGAGAATGGTCCGACCTTGTCCCAGGGGTCCTCGGAGACCCCTCTCCAGCAGGACCTGCGCGACGCCCACGTCGACCGCACTGAAGATGTCATCCAGCACTAACATCCCCGCCCGCGAGTACAAGGCTCTCGCCAACCCGAGCCGCCATCGCTGGCCTCCGCTCAGATTGATGCCCTGGACGCCGACCTCAGTGAGATCGGACCGCTCCATCTGCTGCAGATCTTGGACCAGCGCTGCCGCCCGGAGGGTCTCTTCGTACCGGGCAGGATTCATGGGCAAGCCGAAAAGGATATTCTCGCGGACCGTGGCGTTCTCAATCCACGGCGGCTGCGGCAGGTAAGCGAGCAAGGCATCAAGCACCCAGTCATCTGCCTTAGTGAGGGCTTGCCCCGGCGGGCTGGATGGAACATACACCTTTCCGGCGCGGATCTCCGCCTCGTTAACAATGGCAGCCAGGAGCAGGCTCTTCCCCGATCCACTTTTCCCCTGGATCAGACTTAGCTCGCCCTTAGGGAAGACTGCATTCACTTCCCGCAGCTGGAAGTGCTGATTCGCATCTTTGCGCGGGGACGGGCCACCGTCGTGCGGCGGCTGCTCGGCCGGCCACGCAATCGTAGCCCGCTCAATCACAATCTCCCCTTTCTCTGCGGGCAGCACCGCCCTGGGCTGCTCTGTCTGGCGCAGCAGACGCTCGATTCGCCGGCAGCTGACGGCGGCGTCGAAACCCTGGGTCAGCGCGAAAGGGATGACCGAGAGGGCGACCTCGAGGTTGCCGAAGACGGCGAGCGCCGTGAAGGCCACGGAGGGGGCGAGGGAGCCGTGGAGCCATGCGTACGCGGCCAGGGCAATGACAGAGAGTAAGATCGGCGAGGAGATCCAGAACAGGCGCAGGATGATTGTCCAGAGGAAGACGCGGCGCTGGTGGTGCAACTCGCGCGCGCGAATGGCCATCAAGCGGGCCTGCCACTGCTGCTCGCTGGCCGCGCACTTGATCTGCCGGATTCCCTGCAGCGTTTCGCTGGCCGCGGTCACTTTGGCGTCTCTCTGAACCATTAGCCCTGCTTGAGCTTGCCCGTAGGCGCGCGAGGCGAGCAGGTTCAGCGGCATGAGCACGACGGGCGCCAGTAGGCCCAGCACGAAGGGGATCCAGCCGATCAGCCGCACCAGCGCAGTCCCTGCCACCAGCAAGCTGATCCCAATGCCCAGGAAGATGTACGTCCGGGCAACGAACTCCACTACCCGCGTCGCGTCCACCCCGAGCAGGTTGACAATGCCCTGCTCCGCGCTCAGCCGGGGCCGGGGTTTAGGCTGGGGCCGGGTCGTCGCCGCGCGGGATTGGGCATCGGAGGACATCTCGCGCAAGGGAACCGGCTCGGTGTCAATTTCTGTGCCCTCATCATCGGACAACAGCCCCGTTAGGTCAACATGCTCTGCATCCTCTTCGGCCTTGGGCGCCTTTCCTACCCCGACCGTCTCCGTCGATTCGTTCTCACTTTCCTCATTCGGGGTCCTGATGTCCTTCAGGCGTAGAGACTTCAGAAAGATCAAGGCAGACAGCTGCGATCGCAAGGGAATCTCTAGCAGCGATCCCGTGGCCCAATTGAGTCTGGAGGCGCTCACGTCACTCGTAAGTTTCAATTTCTTCTCTGACTCCAAGATCATCCATCTTCATCCCCTAGGGGACAGAGAGAGGAGCATACCGAGTATCCACAAACACCAACACTACCCGCGAAAGCCCCATGGCAATTGCCCACATGAGCAATTCTGTCGTGACACGAGAGACATCTCCCTGGCCCTCAAGGATCCGGAGAATGTGGAAGAGGCAGAACTGGGGGGCGTAGGCGACCACGTTCTGCACGGCGACCAGGAACCACTGCCACCAGAAGACGCGACGATGGGCGCGATAGAGCTGCAGCCACAGCGGCGCGGCGAGATCCTTAGCCGCAGACGACTCAAAGTGAGACGTCAGGGGTTGGGACCGATTCTTCTGGTCGACGACCGCCAGGTCATGAAACCCGATTTGCGCGCCGTCGCGCGGATGGTCGAGTAGGGCGTTGATCCAGGAGAATGTGTATCTATATTCCCTCGCTTAGAATTAGGCACAGTTTTCTAATCATCGTGAAGCAGCAAAGAGAGGAATGACATCGTAGGCCCGACCTTTGGAGGAGTGAGACGGTGAATTGACCGTCGACAATGCTACCATTCCGGTATACGGCGGGCCGCCGGTGCATGGACAGGGAGCTCAGGATGACGGCAGAGCCGAGCGCCATTTGCACGCTGAGGTCAATCCATTGCGTCCGGAGACATTTGGAAATCACTTGCTGGGGATCATATCTGGCACTCAGCGCAAGCAATCTTGGACTCAGGTTGAACAGTAGCAGGCTGGCGGAGAGGCCGATATAAATCCCTGTCCGGAAGGTCTGCCGTGGGTGCTTGGCGTGAACGAGAGAGATGCATTGTCCCAAGATCAAGATCTCCAGCAGCATGAAACCAGTTAGCTAGACTCCTTTATTACAAGCCGCGTGAGCTGAACAGAAAACCATCATACCCATGGCATCGAATGCAGATACGTGAGGACCGACCCGTGCAGTGACAGACGTGTTGTCAATGCTGTGTAGAAAGTCATCCCCGTCGACACAACAGCTCCAACCAAAGCGAAGAAGCACAGATATGTCTTGGGCATTATGGTAGTGTACCGCGCAGCGGAAGAGGGCGTAGCTTGTCCATCTGGATCTTTGTATAGAGTGCCCCGTGGTGCATGCGCAGCCGAACCCGCGGATTCCAGGCGGGCCAGTAGAGTCAGAGCGACAATCGCCGAGTTGACGATGAAAGAGACGATTAGTTGAGACGTGGTCGTCATGAACACGCGCAGGGCAACGGTCATGATTGATGCGCACCACTGCCAATACTTGCTTGCTGCTTGACAGCCGATCAAGCTTTCAACAAACCAGTCCACGGTGGGTAGTATTCGATGCTCTTAGGCTTCAGCCTCTAAGGTCTGGCGTAGTGTACAATAGGACCGATTTCCCTAGCCGGATGCCTTGCCTTTTCTCGGTTTCTCGAAGACTTGACCCATGTCCTCTGAGCGAGAAGGTGGGCTGTCGCAAGACCCTGAATCCCAGGAGTTCTCCGCCCCGCACCCGTGTTTGATCCACGTTATCTATCTGACCCTTGGTATTTTTTCTCAGTATACTGCACGATGGCTGACATTAACATTAACTGAGAGGTTGGTGGAAGAACTGAAAATGCCGCAATTCGCGCAGACTGGCATGGTATATCACATTTCATGGTGGTACAGTATCGTTGTATGGTACGCGGTACGCTACAATACTGTGCGAAAAAAAAAAGAAACACAGCCGGAACAAAAACGGAAAGACACTATATGTAACATACGATAAAGTACACTATCACAGCCTGTTAATATAATACGTGGCACCGCCAGCCGGAACAACCTGGACGGAAAGATCGAAATTCGTGCCTAATAGCCCAATTATGGCCCTTCACTCTGTACATCTGTACTGTATTGTGCTAGCTTTCTTTTCTAGTAACAAAGTACCTCCAGATCAAGTCGCAAGTCCGGTCTGTGCGTTGGTTCTGGACCCCTTGCTTACTCTGTACAAGAAGTACAACGCCGCCTTACTCCGGTTCGTATCAATTGTATGTATATGTATAGTCGCGTACACTAAACAGATTGTGAAGATCTGTGGAACAGGACGATAGCTGTACTTTACCGCGTACATCACTTGGAATCGAAGTGCGCGGCGCTCGTATTACCTTACCACGCGCACTATCGTCACACTAGGACCATCTTGCTCCTATCTCCTTCCCAGTAGAACGAATCAGTCCAGGGATTAGTTGAAAGGTGGTGAGGATGGCGAAACGGGCGGAGATCATGGAGGTGAAGTTAGTGCGACAACAGAAGCCTCCGAGGAAGAGGGGGTTTCGAGGAGCGGGGGATGCCTTTTCCCCGTCAGAGAACACAATAGTAACATCCCGGAGACTTCTCACATCTCGAACTGACTCAATTGCTCATTCCCAGTAGATCTCAACCAAGTCCCCTGGTTCTCGGCATCCATACTCCCACTCCCGATGATCCAGACTACACTCCAGCGGCGTTGTCCGCCCAACGGCAGCGTGCGAGCCCTATCCCACATGGCCGCGGCCACCACCTACACAACTGCCATTAACAACACGACCACCACCAACAAGAAACCCGCCTTACGGCCTCCCAACCGCGCAGACTCCCGCTGGAAGACCATCGACCCGGTTCCTCTGACGCGCGAGTCCTTCCTCGACCTCCTCTACGGCCGGACTCCCGTGATCCAGGTGCCGCGCTTCATCGATCAAGACCTCAGCGCCCGGTCGCTGCACTATCTGCTTCCACGCTTTACCCCATACCTGCACGCAACCGGACCGCCCGTGGAGAAGGTCGGACTGGCGCAATTTGAGTTCCAGGCGCAGTCGGCCGAGGATTTCACCCGTCGTACTGGGAACGGTAAGTCCAGCCCATCCCAGCCCAGCCCAGCCCAGCCCTAACAGTCCCTACCCTCCTTACCCCCCCAGTAAACAGCCACCTGAGCAAAAGCTAAAGACCGCGTCCACCCCGGCCCTCCCCCGGTGCAGAAAAGGCCCAGTACTTCAGCGAGGTGTCCAAGCTGGGGGATCTGCACGCGCGCATGGCCGCCGTCACAGGGACGAATCTGTGGCAGCGTACCGTGGCCGCCATTACCGCGCTGGTGGCGCCCGAGTGGGAGGTCGGGGTTGCCAGCGAGCTGGGGTTTCAGGCCCGATCACCGGCCGTGAACCGAGCACCGAATTCGATGCACCACCACCAACAGCAGCAGCAGGAACAGCAGCAGTACTTCTCCGGGATCTTCCGCAGCATCAACCGCGGCACGCCAATCCACTGCGACTGGTGCCCGTACGACTGCCTGACCGAGGACTGGATCCTCAGCCGCATCACCCACCAGGCGGTGTTCAACCTGTACCTGTCCTCGGTGACGGACGGCGGCGACACGACCATCTATGACGTGCAGTGGTCGCCGGAGGCACTGCGGTACCGCGACCCGGCCTCGTACGGCTATGCGCCGGAGCTGGTGGCGGGGCGCGACCACACCCGCTTCCACCCCGAGGCGGGCGATCTGTATATCTTCAACTCGCGCAACATGCACGAGGTGGCGGCGGTCGAGGAAAAAGTCACACAGACGCAGTCGGCTCCCCCCCGCGTGGCGTTGGCCAGCTTCATGGGGCTGCTGCCGGCAGAGGTGACCGGGGGAAAGCCGCGATTGATGTTCTGGTCGTAGGAAATGATGCTTTGGCCGGTGCTTGACAATGTATATAGTCATGCAACTTATTTTCAGTGTGCTAAAGATGATCAGAACATAATTCCAGTCTAATGCAATGTCTAGCTCCCAACACGATAGAACCAAACTGAAATAGAAGAACAAGGAAGGGACTCGTGACTCCTGTGTTCTGTGTTCTCCCGTGGTATAGAAATACGTACAGTACAGAAATACCTCAACAGCCCTAACCCTAGCGAAGAAGCCCATTGTGTTTCCCCCTCCAAACCCCCCCCCCCCAAGCCTCTCTCCCTCCCTTCTCTCTCCCTACGGTCAAGGAAGCAGGACCCCCTCTCAATCCCCAACAACCCTCAAGAACCACCTAAAACCCCACACTCCACTTCGAACCGCCGAATCCACTCCCTGATCCTGGCCTGATGCTTCATCCCCAGTCCGTAGGAGAACCCAACCTGCAGGTGACCCTGGCGGACCCGCGCCACGATCTCAAACACCGCGGCATGCCGCATCTTCATTTGCGCCATCTCGCTATGCATCTCCTCTGGCGAATTGTCCTCAGTATCCCGCCTCAACGCAAATAATGCATCCGGCCGTTCCAGCTGCTGATAGACGCCCGCGTAGTTGAACATGATTTCTGGGATATCTATTCTCCCTTGTTCCTCGCTCTGCCCCTCCTCGTTCCCAGGATGCTCCTGCTGCTCCGGAAGCTCCGTCCCTTGCAGGGACGATCGGAGGTGGCGGGCGACGAAGAATGGTAGAGCCAGCCGGTGGCTCTCGGCGTTGAGCTCGGTGAAGGCGTGGATCGCTTGCTGGACGGTGCGGAACGCGATGGGGGAGCCTTGGGTCGGGTACATGGTCGTGAACCAACCGACGGTGCGCGAGACGTCGAGGCCGCGGTCCCCGAGACAGAGGTCGCGGCCGTGCGAGACGTTGACGGCCGTCGGAGCAGTGCCCGTGCGCTCGGGGAAGACCTCGAGGAAGGCATGCTGCAGGATTGCGAGTAAAGTGAGGTCGGGCCGGGGGCGGTTGCCGTGACCCGGCGGGGGAGCATGCGCGAGAAGGCGCGCGGTGGCCGCGGGGTTCAGGGATACGGTCTGCGTGTTGGAGGAGGCACCGTCAGACGTTGCTTGCGGCGTGGTACCCCAGAATGCGAACGGGGTGGGGATCAATGCGAACGGGGGCAGACCGTCGTCGGGATCGTTGGGGCAGGCCCCGCTCCTTGCGTAGGCGGCGCCGGCCAAGGCTTCGCACCACGCTTGATATGATGCAGTAGGGGCATCGCGACAGAGCATCCCGCCCGGATGGAGCAGAGTCTCGAGGTCTTCCAGCAAGATGCGCCAGGAAACGAGGTCCAACGCTAGATGGTGGGCGGTCAGGTGCAGAACCTGTCCGTTAGGGGTGGTAACCAGCTCCCCGGCCAGGATCGGTCCTGTGGTGATATTGATGCTGGAATGCGTGCGGCGAATCATGGCTCTCAGCAAATCCTGACTATCGGCCTCATCTTGGTAGCCCCACAGCATATGTGATTGGGACACGTCCCGGGAGACCCATTGCCACCAGCGACCATGGTCGTCCTGGGTGAACCTTGCTCGTAGCATTGGGTGGCGCTGGACAAGAGCTTCGACCGCATTGCGAAGTTCCGCCATGTCCAGAGTTCTTCGAAGCGTGAGCGTGTGGCTGAGCTGGTACGATGAATTTCCATCGGGATACAGCTCGAAGAACCGCGCTTGGATCGGCGAGAGCAGGAACCAATTCTCTTCAGCTGCGGCCGTCGTTGCATCCCCGGACACACTCGTGTCCGCGGTGGTGGCACTCGTACCCGGGTCAGAAACGCTCGAAGACGGGACCTCGCTGCTCTCAATGTCCTCCAGAAGCGCACAGAATGAGCCAAGGGTATTGTACTGCATGATGCTCTGGACCGTCACCTGGATTCCCTGCGCACGGAGGAAGGATAGGACCCGCAGCGCGGAGATTGAGTCCCCGCCCAACGACCAGAAGGAGGTTCCCAGCGCGACGTCAGCCGCTTCGCGATTGAGCACGCGGCACCAGATCTCTTGCACTGTCATCTCCAGCGCCGTCCGGGGCGCGATGTCGGCGTTCTGGTCCAGCGTAGACCGTCGCACGAGTTGCTCCGGAGGGATCGCGGAGACAATCTTTTGCAGATGCATGCGGTCAAGTTTTCGCGATCGTGTGAGCGGCATCGTGTCAAGGGGGACGTAGACTGATGGAACCATGAAGTATGGAAGAACCCGGGTCAAATAATCATGGATGCGTGAGGCGAGGGCCAGGAACGAAGGGGTCTGCAAGAGCCGGATCGTCTGGCCCTGTGGCGCATCCGTCAAAGAGAGAAAGGCCGTCAGACAAGAAGACTGGGCGATGGTTGCCAGTTGGACGACCACGTCCCGGACATCGCCGGACTCCAGGCATCCCCTTTTGATCTGCCACTCAATCTCCCCTAGTTCAATGCGTTGACCATGCAGCTTTACCTGGGCGTCTCGTCTGCCGTGGAAGATCAGACTGCCATCGCGGTCGTACCGAACGAGATCCCCCGTGCGATAGACGCGACAACCCGTCCGACCCGCTGTCGACCGAGAACCACGTTGCAGCCAGCGTGGGGCAGGGAGGAAGACCCGGTCGGTCTGCAGAGGGTTGCGCAGATAGCCCTGGGCGAGGATGGGTCCTTCAAACACCAACTCCCCAATGGCGCCGACAGGAGCCAGTTTCTGCGGGTCATCGGGGTCGACGATCCACGGGACGCCGCCGACAGTGTGACCGATCTTGGTCGGCATCGATTCATCCACAGTGGGGTTGACGGCGCAGGTGACGCACAGTTCACTCGGCCCATACACGTTGATTAACCGCACCGTGCGGGCCCATTGCTGCACATGTTGGCCGGACATCGCCTCCCCACCCAGCAGCAGCACGCGGAGTCCTGGCACGCTCGCAGGATCAAGCAGACTGGCGACCGATGGCGTCAGGTGCGCCCAATTGACGCCGTAGCGATTGATGCACCCAGGCAGGTCGTTGGTGCGCTCCATCTCCGACGGCATGCAGATACATCCGCCCACAATCAAGGTCGTGAGAATGTCCTCGAAGCAAGTATCGAACGAGAAGGAGGCAAACTGCAGGACCCGGGACTGGTGATCGATGGCGATCGCGGGAATATGACCCGCCGCCCCGGAGCTGTAGGCGGAGTGTGAGATCACCGCGCCTTTGGGCTCGCCGGTCGACCCGGACGTGAAGCTGATGTAGGCCGGACTCGAGGCATCTCGCGGCATGTGCTCCCACTCACCGCGCCGCTCCAGCTCCGCGATGACGTCCGGACTCACGATGAAGTAGCCTTCCTCCAGCTCGGCGCAAATTGACCCGCAATGCGGCGAGGCTAGAACAAGGCGTGACTCAGTCTGTCGGAGTAGGAACTTGACTCGATGTCGTGGATGGGAGGGGTCGATTGGCACAAATGCCGCGCCGGCCCTCAAGACGGCCAGCACGGCCACGATCGCCCACACCGATTTCTCGAACAGCAGGGGCACGTATGATCCCCGCGATATACCGGACTCCACCAGGTAATCGGCAACCTTGCCTGAATATTCGTCGAGAAGGGCATAACTCAGGCGGCCATCCCAACCTTCCACCGCGAAGGCAGCAGGCCGTGCCGTGATCTGTTCTTGGATGGTGTCATGGATGCACTGAGTGGTTGCGGGGGGCACGAGGTGGTTCCATTCCCAGATCTGGTCCAGCTCCTGATCGGTGATGACTTCGATATCGGCTACCGTAGTCTCCGGCGCGGCGTGAATGAGTCGATCGAGGACCTGACCCAGCTGGTGCAGCATCCTCTCGACCAGCTCGTGGTCGAACCACGCGGCATCAAAATGCGCGGTGACCAAGGCCGCCCCGCCCTCCTGGACATCGACGAGAACCGTCAGAGGGGTGGTTCGGAAGGTGCCAGATCCCTCAAGTCGCTCAATCACCAGCAGGGAATTCTCCGATACCTGACGATGCGGTTGAATCACGAGGAGACAGTCGAAGTCGCAGAGACGGGCGATGTCCTCGCCGAGGTGTTTGATATTCTGCAAACCAAAGTGTTGAAACGGAATCATCCGCGCGGCCTCAGATTGCACTCGCGACAGATACTTCGCCACCGGCATACCCGGGGGGTCGAGGGAGAGCCGAACAGGGACGGTGGTGAAGGTTGGTCCCACAACAGATTCCACCCCTGGGAGAGCCACATTGCGTCCCGACACTGTCGCCCCAAACACCACGTCGCTGGATCCGGTGTGTTTCGACAAAACCAGAGCCCACGCGGCCTGCACCAGGTTCGAAAAGGTGATTGACAGCGGCGCCGAAGGGACACAGCCCTGGATCTGGTGACTGACGGTCTGCGTGGGGTGGGCCAAATCAGCGAGAGTCGAAGTCGCACCAGGAAAACTGCCAACGCTCGCATTTTCCAGATATGAGCGCCAGTAATCCCGTTGCTCGCCGACCGGCTGGCTCTGGAGATGCTTGATAAAGGTGGCAAAAGACACGGGGCTCGGCTGGGAGGCCTTCGGCGAGTCCAGGTCGGCGTACGCATGCTCGATGTGTCGAAGAACCAGCGGGGCAGAGAACCCATCGTAGGAGGAGTGGTGCTTCGTCCAGACAAAGTAAGCGTGTCCATTCTGGCTGCAGCAAATGGCCCAACGAGTCAACGGGTCCCCGAGACCGATGGAGGATTGTTGGTCAAAGACCAGGTAGTCGTCCAAGGCCACCGCGGGCGCCTGCCAAGTAATGCCTTCTTGATATACCACTTGAATCATGTCAGAGGAAGAGGAGAGTTGGACGATGGAAGTCCGGAGAATCGGGTATGCCTCCACCGCCGCTTCACAGGCCTTTTGAAACCGTGGGATGTCAACACCGGGTTGGATGCGGTACACCTCCTGCGCGATGTACGAACCGGTCTTGCGCACGGAAAGTGCCATTAACCCGGCCTGCAACGGCGTGCATGGTAGAATGTCGACAATGTTTTTTCCTCGCCCACATGCATCCGCTACTTCGGATATGAGTTCATCCAACGGCCCAAGATGTGCTATGCACTCAAACGCCACTGCATTTGCGGCGCGAACTCCGTCCTCCTCCTGCTCGTCCTCCTCGTCGTCACGGACCGGTTGTATCTGGACAGACTTGGCCATGTCCTGGAGAACAGGAGCGTTGAATATCCCGGCCACAGTCAGGGTGATACCGAACCGACGGCCGGATGCCACAAGCCTCATAGCCAGAAGTGAGTCGCCACCCAAAGCGAAGAAGTTATCGCTGGCGGCAATTGCGGACCCGTCGAGGTGCAACACCGTCGCCCACAGATCCCGCATTTTGAGCTCTGCGGGGGTGCTGGGCACGACGATCTCCGCCACCTCATCGGCCGCCGCCATGGCTCCCAGCTGCTCTGGACTGAGAGAAAGTCCCAACGCCCGGAGGGCCTTGCGATCGACTTTACCCGAGGTGCTCGATGGCAGGTGTCTCAGCGGGACGAAGGCGGCCGGAATCATATAACTGGGCAGCTGAGCAGACAGATGCTGCGCCAGCGCACACACCGCAGAATTCCAGTCTGGGCCGGGTTCCGCAACCAACAAGGCCGAGTCTGAGTCTTCGTGCCCAGAAGCAGGATGCTGGCCGGGGTGGTGGACCAGAAATGCGGCGAGCTTCCTGCTTTGGCCCGGGTGGCCGGATTCAACAACGTCGACGGCCACCTCCCAGCCTCGGCTATGGGATCGAATACAGTCTTCAATCTCGTTCACCTCGACCCGTTGGCCCCGTATCTTGACCTGGGTATCCTTGCGACCCATGAACAAGAGACTCCCATCGGCACCGTACCTGACCAGGTCACCTGTCTTGTAGAATCGGCGTGGTTTGGTGGAAGAGGGCCCTTGCCCCCTCGCCCAAGCCGGGTTCGTGAAGAATTGCGCGCTGGTTTGGTCATGGCTATTAAGGTAGCCTCGCGCGAGCACCGGGCCCTCCAGGACCATCTCGCCGACGAGACCTATCGGGAGGAGGATGTCATGATTTGCCGGGTCGACCACCCAGGACAACGCGCCCAGGCCCTTGCCCAGACAGTTCTTCGCGCTGCCTGGCTGCATTTTGCCCCCGATGCAGGTGGTCGTTTCGGCGGGGCCGGAGCACTGATAAACATTGACCCGGCTGACCCAGGTATCGAGAATTTCTTGGGTCACGGACTCCCCTCCCAGGACCAGGGTGCGCAGCGAGGGGACCTCGTCCGGTATCAGCAGGGTAGCTGTCGACGGGGTGAAGAAGGCCCAGTTGGCCGCCAGGCTGGCGATTGCGTGGTTCACGTGGTTCATCCTGTCCATGTCGGAGGGGATGCAGACGCAGCCACCGAGGATCAATGTGGTACAGAAGTCGTAGACCGCCATGTCGAACGCGTGCGATGCGAACTGCAAAACTCGCGAATTCTCGTCCAGGCCCAGCGCCGGCCCGTGAGTCAGGGCGCTCGTGCAGATCGCCGCGTGCTGCAGCATGATGCCCTTCGGCGTGCCGGTACTGCCTGATGTGAACACCAGGCATGCCAGATGGGTCGGGTCAGACACGACGAGTGGCTGTCGCAACCGTTGTATGGTCTGGGCGAGATGCGCGGTCTCACGAGAGACCGTGATGACCACCCGGCCCGAGCCATCGTTCACGAACAGCCGGGCACAGTCGACGGAGGTGACGATGATCTTGACATGGGCCTCATCTGCAATCCGTCGCAGCCGTTCGATTGGATGTCCGGGGTCCAGGAGACTGAAGGCTGCCCCGGCCTTGAGAACCCCCAGCATGGCCACTGCCGTGTACTGGGATTTCTCGAAGCAGACGGGGATTATGTCCTCCGCCGTTACCCCGGACGCGAGAAGCTGTTGTGCCACGATCCCGGAGAGGTGACTTAAATCGCCGTACGAAAGCACGCCGTCCCAAGCCTCAATAGCAATCTTGTCGGGGTGCCTCTGACTTCGGGCTTCTATGTAGTCGTGGACGCATCCAGCAACCATCGCAGGGGCAATACCGTTTGCATTCCACCTGAGGATGGTCGCTTTGTCATTGTCAGTCAACAATGGTAACTCGTCCAATGTAATTTCCGGCGAACTGGTGCAGAAGCAAACAATAATATGCGCAAGCTGGTCCAGTGCGCGTTGTGCTTCGTCCGGAGTCAGTATCCGCGAGTCAAAGTTCAGGTTCATGGCCAGTCGATCTTTGGCCAGGGGGAAGAACTGAAGCATAGCTGGGTACGGATTGAAGGCCGAGTAATCGCCGCGCAGACGCTGGTCCTCTCGCTGGCTCAGCAGGCGTGGTGTATCGCCGTCAACGTGTGCTGTCGGGGTCTGCATCACCAGAAGAGTGCCGAAGTTGCAGGCTGCACGGGTGTCGGCGTTGATCCTCTGGATATCAGGTAACCCCAGATGTTCGAACTCCATCATTTCCAGGGCCTGGCCATGCGCCCGTCGGATGAAGTAGTGCACCGTCCAGGCGAGAGATAGACGCACTCGAATCGGCACCGTGGCAAAGACTGGTCCGACCATTGCATTAATCTGCGGCACGGGGGCATTCCGGCCACTGAGCGTGGCTCCAAAGACCACATCCTGCGAGTCAGTCTGTCTGGCTGCCAACAGCACCCACGCTGCACGCAGCAAAGTAGGCAGGGTGGTGATCTCCCCTCCGGGTCCAGACGGAAGATCCATCTCGCGCACAATCGTCTGGTCGGGTAGTGGAACATAGTCTGCTTTAGGGCAAGGAGGGTAGCTAGTTGACTGCGCCGCTCCTTGAAGCTGGTCCCTCCAGTAGGCCGCATGCTGATCTCGGTCGATCGTCCCCAGGTACTTGATAAATTGCTTAAATTCCGGCACGGACTGATCCCACGGGGGCTCGTCATTATACGCCTGGGTAACCTGGTCAAGCAAGAGAGGCATCGACCACCCGTCATAAATGGCGTGATGCGCGACAAGAACGAGACATGGGCTGCTATCGAGTCGATGTACGATTCCACATTGAAACAGAGGATGACCCGACCCCATGGTCAGGTCGGACGTGCGGTTCAAGAATTCTTCCACAGTACCTGCAGAATCCCACGCCAACGAGCCTCGGACTACCACTTGGAGCATTTGATTCTCTAATTGCACGATACGGGTACGTAGGGTAGCCGTACGAGCATAGACTTGTGACCATGCGTGTTGAAACTTATCAAGATTGACGTCGGGGCGCACGTCGAACACCAGCCGTGAAACATATGTTCCCGGGTTCTTTTCTGACAGCGCCATCAAACCTTCTTGCAAGGGGCTGCAAGGATATATATCGTCAATCTTCTCCGGCAGCACGGAGCAGACCTGCGCTACCTCCTCCTTGATCACCGTAATGGTCTCCCGCGCCAAACAGTCAAAAGGAACCGATGATGCCGGCGGGGCTGCAACAGCGGTTGTCGGCTGATCATCCATCGCGGCAGCCAGGTCACATAGAACCGGATATTGGAAGATCTGACGCACTGTGAGCTTTGGGGCATCCGGCGCTCGACCAGCCAGCGAGACCAGCTTGATGGCCAGGATTGAATCTCCACCGCGTTCGAGGAAGCTATCTTCTGCGCTGATGGTGGAGGAATTGGTCTCGAACACCTGGGCCCAAAGAGCCTGCAGCTGACGCTCGCTGGCGGTTTGAGGCTCTCGCTTTGACTGGGATGTGGTCGACGAGAAGTAAAAGATCCGTTCCGTAGGCATCGTCCCTGCAATGGACTTCAACTTCATCCGGTCCACTTTCCTGGACATGTTGACGGGCAGGACATCCAACGCCACCAGTGCGGATGGAACCATGTAGGTAGGGAGGGCGGCGCTCAGGGGATCTCGCAGCGCGTCGACAAATGACATGACAGTCTCCCGGCTCAATGCACCATGGGCTGGGTCACTGCAGACGAAGAGGACAATATTACCATTTTTGCTGCCGCTTTCCAGCGTGACAAGCTCACAGACGACTTCGACATGCGGTGGCAGCTGTTGGCGCGCATGGTACTCTACCTGGCTGAGCTCGATCCGATGGCCCCGGAGCTTGACTTGGGTATCCTTGCGCCCGAGAATATGGACCGTCCCATCGGGATTATATCGCGCGAGATCTCCGGTCCGGAACAGTCGTCGAGGGCCGTATCGCGAGGCCGGCAGCCACGCCGGGTTGTCAATGTACACCTCGCGGGTCTTGGTGGGCTGGTTGAGATACCCCCGCGAGAGGATGGGCCCCTCAAGTACCAGCTCCCCGACAGCCCCAGCCATCTGTAGCTTGTGATGATCTCCGATGTTAACGATCCAGCTGAGGCACGCCACGCTATGTCCTTTGTCGGACGCCATGGAATCAGGCTGCTTCTGTTTGAGGTGGCTCTTGATGGCAATCTCAGCAGGACCATATTCGTCTAGCAGGGTAACATGAGATACCCAGAGATCGCGGTCCACGTCTGTGGAGGCTTCCCCGCTCAGAGAGAGGATTTTCAGATGCGGTAGAGAGTCTGGGGATAGTGTTCGGGTGAAAGATGGGGTCAGTTCGGCGTAGTTGACTTGAGTGCGATTCATGTAATTGACCAGGTCATTGACACGATCGTGATCGGAGGGCACGCAAACAACTCCACCCACCAGCAGGGTCGTCCAAATATCCTCGACAGAAACGTCAAAGCTGTAGGATGCAAACTGCAGGGCGCGCGAGTGGCGGCTGCGAAACATGGAGGGCATCCGGTTCACCACGCCCGAGATGTAGGTGCGATGCTCGTGTACAATGCCCTTGGGTACCCCCGTGCTCCCTGAGGTGTGGATCACATACGCCACGTTCTCAGGCTGAACACTTACGGTGAGTGGGCTCTGAACCTGCGGAATGCGGTCTAGGAGCGCCTCATCGACGACCAGAACACGCGTGCCCTCTGGAAAAGACTGCGCAACCTCCTGGGAGCATAGGGCTAGCTTGGCCTGGACATTGTTGCTGATCATTCTAATCCAGGACGCGGGGTGACCGGCGTCAATGGAGGCGAAGGCTCCTCCGGCCTTCCACAGGGCCAGCATGGCCACGATGGTCCATTTCGACTTGCGAAAGCAGACTGGCACGATGTCCTCCACTGCGATGCCCTCGGAGCCTTGCAAGAGATGAGCCAGGCTGGTCGCGAGCTCATCCAACTGCCTGTAGGTCAAGGATCCATCCCATGCATCAATAGCCACCGCATCCGGATGGCGCTCCACCTCGTCCCGGAAGACATCATGGATGCATCGGTTGATGGTCGGCGGCAGGGTCGAGTTCCAACCCCAAATCAACGCCCGATCGGATTGGCTCAACAGATCCAGGTCATGGATGCAAGTCTCGCTGCTACTCTCGGAGCCAAGCAAACGACATACGTGCTCTAGCTGGCCTATGATAAGGTCGATCTGGGCCGGTAGAAGGACTTGCTGGTCAAAGGTGGCTTGACACGAAGCCCCACCGTCCTCCAGCAAGGCACATTCCAGGGTTAGAGCGTATGTCAGGGACCCATCCCACGCCTCGACCTGGAACTGCTCCCCCAATAGCTCCTGCTCCTCCCCCTCATTGGAGGAACGAATGACTAGTAGAGTTTGGAAATCGCAGGCGTGCGCAATCTCCGGGTCCAGGCGGCGGATATTGTGCAGTCCAAAACTCTCAAATGGCATCATATCCACCGCGTGAGCTTGGACGATTTGAAGAAACGTGTGAACGGGCTGGGATCGATCAATCTGCAACCGTATCGGCGAGGTCGCAATGGTTGGCCCGATGATATCCTCGATATGGGGCACTGGGGACTCTCGCCCGCTCACTGTGGCCCCAAAGATCACATCGTTGGTGTTTCCGTACTGGGTCAACAGTAATGCCCACGCTGCGCGTATTGCAGTTGCCGTTGTGAATGAGGACCCCTTTGCTCGAGGAGCAAAGGAGATCCTTCGGCGGATGATTGAGTCTCCAATAGGTTGGTATCTCGGGTATGGAAGAGGAGGCCAGGGCAAAGCTGCAGCTCCAGCCAGTTGGTGTCTCCAGTACTGGGCGGTGCCCACGTCCCTCTCCTTCTGGAGGACATACTTGATGAAAGAGCTGAAATGGCCATGGCAAGTCTCACGGGTCGCTGGATGGTTGCGATATTCTGCTTCTACCATCCGCAGAACCGCTTGCTGCGACCAGGCGTCGATCAGCGCATGGTGGATCTCCCACGTAAAGAGCCTTGGCTCGGTATCGTGTTGCCTTGTCACACGATACTGGGTGAGCCGCTCACCCGAATGAAGCTCATGCGGATTCTCCTCTTCAGATGTCGGGGATCTTGGGATGGCCATCATTTGCCAGTCAAAATCATTTTTGAGCACGACTTGGACAAATCCCGCTGAAGTGTGAGCCAGCCGAGTTCGAAGAATAGGCGTCTTGAGGACCACCATCCGCCATGCCCTCTCGAGTCGCTCTAAATCAATGGTGTCCGGCAGGGACATCCTGGATGAGATTATATAGGTGCCTGGATTCCTCAAAGATGACGAGAAGAGACCCGCTTGTAGGCTGGTACAAGGGTATATATCTTCGATGTCAGACAATGAGATGGATGTGGTGGAGATGATCTCATCTATGATACGCTCCTTCAGTAAAGGAGTTCCCTCAAGCAAAGCAAAAGGCAAAATCTGTTCGGTAGCTGTCTCGTCTGTAGACATGGGTTTGGTTACCAGAGCCATGCTGGAAAGATGAGGGTTCTTGAATATTCCTTCTACCGACAGGCTCACTCCTGCACGTCGTGCGAGAGTCACCAGCTGGATCGCCGACAAGGAGTGCCCGCCTAAACTGAAGAACTCGTCATGGGCTGAAATGCGGTTGGCCGGTACATTGAGGATCTTCGACCACATCTCTCGCAGAAGCAGCTCCTCAGCAGTCAGCTTTACCGAGGTTGGCTCACTGGTTTCGTGACTGCGCGGGGCCCAGGTTGCCAGGTCTGCAACGCTCAGGGAGGAAGCGAGCTCATGTAGTCGCGGTCGGTCAATCTTCCCACTCGCTGTCATTGGGATTTCAGCGAGGGGGAGAAATGCAGTGGGTAGCATGTACTCCGGAAGAAGTGAGGAAAGACGGTCTTTCAGTCCTGAACTTATTGCATCCAAGTTTGTGCCGGGAGTCAAGAGGAAAGCCACCAGTCGAGCCTCCTCCCCGTCGACTGCTTTGAGCTTGATGGCCTCTACGATCCCGACACTGGGCAGGGATAGGCATTTCTCCAAGGCGCGCTGGACCTCAGGCAATCCCACGCGCTGGCCCCGAACCTTCACAACACTGCCATTTCGGCCGTGGATCCTAATCGAGCCGTCGGTGCCGTACGAGGCTTTATCTCCTATTTTGCACCATCGCGTGTCTCCACGTGGGCGGATTGTTCGACTCCAGGCCGGAGGAGGGATGAAAGTGTCGGCCGTCTTCGATTCTTGACCAAGATACTGCAGTGCAAGCCCGTGGCTCTCGATCACCAGATCGCCGATTTCGCCAATGGGACACAATTCCTCGTGGTTCCCAGCCTTCACTATCCATGCCACTGCGCCAACGGGCTTCCCCGCCAGAGGACCCGCCACTCTCTCCTCCTTCTTCTCCTCCTCCTCCTCCTCCATCTGACGATAGGGATGGTTGATACACAGGTTCGTTTCTGTAGACCCATAACCCAGAACCACGTGTGCGAACTGGGACCACTTCCTCGCCAATTCCTCGGGGACCCGATCGCCGCCGATTCCAATGACCTGCACCGAGGGAACATCCTCGGGCTGGATGGAGGTCAGAAAAGCAGGGGTGGCATGGATTAGGGAGATTCCGTGATCGCGAATGAAACCAGTAGGGTCATCGAGTCGCTGGGATTCCGAGGGGATGCAAACCTGCCCGCCCCAGACCAAGGTCGTGAAGATCTCGTTGGCGCACACCAGCCAAATGTAGGCGGCAAACTGCGCCACGCGCGACTGGGGCCCATACTGATAGCTCGGGCCAACCCTCACACTCACCGTTGCGATGGCCCTGTGTTGGATCAGGACCCCAGTGGGTCGGCCTGTGCTGCCCGACTACATCACTCGGTTAGCACGCGGATCTTGCTCGGCTTGAGGACAGTCGAGGCTTACTGTGTACATGCAAAGAGCCGGATCGGTCGGCGAGACGAACCGCTCCAATGGACGGTCGTCGATAGGCAGGGAATCCACCAGACTCTGATCCACCGCGACCAGTCGCGTCTGCAACCGCATACCTGAGAGGCGGTCGAGAAGCGAGGTCGAAGCTAACAGCACCGTGGGCTGGACCTGGTCCAGGACCTCCAGCGTGCGACTGGCAGGCTGGGACCAGTCGAGCGGAAGGAAGGCGCCGCCAGCCTTCATGACGGCGATCATCGCGACGACCGCCCACGAAGACTTGATGAAAGCGATGGGCACGCGTGAGCCAGGCTGGACCCCCTGTGCCCCCAGCCAGTGCGCCAGGCGCGTAGTGACGGTGTCCAGCGCGGCATACGTGAGCCGGCCATCCCAGGCCTGGATGGCGGGCAACGTGGGTTGGAATTGCGTCCGGAGATGGATGAGATCATGGAGAGTATAGTCGATAGCCTCGGGACAGTGCGCATTCCATGCCTTGATGCGAGTCCAGTCGCTCTGGCTGATGCCGTAGAATTCGGTGTTCATCGTGTGTGGTGTAGGGCCTCCCAGAACGGAGTCCAGCCGGAGCAGCACTGTGGTCTGTCTTGTCTCTCTCTTACTCCATAGAACGGAGCTCGACCCTGAAAATAATAGTCCAATGCAACCCCGCTGTCAGAGTCAGGGAGTGTGGTGTCTTGTGCTTCACTGCTTCATCGAATTGCACCCCAGCCGTCTGCGCAGCCGCTATCAGCTTCGCCCCGAGATTATCGCGTTGTTTTTCGTGTCATCAACCAACAAACACGTTCACCTGGACCTAAATTATGGTGGGAACTAACGTAGGTAGCTGATTAGAGGAGTCAGGCTCTTGTCGGCTGAATACAGAGAGGGAGTGATACAAGTTAATTAATAGGTACATATGCATGCTCATCAGCATCTACATATACGAGCTGCCGACTTCGGCGAAGGGTGGGGACGGCATTTGTTACACGGTATCGATAACATTTATTGTGTAAGGTACAGAGGCTTGTTACCATTCATACCATAGAGTGTACTAGCTAGGTACTGTATCGTACTGTAATTCAGGAGCGACACTTTCCCGTACTGTACTGTACTGTACTGTTACAACGGCTTACCAACCCTGACCAATGCTGTCCCCGCGTTGTCGAAATTTGAGGGCACTCTCTGATCTCCCACCCACCCAGTACTGGCAAGTGCAGTGCAGTGCATGCAGGCTGACTGGTATGCCGATAGCGATAATCTTCCTGGTCAGTAGGTCAGAACTCAGTACACAGTATACAGTCCAAGGTCTTTCCTGCTCCCTTTCGCCCCTCCTGCTTTCCTCCTCTCGTGCCAACTCGAATCCAGTCCAGGGAGGAAAAGCCTCATCCACCTCAAAAATGATCAAGGGCAGAACTCAAGGCCGGTCCTACTCCTACAGTCGGCTGGGCCTCCCGCCCGGAGACACTTCTCAAGGGTTCAGCTGGAGAAAATGGTGTCGGTTCCCCTCTCGCTTACCGTTCCTGACCCTGCTGAACCTCACCTTGATCATCGGGAATGCCATTTTCTACGTGAACAGCCGCACTTGGACGGCTGCGATGAAGAACTACTGTCCGGATCTGCCAGAGTGTAAACTCACTCCCCCTTCAGAATAGGGCTGGTGGGAAACAACAGTCCCGTGTGCTCTGCTGACTGCTTGATCTTACCACATAGCGCCGCTGAAGACGGGCATCTACTATGAGCCGAGCGTCATGGACATCTACGCGTACAATCCTTATGGCGGCGATCCACGACCCGAGCTGGAAGAAAGCTGGGATAATCTCATGAGGAGTATGCAGTCCCCCGCATCCTCTGTCTGCCTGCCAGGATGCCGGCCTCCACCCCTTCTCTTCCGCCTTGTCTCCAACTCGATCTTTCACCACCCAACCTCCTCCCTCCGAGTGCTCTACAAACTCTAACCGCGACAGAATCCTTCTTCCGCGCCACGAAAGACGAGATGATTCAATGGGGCGAGTACGGCGACGACTCCATCGCACTGGAGAACGGAGGTTACCTGGCCTATCTCCGGGTGTACGGGGAGCTGCACTGCATGGTCGGTCTCTCTCCTTTTCATTTGTGTTCTGGTTGTCTCTGGTTGTCTCTTTTCGTTCACGTGCGATGGATCTCCATTGGTAACCACATTCTCCATCTCAGGACTGGCTGAAGCGCCAATACAGCCGTGAAGACGTGCGGATTGCCAAGAACATCACTGAGAAGGACCGCGGTGAGTTCCGATTCTCTTTCCCGTCCCCTCGTCATCACCCCGATTTCCTACAAACGGGGGGAGGACATCTGGGTGAGACAAGAAAGACTGACTGTAAAAATCCCCACTCAATCCAGACCACTGCGTCAACGTCCTGCTACAGGGCGTGCGGTGCCGCGCCGACGTGGCGCTCTCGGGCTGGTTCCTCGGCGCAGACAACGAGCATAAGCCGCTCATCAACCGCACGGCAGCCAACCACCTGTGCGTCAACTGGAACAGTGTGGAGAGCTGGCTGGCACCGCGCGCATTGGAGTTCCGCGACGGGGTGCCAGAGAAGTCGGTGACTCCTGAGGGGCATGTTGAGCACCATGCGATGTTACAGCGCAGTCGATATCACTGAGCCTCGATTTTGTGGACATAAGGGGAAGACGGCGAGGGAGAGGGCAAGAGAAGACGTTGGGAGTGGGTTGGATGGCGACGTAGCAAATACAACTTGGCTCGGACTGGTGAAGGAAATAAATGACATTGGATCTAGCTTGTTATTCTTGAGTCTTTTTTTGTTTGTACTGCGCCAAAATTAAATTCTTCAAGTGGAGATTGACTGCCTGGTCTTCATACTCGCTTGGATCTCTGCAGGCATCTTAGGGCGCAATTCCCAACGGCTTTGACCATAACAGTCCAGAAAAATGACATTGGGATTAAAGGCAGTCCAGGGATTACGTCTCCGTCGCTTCTTGCCTGAATACTCACCAGTCAATGCGCCTTCTGTCCCGACATAATCAATCGGGGTCGTTCTTGGACGGAGGCAGCCATACTCCGCTCCCCTAGTCCGCAGTTACGGTTCGAGAAGGCGACCCCATCACGATACCGTATCGTCTAAACCGCTTGACAAGTCACCCGGATCTGTGTGTCTATTCAGCATGCAATCCATCGGATATTAGAAGAGAATCAAGATACCCTTGAATTGCAGGTGAAATAGAAACTCCGAGAGAGTCCTAAGCGTGGGTAGCTGATAACTAGTTAGCCTCTGCGTCAATCACCACATCCCGCAGAATTGGAGCTCAGCAGAGAGAAAGAGGAGTCAGACCCAAAAGTGTTAGCAATCCATTCCTGCAGGGTACTAGACAGGAGGGTGGGGTGGAGTCCCTGCTCACGTCTCGCAGTCGTGGGTAAGGAAGTATGTATGGACATGTGTATGTATTGGAAGCTGGTATATGTGTATTTGTGTCTGTATGTATGGACGTGTGTAAGGATGTATGTATGTATGTTTGTATGTCTGTATGTATGTACGTGTCCACGGTATCAGTGACAGTACAGCAAGTGATAGCAGACTCAATTGATTCACCCCCGCATGCACGCCATGCAGATAGTCCCTATAGTTACGTGAAGATAAGCACCTCACGCAATGAAGCCCTAGATTATCATAACTACAGCCCTCCAAAATCCCATCTCACCCCCTACCGCGGTCGAGACTGAAACTCCACGAATGGGCCGTCCCGCTGGGCCGTCCACCGGTCGAGCATTCTGTATTCTTCCCCTCCTTTGCTCACGCCGTCGCCCTGCCTTTGGACCGATGTCACATCTGCATCTGCATGTGCATCTGCCAGCGTAGCACGAGCACCAGCACCAGCACTAGCACCAGCATCAGTAGCAACACCCATGCCAATCTCCCGAGCACTCGGACCTTCCCCGACCCTCACCTGCCGACACAAGCGGATGCGATACCGTCCAAGCATCCGCACTACCAGCGTCCTCAGCTCTCCATACGCCAGCGACTGTCCCACACATCCGCGCGCCCCAAACCCAAAGGGACAGAATGCCTGGCGCGCCCGCCGCACAGTGGCGAGCGTCACCCCCGGCGCCGACCCCGCCATCCACCGCTCCGGCCAGAACACCTCCGGCCGCGGAAAGTACCGCGGATGGCGATGCAGCGCGTACGCCGCCGTCGCCACCACCGTCCCCGCCGGCACCACAAACCGGCCGCGGCCCAGCGCCATCCCACCTCGCAGCACCTCGCGCGGCAGGGGCCCGGGGATGGGCGGACTGAGGCGCAGGGCTTCGTCAATGCATGCATCCAGGTACGGGCACTGGGCCGGTCTGGGGCCCGGGAAGCGGACCTCTGGCCGGTGGCCGGCATCATCATCATGATCATCATCACCATCATCCTCACCGCGGAGGCGGGGACAGGCCGTCAGGATCTCCTCTTCAAGTCGGTGGTAGGCACCCTCATTGTGTACGAGGTAGTGGGTGAGAGCGGCCAGCGCCGTGGCGACGGTGTCGGCGCCGGCGACGATCAGAGTTCGACATTCCGCCCAGATTTCCGCCGTGGGCGGTGGGGATGATGCACTTGGTTCTGGTTCTTGGTCGTCGGGAAACCGGTGGCTGTGGGTATCGCTATGTCGTCTTCCACTGAGCAGATGAAGAAGCAGGTCGCTGTGCTCCTCGGGTGAGGGACCGGGGGCCCCGACCTTCGCCATCCGCTGACACGCCTTCTCTTGGCAGAACAAAAGATATGCTTGTCGTTTGCGCGTGAGCTCTGGGAACCAGAGCGGAATGATTGGTAACGCACGGAGTAGGGGAAAGGTGCCGACCTAACAAGCGTATCAGTCTGAGTCTTTCCCTGCACAGTGCCTCGAACGGAAGGGTAGCAATTGAGAAGGGGCACAAGAGGGGGGGTAACCACCAGCAGGGCCCAGTAGGAAGTCGCCACAATCAAGTCCACAATGTACCGATTGGCACAGCTAGTGAGCATCTGAAAGGAGCCCTCCCCAAAGACCAGGTCGCCGAGGATGTCGAAGGCCACATGATCCGCCAGCTCCGACATGTTGACCGCAGGCGTCCATCCGCTCTCTGCATCGGCGTTGCGCCCTAGCTGTGTGACGAAAATGTCGATGCATTGGTTGATACGCCGCCCCATCGACTTCAATGCCCTCTCCGTCATGGCGGGGGCAAGCACACGTCTACGACGAGGAATTAGCGCGCCATCCCAGCTGCGAAGACCTGCTCGCCGTGGTTAGACGCACCTCTTCCGTGCATGCAGTGATCTGTCAATGCTCGTAAATGTGCTCCAGGCGCCCTTCTGGGCTACAAAGGCGTGGTAGAACGACGACTTCTGCACGTTTGCCCTGGTCCCGTAGATTTCCTGCAGCCCGAGGTCGCTGGCGACGGACAGGTAGTTGGGTCCGAGGCGTACATAATCCCCATACCGTGCATGACTCCGAGCCTGCATCAAGTGTCGGTCGCCGCGCCAGGCGTAGTAGAGCGCGTGGAGGCCAGACACTTTTGCCGGCCATGGGCCGGGAAACTGGGCAAGGGGGTGAAGATAGAGCCGGTAGATAACGATGCCGGTGAGATAAATGACAGTCGCTAGACATAACGTCATCAGCCAGTGGGACATTGCGATGAAGTACGGGAGAGGTGTTTGAAGGTCCATTATATGTGGTCATCAAGGAATCGGCTGGTGAAGGATAGAGTCTTTGTAGTCGCGGAGGTCGAGGGAGCATATAAATATATGTAGATTTGCCGGAACGCTAATGTAAACCGGAAATTCGACACGAATAGTCAGATCTAGCAGTCAGGGTTTAAGACTCGGGCGCTATCGTCATCTAGAGCCAAGGCCATGCTGCTGGCCTTCTTCTTCTAGCTTCCGACTACTTCCTCGTCCCCTGTCTCTTCCTACTTTTCACCCACTAGCGACGTCATGATATATCCCAACTCGAACAGTGCCATCTAATGCATGGCAGAGACATCATTGATGCCCTAATAGTTAACGCTGGCCCGAATAAAGATGGACATGTTCCCTCATCTGTCGCCGGCCACAAATTGTCGGGGAACTGATAACCGCCCAAGCTGAGCACGTTTGAGAGCGTCCGATGGCTACCTAGCCATTGTATCACAGCCCCGCCGCGGCGGTATGGACTGTCAAGTAGTGCAATAGCTGTCTCTTTGGGATCACGTCTAGCCAAGTCCGCATCAACCTTCTTTATTCTCATTGTACCTCACATCTTAATACACTCAAAAGTCATAAACAGATGGCAAAACTCCCAACGCCACTCATTCCGGCATGTCTGACCACAAAAGGACCCAACATCGCTCAAGCCGTCTTCCAGATGATATGCAAATAATCCCCCCCGCGACCCGCATTGATGTCCCCTGTCATATGGCTATACCCGAGCGCCTGGACGGTAGACAGCTCGACCTTCTCCGCCCACCGCAGCAGCTTGACGTCAACGATGGGGGCGCCCGTGCCCTGCAGGGTGTGGATGTAGCGGTAGGCCCCGCCCGCCCCCTTGGCCAGATCGTGGTAGTCCTTATTCTCGTCCTCCTGGACCAGGATCTGGATGTCGGTGAGGGCGAACTCGGGCTTGGAGGTGTGGCCGACGACGATGTAGACAAACCTGGTTGCAGGTGAATACTTTGAGGTGGGGAATGGGGTGGGATGGATGAGATGGTTTTGTTCGTTCGAAGATATGAGGCTAGGGAGCGCTTACTTGCCACCGAACCCGGCGTTGATGTCGGGGTTGTTTCCGTCGATGATCTGGATGCAGGTCGGTGGGATATCGCGGTCGTCGCGGTCGTCGACCTGGATGTTTGGGTTAGTTGGGTGGGCTGGAAGGGGAGGCGGGGGTAATAGAATGGAGGACGACGTACGGTGAGGCTGTTCACGAAGCGAGACATGTTTACGTGGTGGGGTGCTTTTATTGAGGGGATCTTCGAAGATATACAGCTGAAGCGGATAGGCGTTGTCAGAGATGTTGTGCCAACGGTGATGCTTCAACTCTGTGTCCAGGCGACCGGAAGGTTGTTTATATAGCTGGAAGCTTTGCCCGCGTCTCGTGTATTCGGACCCCATTCACAGCACATCATCGGCGTCGCCGATGCCAATCCTCGTACCTCGTGATTCGGGTATGTCAGTCAAGCTCAGATACATTGTGGAAGGTGTTGAGACTGTTGATATACATAGTACGAAGTGACGATGGGGTGGTGTGGTGGTGATGGTGGATTTCCCCAGCTTTTGGGCTCCCCCGGTGGCTTTCGTATTGCTTCTTGGCGCATACAGCTGAACTGCCAGAGCCTCATTGCATGAGGATAGTGACCCCAAGTAAAGCGATGCCACGCTCGCGTCTTACGAGAGGAACGGGATGTATCTGACAAGCCTCGTAGTGCTCATGAGGATTGAATGGCATGGATGACGTCTGCCCAAAAAGAGCAATGAGGTGTGTGAGGCATATGATAACTGAACAGGAACCTGGGTGTGAGAGGTCATTTCAGTGCTTCTACGGAAACAGTCCATCAAAAATAGCGGATTATGGGCAATGTGTTGGACATCAGACTTGCAGACACGCTTCCTCTGCACTCTTCCTTTCTGCAGGCCAGGACGGTGATGGTTCAACCTGATATGTAAATATGCGTGTGCGCGATAGGCCCGATCTTCAACCATCGGATACATCACGAGCCAATCAATTCCGTGTTGAGATTTCCCAACATTGAGCTTTTTGCCAGCTAGATTACAATCACTGACTCTTTATCCAAGCTTGAATCCCGGCGTTTGCCACATCGGTAAAAACATCGGGAAGACCGAGCAGGTCGCATCCATTGGTCTGGGAGATGATGCCAGCGAGTTGACCACCGCAAGTAAGCGGCCCCCCACGATCTCCGGGACAGGTTCCTTTCCCAGCCTCGCCGCCAGCACAGATCATACGGTCGGTGATCCGGCCGCCATATGCCTGATCGCAGATGTCTCGGTCCACGATCGGGAGGGTGACCGATTGCAATTGTCTCTCCAAGCCCCCCCACCCCGAAGCAACGCATTCCGTCTCAACCGCGGGCTCCTGGCCAGACGGAACCAGATCAATCAACGCGACCGTCGGACCCGGAGTGATGGAGGTGGGAGTGTAAGCACGGCGACGTCGTAATCGTAGGTGGTGGGGTTGAACTGAGAGTGTCGAGCAATCCTCGATACCGTGAATGCAGATCCTCCCGACAATGTCTGGCTGGAGCCCGTCCTCACTGAAAAGCTCGAGGGAGATGCCTCGGCCCCATAGACGCACTGGGCAGACGTGAGAACACGATTGCTGGCGATGAGCACACCACCGCAGGTGGGAGAGCCGGATCGCAGGATGCTGACGAGGTAGGGAAGGTCGTTGATCGTCGCAGGTGAGCCACCTGAGACGTCTGTAGCGCACAGCACGCCCTGGATAAAAGGAACAAGGGACAGAAGGACAGTAGCTCTCATATTGATTGGCTTTGGCGAAAGCAGATGCTGTGCCACAGAAGGAAAGAAGGTGACGACTAGGGCTCCTTTTCTGGTCGGGCAGCAAGATCATTCTTGACGGGGGTTATTTATGCTTGAATCTCTTACCCCTGGAATTCTCGGTTTGAGAGTTCCAAGTCTACTACGGAGTACAAGGTTCGAGTATTGATTGTTCGTGGAGATAGTCCCCCGCCGATCATGCAAGGTTCAAGGATCGGCAAGCATGCCTGCCAGACATGCCTAGCAGACGGCTCGCATTTCGGAATCCGTGCTTCGGAAGTTGAGATGCACGATGGATGTGACACAGAGCTATTCTGGAAACAAATTGCGACTAGCATGCTCGGAATACGTGTATCATGTTTAATTGTAAGGGTAACCTGGACTAGACTCAATGTTGGCACCGAATGAGAGTTGCTGGAGATATGGAAAATGTGTAGGCGTGAACTATCTTTATACATACCATAAGCAGTATTCTATGTGATGACAGACGAGCGTACAGGTATACCCAGTATAAACACGCATCAGGAGCAGCAACTATAACATGAAATGCAGGAAAGTATTCGGGCCAGAACGCCTGATCTATCAAGATTCAGCATATTCCGTTTCACTTCAGCTGAGATAGGAGTTTTATCAGCACTACCAATCGCCCTCACAATAGAACAGCCATCGCCTCGCCATGGACCCTCCAACATTGCGTAGATCATCAATTTTGTCATGTCAAGCCATAAGTGGTATTAATCATTGACACTCATGTCCTCACACCTCTGCCAAGAAGCCTCTCACTTGCCTCGAGCATGCAACGCATTCCACTCCATGGTATTCAACAGAAATTGATTCGCACCCACATCCCCAGCCGCCGGCCCAGCCATATCGAGGCAGCCCCACGGTTCCAGCCCAGTCGCGCCGTGCCCGCCAGGGCCGTACGCCATCTCTGGCGCCGCAAAGTCCATCTCGAGATCCTCGGCACTGACCCCCACGACCCCATCCGAGTGCACCGCAGCAGCCGCATCCAGCCCAAAACTGGTCGTCATCTGCATCACCTTGTTCCGAATATCCACGACCATCCGTGGTGGCACCGGCGGCGGCGTCTCGAGCTGGGCTGCCACAGCCACCTTCTCCCGCGCCTCCCACGCCTGTAGCACAATCCGCGAGAAGACGATAAAGAACGGCCGATCATCCTGGCTGGCCTTCATCATCCGCACCGCGTAGTTGTCGCTCATGACGGCCCACGCGTGGTCGGCATGGGCCTCGACCGGCCGCTTCTTCAGATCCTGCAGCAGGTGGATGTACGCCGGGAACGGGAAGTGGAAGTGCACCAGCCACCGATAGGGCTGCGTGAGTGGCGAGGTCATGAGCTTCGTGTCGCATTCGAGCATGCGCAGCGCGTGCGCGAGGCCCGTGTTGCGCTGGGCGTCGGTCGGTGGCTCGGGGGTGCTGGAGCATTGGGAGTAGTGCTGCAGGAGCCGGCTCTTGGCCAGGGACCCCCGCATCGTCCAGAGGGTCATGAAGTGCAGGGCGTTCTCGGGATTGCAGAAAGCCAGGTATTTCTCCTCCATGGTCTTTTCCAGCGAGACCAGTCGCTCGGCTTCGTCGGTGGGACGCGGGGTGATCGTGTTGAGGGAGGGGTTGGTGAAGTTGAGGTGGAAGGCGCTGTGGCGCACGAAGTCGGCGAGATCGCTGCGAACCGCGGCGAACAGCATCTCCGTGGGCCGGTTGTTGGGAGCGGGGGCCGTTTTCATCTCCGGCTGCAGCTCGAAGTCGTTCACGTTGAGCGGCACCTTGCAGTCCCAGGTCGGCGCCAGCGATGCCGTCTTATAGTCGGACATCTCGCAGACGCGGTTGTCGAAGATGATGAGCGACCACCACAGCCGACGGCGCATCTCCGCCTCCAGCGCGGAGCATTTGCCGTACATCGACTCGTTATGGATGCCCATGCGCTGGGCGATTCGGATCGCGACGCTCAGCAGCGAAGACAGGGATGCGGGATCGGTGTCAGGGCGAATGGAAACCTGTACCACGTTAATCCAGCATATTCACACGGCCCCAGCCAGCCAGGCTTACGAGATACAGATACAGGGCGGTCAGACACTCGCGGTCGCTGGAGCGTAGAATCCCGCAATCGCGAAGCGCCTGCTGGCACGCAAACTGATAGCCGGTCAAAAGTTCCTTTTTCGCGGCTCCAAAAAGTACACTGCATTGTTCGCCCGAGAGACTCGAAAGAGAGACGCAGTAGATACTGAACATCAGCGCTTCTAAGGTGGGGCTGATGTTGGCGATATCACTGGCAGCATCAATGATCCGTGTCTGCAGGGTGGGGGTGTGAGTGACTTTGAGCAGCGGATTCACTTGGTCTAGGTAGACCTGCCACAGCCGGAAGATATGCACTTGGCTTGGATGCGAAGCGGAAAGATCCACGGTGCCTACCGGCGCACCAAAGAGGAGGTGGTCGTTGTTTTGGCCCTGGAAGGTGTGGTTCCACGCCTTCTGGATAACGGCGGGCCGCACATCGTCCGCATCGTGCAGGAAACCGGTGTCATTCTCGTCGTCCTCATCCTCGTTGCCATCGTCGTCTCCAGGGCTTACAGGCTGGTCCGGTGGTCAGTGAGTTCCAAGCCTTGTCGACGTAGAAATCCCTCTTACCTTTTGGCTCATCGCATGCCAGAGGTTTCTCGCAGACATTTAGTCATCCCCTGATAATCAAATGCAGGACAGGAATTCATACAGTGACTTGGTCTTGACGGTGGGCTTCTCTCTCTCACCCAGAGTGCCCTCTGAGTCGCCCCCCTCTGGCAGGTCATCGCGGCCATCGTCACTGGGAGACCGATGGTCAGCGGTTGGGGTGTGGAGGGGATCGAACTTGATGTTGTGCTGTCGGAGTAGACCCTCATAGAGTCGCAGGCGGGCCAACAACTCTTTCTCCGGAAATCTGCGCCGTCGCTGACGAACGGCTTGCTCGCATTGCACGTTGGCTCGGGCACAGTTGGTGCAGGGGAATGTGCGGTCACATTTGATCTTGCGTTGCTGACAGAGTACGCACGCCAGCACGCGTCGGGGCTGCTGGGGCTTGACGGCGGTGGCTGTCTGATCGGATACAGAGATCGGCGTTTCCATGACAGAAAACGAGAACTGTCCCTATACCCGATTGCCCGAAGCCCGACGATGGTTGAGTTGGGTGAAGAAGGAAAGAATGGAAGGGCTGGTAAGTAAGCATAGGGAGAGGAGAGGGAGATCGTCGGGTTTTATAAGAGCCGAGGAACCCCCGCCACATGCCAAGCCTCGCACTTTCTAATCTCCGATGGCCCCAGCCCTCCATTGATTATTATAAGTCAGATGATACTATATGAGGTCTTTATCTTTAGACACTGAATCCAGATGTATGGACTGATTTTTATGCCCAGTGTACCTGTTCTACGAGCAGTCATAATGCTTGGATGCGCAATTAGTACTATTATATATATTTCCAAATCACAAGCTATTTTTACGTATTGAGTGTCGTGAAGAGAATCCAAGCTTCGAGAGATGTATCCTAAGAGAGTTGTATCGTAGATGAATGGGAGAGTCGTTTCTAATTGGTTCTAAGTGTGAATGCAAAGCTGCCTCGATCCCTCATCGGATCAATTGAGAGACCCAGATACAAAGAGACGAAGGCCTGTGGTAGGCATTACATCTTACTTTCTTCAACCTGAAGATACGTGGGGAGTAATAAGATAACCATTGAATGAAGTGTCTTGCTACGGCGCAACAGCACCAGGAGACACTGCCACCTCGGCGCAGTACCTGGCTAATCCCAATCGCCATCCAAGAGGTCCGCCACCTTCTTCCCCGCCAGGATATCCGCATGGATCTCTTCAATCGTCCACATCTTGAACTCATGGCCGGGGGGGAAGTTCGTGTTCTGAAAGTCCACCCCAAGCACCAGATGCGCGTACGCCTGGCCGTACTTCTCGTAAACATACGCCTCGGGATCATGCTGGAACAGCCACTTGGGGAACCGGACCTTGACCTTCTCGGGGTCTTTCTTGAGAACCTCATTCATATCGGCGGCCCCCAGGTTCTCGGAATTGACAAACGACATCTTCTGCACGCAGCTCACCCGCTGGTAGCGCAGGAGGTTGTAGATGCGCGCCCCCAGCGGCGCACCGCCCGGCGCACCCCCGGCGCACGCGAGCTGCAAGCACGCCGCCAGCGTGACGGCGTCCTCGATGGCCAGGGTGCCCCCGCTAATCGACGCGGGCACGGTGGTATGCGCGGCGTCGCCGACCTGCACCACGCGCCCGGCCTTGGACGTCCACTCGCGCCGGAGATTCCGCCACAGGAGCGGCCAGTGCACCGTGGCCCGCGGGGGCGTGTGGCGGATCAGGCCCTCGATGGCCGGATCCCACTCCGGGATGCGGTGCAGGACGTCCAGCACCTCCTGCGGGTCGACGTCGGGATCCCAGGACTCGATGGGCTCGTTTCCGCCGGGCTGCAGGAACTTGTCGCGCGGGGTCAGCCCGTAGGCCACAAAGTCCGGCGAGATGAACAGCCCCAGGTGCATGCCGGGCCCGATCCAGAACTCGTGGTGGGATTCCCCGCGCGCCACCACCTCGCCCCAGCGGGCCTGGAAGGCGGGATCTCGCAGGGCCAGCGCCGTTGGCAGCGCCGCGCGGTACACCGACATGCCACTGGAGCGCGTGGGCGCGTGCTCGCCGGCGATCAGAAGATCGGAGCGCGTCTTGAAGGCATCCGCGGCGACGACCAGGTGCGCCACCCGCACGCTGCCGTCCGCTGTGACCACGCCCCCGACCCCGGCGGCTTCGTCTTCGAAGTACCGTTCCACTCGCCGGCCGTAGTCGACTTGCAGGCCGATGCGCGCGACCTGGCGGAGCAGCATGCGGTAGAACTGGCGGCGGATTTGGTGGGGGGCCACGTAGGGCAGGCCCTGGCGCTGGGCGAGGTGCTCGGGGCTGTTATAGCCCAGCGTGGTGGGGCCCAGGATCAGCTCGCCGTTGTGCCGGCGGTAATACATCACGCTGTCCGAGCGGTCTTGGTCGAGCTCGCGGCAGATTTCGGGCCAGTGGCGCAGCGTGCAGATGGCGGAGGGACCGATGACGATGATGTCTCCTGGAGATCGCGCGGGTCAGTATGTTGACTCTGGGATGGACCGCACCGTGTTTTGTGGACGATGGCGTGAAGACATACCAGTATAGACAGGCCCTTGGCTTCGCTCCAAGATCCCGACCACATTGTGTCCCTTCCTCCAGCATTCAAGCGCCGTGATCAGTCCCGCAGGCCCAGCCCCGACAATCAGCACGTTGAGGTGCGTGGCGGGGGATCGTGGAGGCAGCTCGCCTGGGTTGGACGACCATTTTGCGGGGTCGAACTCATCCTTGTCCCCATGGGTGAGATACTCGTTTGACACCATTCTCGAAGTGTGCCGCGCAGGGTGCTTGCTAACAGATGATGCCGTGGGTAAGGAGAGTGCAAATCATATATCAAAGGCTCATGCATCGTATCAGGACTTTTATCGGAAGCTGATCTTTTCATTCTCGGATCTCCCGCGTAATCGACCTTTTCACCCTGACTCGCTCGAACCCGGTTCTCGGAACAGGTTGTGGATTCGCGAACTCGGGCGATTGGTATCTCGCGGGAATACACAACATCCCGGTGAGTCACGGAAAAGAGATGTGGCTATTTTATACCCCGATGGGTCGGAAGAACCTGGTTCTAATATGATATTGAATGGAGGATAATATACTGAGTGGGAATATTCCAATAATAGACTTTAGACACGGGTTCTTGCGAATGCAAGTATCTTAACGAGCAAGTCATATCTATACTCTGTAACTCAACTCTAACCGAGCTTCATATCGAACTGTCCGTTCGCGACAAGCGTCCTGCTGCATAGAGGTAATGGCTCGTGACTACCATGCTTGCACACCAAAGCCTCCTTCCGAACGTAGCCGGGTCACCGAAATCCTTGTGTGTCAGTGGAGTTTGAGGGGTAAGACGTTCCTGCGAAGCACCACGTCTGGTCGGACAGCCTCAGACGCGAATCCTACGTACAAGCGCAGCAGAGAATGATGATGCAGCCCTACTATCTACATTGCTCGACTACCATTCTCATGCATAGTAAAGGGTGATATTACTCTGATGAAGATTTCAAGTTTTCATATTTGCGCTGCGTTTCTGCTTAAGTACAGCAAGGCTATCAACCCCCAACACCATTGCGCCACCGCAGACCTCCCCTCCTCGTTGACCTGTGACAAACTTCCGAAACCCCGGAGTTGGCAACATATCGATCGGGACATAGACTTCTTCGTCCCACCTACCAGCCAGGCTTAGCCCGAGCACCGTCAGCCTGAAGCTCAAGACCAGAGCGATACACATACGGCGCTGCCAGAAAGTGCAAGACAGTCGCACAGCTCCTGCAGGCAACACCTCCTAGACCCCAGCAACCACATCCAGAAGAAGCACCATGTCGAAATTCGAGGCTTTCCCGCGTCCCACCCAGACCTACCACTCGCAGACCTACGACCGCATCTCGAAGCACCACCACTTCACCGGCACCGGCAAGACCATCCTGGTCACCGGCGGCTCCACCGGCGTAGGCTACAGCATCTGCCAGGCGTTCGCGGAGGCGGAGGTGGCGCGCATCGCCATCATCTCACGCTCGCCGGGGCCGCAAGCCGCGGCGAAGGCGGCGCTGGAGGCCGCACACCCGGCGGTGCAGATCGTCACATACGCGGCCTCGATCACCGACCACGCGCGCATGGCCGCCATCCTCGCCGAGCTGGGGCGGGTCGACGTGCTGGTGCTGTGCGCCGCCGTCGTCCACCGCCAGGTGCCCGCCACCGCGATCACGGCCGCCGAGATGCAGGCCGCCTTCGACGTCAACGTGCTCGCTCCCTTCCACCTCGTCCAGGCGTACCTGGCCGCCACCACCACCACCACCACCACCGCGGCCACGAAGACCGTCATACACGTCTCGTCCGCCGCGGCGCAGACCCGCAGCCCGTTCCGCGCCGGCTACGGCCCCAGCAAGGCGGCCGCCACGCAGCTCATGCAGCATTTCGCCGCCGAGCGCGCCGGCCCCGCGCTCCGCGTCTTCTCCTTCCACCCGGGCGCCTTCTATACCCCGTCTGTCGCGGAACATTATGCCCCGGATTCCACGGGGTGGGAGGATATCAATCTGCCGGCGCATTTCGCGAGGTGGCTGGCGGGCCCCGAAAGTGGGTTCCTGAACGGCCGGTATCTGTGGGCGCATTGGGATGTGGATGAGTTGATTGCCCTCAGGGACCGGGTGGAGCGGGACAGTAGCTTTTTGACCATTGGGCTAGTGCTGTAGATAGCTTTGGGTCGTACATCTGCACGGCTGCTTTGCAACTAGTTCTGGGTTATACGTTCTATCCATTATCCGGTGCAATGCATGTTCACATCCAACACATTCTCTCTACCCGCGTCGCTAACCCCTCTAAATACATATCTCTTGGTTGCACACTTGCACATCCTCACATCTCCTTCCGGGGCACGTATTTGCAGAACAGGCCCACGGGCAGACTCGGCCCCGGCGCGTTGAGGTCCGTCTTGCGGTCGAAGTGGGTGCTGGGCTGGCCCTTCTCGTCACACCCGGTCCACTCGTACAGCGCCAGAGCATAGGCCAGGATGATGTTCAGCTGGATCTTGGCCCACCGCATGCCCAAGCAGGGGTGGCGCCCTTGACCCCATCCGACGACTAGACCTTTCGTCAGCGTGCGTGGCTTGCAAAAGAAAGCCGAGGAATCAACTTACAGCCGTAGGCCTCCCGCTTGAACTCCTCGCGCCCCTCGCGGAAGCGCTCGGGGTCGTACCGGTACGGGTCCGGGTATAGGTCGGGGTTGAAGTGGACTTCGGTGGAGTTGTACGCGGCGAAGGTGCCGGCGGGGACGACCTCGGCGGTGCCGGGGATGGGGACGGCGTGGGGCGCCATGTTGAGGCGAATCATGGGGAAGGCGACCCACATGCGGATGGCCTCCTTGAAGCAGAGGTCGATGGAGGGGAAGAAGGACTCCCAGGCGTCGAGCGGGATGGCGTCGAGCTGGTCGACCAGGGGCGCGTGGCGACGGTTGTTCGGCGCGTGCGCCGCGGCGACGGTCTTGATCTCGCGGTAGATGCGCGCCTGCCAGTCCGGATGGTGGGCCAGGATGTTCAGCATCGCGCCGCTGAGGTAGCCGGCGTTGGCGGAGGCGATGAACAGCGTCGAGATGAAGAAGGCCACCATCCACTCCGGCGGGTCGCCGCGGTCGAGCATGTACTGCACCACGTCGTCGTGGCGCGGGGAATCCTTCTTCTTGTGCAGCCGGCGCTGCACGATCGGCGTCACGATCCGGCTCAGGCTGTAGCGGCCCCAGCGGCGCTTCAGCTTGGCTAGCGAGGGTAGGTAGGGCAGCGCCACGGCGTGGATGCTGCTCGTGTGCATCAGCAGCGAGAGCACGCTCTGGGTCCTCGCGAGCACCGCCGGATCGTCCGCGATCTCGTCGCTGCACACTACGCGACAGGCCTGCTGCACCACCAGGTGATAGCAGGCGTCCGTCGGGTTCATGACGCCGGAGGCGTGGTGGCGTAGCGCCTCGAATGCCCCGCGCGCGTCCCTCGTCACGCCGGGCAGACGCTTCCCCAGCTGCTCGGACTTCTGTAAGTCCACCAAGCGGCGCTGGAAGTAGCTGCGGCCGTTCTGGAAGTTGCCGTGGAAGATGGCGTGCAGCGGAGGCACGAAGTCCGGGCCGTGGCCGACCAGAGTCGCGCCGCGCACGAAGTCGAAGTTAGGGTTGTCGAGGAACACTTTGCGGGCCGCGGGCCCCGACATCCCCACCACATGGTACTTGCCCAGCCAGAAGCTGAAGTGCCCGGTCGGGCTCTTGGCCACGCAGTCTTGCCAGAATGCCCTATGCGTTGCGTTGCTTAGACACGCATGAATGTGGAGGAAGCGAGATAGGCATACTTACCATTTTTGCGTGAAGAAACTCCATGACCCCACCAGTGGCACGGTGTTGGGCGTGAATTTGGGGGATTTCCTGTCGACACGAGGGGTGTACGAGAGAAAGACAATGTAGGCGAGAACGGTCGTCACGGTCGCTACCAACCCTGAGATGGCTGCCTTCATGGGCAGCTCGAAATTGTTGAACTTGTCGGTGTAGGTTGCATCCATCTTGAGTGAATTGTTCGGGGCACAAGGGAGGGGCACAAGTTTGGGTTGTTGGCACAACCCTAATAACTTATGTACTGTACTCTCACCTACAAGATCGCCAACGCGCAACTGGTCCAACTAGGCAAGCGAGACTGGTCATCATCGACTGATCGGGATCCGGGTGTTTACTTACGTGCGCATTGACGATTCCTAGGATTCCTAGTATGCAGTTGGACCCCTGTTGCTGCATAGCTAGTAGGCCTAGACTGGGAGTATGACCGGGCTCCGGGATGCTTCGAATCCCCGACGACAATAGCCCGACGCCTTTCTGAATTAAAACCAATAGGGTTGGCGATCTGCACGCGCGCTACTGCACGATACCTCACTGCCAGATGACATCAAATCATTCAAAGAAGAAATAAAAGCATGTGCATTCTGTTATTTATGCGACCGGTCACCGTTCATCGATCCCGATCCAGCAAAACACCATGCCCTCCTATCTCATCACCGGCGCAAGTCGAGGACTGGGCTACACCTGGCTGAAGCACCTCTCCTCCAACCCGCAAAACACCGTAGTCGGACTCGTTCGCGATAAATCCTCAACGCATACCCATTTATTAGCAGATCGACTGACCAATGCGCACCTCGTCTGCGCCGACATCACCGACCCCAAAGCCCTGCAGACAGCGGCCGAGCAGGTCGGCGCCATCACCGGCGGGGGCCTGGATGTGCTGATCAACAACGCCGCCATCCTGACCCCGACCAGCGCCTTCACACCGATCACGGACCTGGCGCCCGAGGTCCTGGAGCGCGACATCTTACAGTCATGCCGCACGAACGTGGTCGGGGTGGCGCACACCGTCAACGCATTCCTGCCGCTGATTCGAAGGGGGAGAGCCAAGAAAGTGATCACCATCTCGTCCCTGCTGGCCGACCCGGACCTCGTCCGACACTTCGCGTTGGACAACGCGACGCCCTACGCGATCTCCAAGGCGGCGGCCAACCTCCTCATGGCCAAGTATCATGCCTCGCTCGGCGCGACGGACGGGATCCTGTTCATGGCCATCAGTCCCGGCGCCGTGTCCAAGCCCGACACAGCTCCGTCTGAGGGCGAGGCGGAGGGACGACGGCGGATGGTCGCCAAGCTGCAGGCGTACGCGCCGCATTTCTCAAGCCCGATGACGATGGAGGACAGTGTGCGCTGGCAATTGGAGGTCATCGAGAACGCGACCGTGGAAACCCATGGAGGAGCGTTTGTCAGCCACTTGGGGAATAAACAATGGTTGTGAGGGATTGGCCACTGGAGGGTCACTGCATCTTTGGCCTAGAGAGCCATGCGTCGTCCCCTCAGCGCAGCGGGGCTTGAAGGCGGAAATCAGTATCCCTGGCAGTGGCCGGTGACCCAGCACGCATTTGGCGAGTAGCACCGAGTGCAGGACATAGAGAAAGGTCATCGAGTACACAATCGAGAGATGCCCTGTAGGTACACACTACATAGCAACCACTGGGAGTCGAGCCCGGCCCCTATCCCCAAGCGTGCTCCAATAGACGAACCGATCACCAGGGGAGCGATTTGTATTCCACTAATATTATAATAACAGCTACACAATCTGCAAATTCGGTGTCTCTGCACATACAAAAACTTTCATCGAGAACGTACTTAGATCCAATCTATCTCGAAAGAAAGATAAACGCGCCCAGAAACACAGTCATCATGGCCAGGCCCGATGCCGACACGATCCCCGACGCTCCCCGCTGCGCATCACTTGGAAACTCCAATCCCTCTCGCACGGTACCATCATTGATCCATTCCTCGATCCACCCAATCGTCATTCTACGCTGCCAGTCAGAAAAACTCGCTCTCATCTCAGGGGCTGGAGATAAAAACCTACTGGCTGCGCCGCGTATCCGCAAAGTGCTCATGATCCCCAAAAAGATGCTCCTTGTAGTACGGATCCTCCTTCATCTTCTTGTAGTGGTCCACGCTCTCGAACACCACCTGACTGAAGCAATCATAGTCGGCGATATTGGCCATCTGGCGATCATAGATCCGGTTCATCAAGAGGCGCGTCTGCGTCGGATTGTGGATCTGCATAGCCCCAGTGTCAGTTCGCTCGTGCGGGCACTTAATCCGAGAAGACGATGCGCACCACCGTCCACCGTTTGACTCCGTATTTGACCATGAGGTCTTTTGTCAAGGGCGCCGAGACCTGGATCATATGTCGCCGGTAGGCCTCCTCGCTCATGCCGGGCTTGCGATAGCCCAGGATGGTCAGGCAGAGATACCGGCTGGGCGGGAGGCCCTCTGTCTCTGTTGGTGTTGTCGCAGTCATCGTAGCCATTTCTGGTGGTGTGTGTCACGTAGGGTCCGCTCATTGCGAACCCTGGAGGGCGTGATAAATGCCCCGAATATATGGGGTGATGGGTTCGGGTGGATTGCAAGGGGGTTCGGGGTCCGGGCGTCGCAGTCCGCTTTCCGATTTCCATTTTTCCCGGTTAGGGTTGATCATGTATATAGCCCGCATCAAGAACAACAAGACCACTCGACATCCAGTCAAACCCAAACCAGAAGCTAAAACAGCAACGACAAACCATGGGCTCCACCGCAACCGCAACCGAAACCGTCACGCTGAACTCGCAGATCGGCCTGTCGGACGAGCACGTCGGCCTCCTGGGCGACGCGGCCGTGGACCGCGCCTCGATCCAGGAGGCCAACCGGCTCCTCCAGAAGAACCACGAGGAATGGCACATGTTCTTCCGCGACCGGGCGGGCCACAACCACATCGCGCACTCGATCCTGACCTGCCTGGCGCTGGGGGCCGGGCCCGCGGACATCCAGCGCGCCTACGACGACGGGGTGGGCATCCAGCGGCCGATCCCGGCGGTCGACGGCGCGACGGTCGAGCGGCTCACGGACGAGGCCTTCTTTCTGGAAACGCTGGGCGCGATCACGCAGTACACCTCGTTCCTGGTCTTCTTCCAGCAGCAGATGGACGCGCACGGGTGGCAGGCAGTCGTGAACAAATATGTGTTCTCGCGCAACGCGATCGCCGAGAAGATGCTGGCGCGGCTGTACGAGGGCGCCTACCACCCGGTGATCCACCTGGGGCTGGGGATCGAGTTCCAGCAGCCCACCCTGATCGCGGAGGCGCTGGCGCAGGCGGCCGCCCACGACGACAGCCACATCAGCCGGCTGTTCGAGGCGTGCGAGGCGCAGGCGGCCATCGCGTACCCGCCGGCGCACCCCAAGCCGCTCGTGCAGCTGCTGCGCGAGGCCCGCGCCACCGAGGCGATCCGGTCCGCCCCGCGCTGGGAGGACTTCGGCAACAAGATGCGCGACGGCGTCGTCGGCCGCGCTCTCCTCGAGATGGCGGCCATCGGCTCGCAGTTCACCGTCAAGCCCGACGAGCGCGAGCTGCAGCGCCGCACCGCCGAGATGATCAGCGTCTGCGCCTACATGGCCGGCGCCAGCCAGCGGCCCGGCCGCAAGCGCAAGATCGACTTCTTCTACATGCACACCCTCACCAGCTCGCTCTTCTTCAGCGTGCTCATCCGCCAGGACTGGATCGGCCTCGCGGACCGGGTCCGCCTCGTCGAGTGGAAGGGCCGGCTGGATTTGGCCTGGTACGTGGTCAGCGGGTCGGCCGAGCTGCACGACGACGCGATCACGGACTATCACGACGACTTCAGCGCGGACATGGGCTGGAAGGAGCTGTACGCGGCCGTCAACAAGGAGCACGACGACGGGCATGTGGCGAAGATGATCCGCGCGCTGAAGAACGGCCAGGAGGCCGCGCGCCCGTTCGAGGCCGAGTACCCTGATGCGTTCCCGGTCAAGGGCGATATGTGGTTGAAGATTGCGCGCATGGCGCTGGACACGACCAAGGACTGGCCCACCGACCAGAAGTTTGTGAATTTTACGGGTTTTGATATGGGGTGGAAGATCCGGCCGGATCTTGCTTAGTGGGTTTTTGGTTGGATTAGAATACAGTTGAAATGTGACCCTATGTAATTAACTTTGTGGAATGGCTTGCTTCGCGCGGACCAACGCACTCGCATTTTATATTCTATTCCATGTTGTAGAACTCACTAGCTAGGCCCGGTAGATGGCAGATAGGCATGCAGAAACGGGAAGAAATGTCTCGCTAGACCGGTGGCAATACACATCGGGGTGCCGGAGGGAAACTTGGCCGACCCATTCCTGTTCACCACGCTGACATTCTTCATCTGGTATCTCCCACCCTCATCATCCGCGGCCTCGATCATTCCCGCGGCCAGGTCGAGGTACGAGACGAACGATTCGTCGTGGTCAAGATTCAGCTCGTGGCCGCGTTGCGCATCCACTGCGAGCCCCCCGGGCTTGATGAAAATCGTGGACACCAGGTCCTCCTGCGCCCGGAGGTAGGCCTCAGTCCGGCGCAGGTCCTCGTAGACGTGCGAGGCGGCGGTGCGAAGGATGGGGCGGAACCACCACGGCATGTGGCGACTGAGATGGTCGTCAATGGTGCCGGAGGAGAGAAGGACGATTTTGGGGAGGGGTGCGCGCAGCTGGCCGTGGAGCTTTAGCTTCTCGATGGCGGCGATGATGCTCTTTGCCGTGTCCAGGCCGACGTGGCAGCCGGGCACATTGTCGTTGGTCGTCACCACGTGGAAGATGGCGCGCGTGTCGCGTATGCACTCAGCCAGTAGGTCAATGTCGTAGATATTCCCTTCAAAGACCGTGATGCGCTTGCTGTCGGCGGCCGCTGGGACCTTTTGGGTCAGCTTGGCTTTGTTGCGGCAATAGGCGTGGATTCGCGCATTTTCGGTGCGCAACAGGTTGTCGATGAGAGCTGTGCCACAGTTGCCGGTGGCGCCAAGGATCGCGTAGGTGGACATGGTATGACGCAGAAATTAGCGACCAGTCTTTCTTTGTCTGTTGTTTTCGATCGTGGCCGGCCAGTCCATGATCTTATCGATCGGGCTTCTTGGCCTCCGATGGGGGGGTTCGGGGTTCGGACATGCGCGCTGAGCAGGACGATTGTCGGGAGATAGTAGTCCACGGGCAATGAGAAATAGGCTATCGGGGTATAGCGTGTCCGAATCTGTCCTACGCCGTGCCAGTTGTATCATACTTAATTCAAGGGAGTCCCATCCAAGGGGTGGTGTGGATGCAGGAAAAGGGGGCTGTTTTGGGATGTGGTCGGGGGGTAGAATGTCCGAGGGAGGTTTGAAGCCCAACAATAGCAGGCAATTGACAGCTCGGGGGCTAGGATGTCCGACATTGTCCGCCATCAATGAACTTGGCGGCGCCACAGATCCGCAGCAACCAAATGGTGGCAAACTCAGTCGCTGTAGAGGATAGATTGGTGAATTTTGGTTGCCTGGATTGGAACTATAAAAGGGAGACATCGAGTATGGTTTCGTGTCCCCATTCAGATCCAAATCCATCAGCAGTCAGTCAGTCAACTCTAGTCCAACATCATCTTGCCATTCGATCTTGCTCTACACTGTCTTTTCGACTTGATTATAACCATGACCATCCGAGCCCTGAACCAGAACATCCCACCCTGGGCCTTTGCCGCCACCACAGACGAACAGGGCCCAACTCACCCATTCTCCTCTCCTCATTCCACTCCCAACCCCTGGGCCTTCCAATCCGGCCCGAACCAGGTCGGTCGCCCCGGCCACCCCTACCCATCGCCCTGGGCGGCGCAGCCCCGCGACGGGGACGACACCAACGAGGCAACCCACGAACCCGGTGAGGCCACGGCTCCGCGCAAGCCATACCCATACCCCGGGCCGGCAAAGGGCCACCCACCATACACCTTCCCCGGCGCGCCCGAGGGCCGCAAACCATATCCGTTCCCGGGCTACGCGCAGGAGCCACACACCTACCCCGGCCCTCTCCCATGGCACCAGCCACATGCCTTCCCAGGCCCGGCGGAAGGCAGAAAGCCCTACCCTTCGCCGTGGGGCGATGACGACGGAACAAAGCCCAGGCCGTTCCCGCGCAAGCCATACCCCTACCCGGGACCCGCAGAGGGCCACCAGCCGTACCCGTATCCGGGTCCCATTCCCTGGCGCCAACCCTATCCGTCCCCGTGGGGCGACGACAACGATGACGATGATGACAACAAATGCAAGCCCGCGTTCCCGCGCCAGCCGTACCAATTCCCGGGTGCGCAAAGACACGGCGCAGGCGGATTGCCTTATCAGCAGCCGTCTGACACGTTCCCCGGCTTCCAGCGAGGCGGACCCCGGGGCCGAGGATGGGGTGCGGGTGGTTACAGTGCACGCACCGGCTTCGACGCACCCCACCACCCTTGGGGCTTCCCCCTCCTCTCCTCCAATCAACCACCCTACACGTTCCCCGGAGTCAAATCCGATACATACCAACCCGATGTGGACGTGTTCGACACCCCCGAGGCGTTCGTGATCCACGTGCCTCTACCCGGCGCGAGGAAGGAAGACGTCGAGGTCAGTTGGGACCCCAGGGCTGTGCAGCTTGGTATTTCGGGGACTATCGCTCGGCCGGGGTCAGAGGAGCTGCTGAAGACGATTGCGCTGGATGAGCGCCGGGTGGGGGCGTTTGAGCGCAAAGTACGACTAGGCGGCCCGGGCAGTGCGCCGAAAGTGGATGGCGAGGCGATCTCGGCCAAATTGGAGGATGGGGTGTTGGTTGTCGAGGTGCCCAAGACGGAGCCGGATGATGTTGAGGTAAAGAAGGTGGTGATTGCGTGAGGAGGGTTGTGTGCGGAGGAGGCTGCGGGAAGATGAATGAACGGGTCATTTGGATGGAGCAGTAGATAGATAGTTGGTAGTTAATGTACTGTACTTTATTTGTGTTTTCATCTCGGTCGATGTAACCTGTGGCTATCTCTCGTATCGAGACTCGTATCTTATACCACTGCCAGTTTGATCTCCACCAAAAAGCGATCCACAACGACGTCTCACGCTTGCCCGCACAAGAGGGGCAGCAATATATATAAAAAGTCTTCGCTCCACACAACGAGAATTAAATGACGCACTGGACGTTTCCTACCATTGACTGTCGAGAGCACTATTATGGTGCTTAACATTTGCATATCAATCAAGAACACAGCCAGCCGCAAGAAGGGGGGTGTGGACTGAGTGACACTGATCGTGCAGTGGCAACTGGAAAGGAAAGCCTCCCGTCCCGCCAAGTCGAACTTCCACCCTCTCTACATGCAAGCAAAGGACAACCGCCTTGGAGATGACAGCCAGTCTGTCAATAGAGATACAGTTTGATCGCAAGCCCTCGTGGCTAGGTGATGATGTATTCCTGATTCTACGAACCCATTTACATATTAACCCACGGAGGCAAACCAGTCGACCAGAAATGCCATGCTCACACAAGGACTCGGGCCAGCATCGACCGCCACGGTCGACCAGACTGCAATTGTACCTAGAACCCCTACTTCCTCAACGCAAGCCAGGGGAAATTCCTCTGCGGCCAGAAACATGAAACCCGGTGCAACCAGCCTCGGGCCAATACCATTGCACCACGCGAAAAGGGATTGGTGGGGGTCGCCAAACCAGAAATGCCCCGAAACCCGAGAACGAATGCGAATCACCCGAGCCTCGCTTCCCGACGCAGCATCCATCCACCACCAACCACCATCACCACTTGATACAAGTTCCCACAGAGTGGGAAGGTGTGTACCTCAATCTGAAAAACCACACTCGCACTCCCTAAGCCCAAGGATACAGTCCACGATGACAATCACAATGTCCAAGACCCCTACGTTCGAAGGTACTTCCCAACAACCACACCAGGTCACATGACCTCCTCCACCCTAACCCCCCGGCCCAAATCGCAGGATACTGACCAACCCCCCAGAGATCACCAGCTGCCAGCGCGCCCTCTTCGAATGGGCCGACAGCTACGACACGAAAGACTGGGAGCGTCTGCGGGCAAGCGTGGCCCCCACCCTCCGAGTAGGGCTTGCCCCTTTCCGAGCCCCCCTTCCTAACCACTGCAGCCAGTAGTTCCCACCCTCTGATTTCTTTTCCCTGTAGATCGACTACCGGTCCTTTCTCAACAAACTCTGGGACGCGATGCCGCGCGACGAGTTCATCCGCATGGCCTCCGACCCGCGCTTCCTGGGCAACCCGCGCCTCCGGACGCAGCACCTGGTCGGGCTGAGCGCGTGGGAGAAGACGGCCGACGACGCCATCGTGGGCCGCCATCAGTTGCGCGTCGCCCATCAGCGGTACACGGACGAGACCCTCGCCGAGGTGGCGGTCAAGGGCCATGCGCACGGGACGGCGACCATGTGGTACGCCCGCGTCGAGGGGGAGTGGCGGTTTGCGGGCGTGTGTCCCCAGATCAACTGGACGGAGTTTGACTACGATCAGGTGTTTGCGGAGGGGAAGGAGCATTTTGGGGAGGAGGGCGGCGCGGACTCGGAGGAGAATGGGCATTGAGGGGGACGGGTTGTGTGTGGATGGGTGGATGAATCGATGCCGGGATTGATGGCGCGAATGATCTTCTGCAGGTACCAGGATGAGGATGGCCAATGGTGGGTGATGATGTGTTCTTATTGAGGATGTGGCCGTCTGGACTGCGATTGCTGAATTCATTCATGAAAGCCTTATTCTTGAATAAGAAAGTTCTTCCTACAGGGCCCTTTGCGAGCCGGCAGCTACATAAATTATTACATAACTCTACTATCTGACTTTTCTCTAGAGGCTACATATAATCTAAGGTAGGGGAGAGTAGAAGAGAATAGAAACTAAAAATATCGAACTGATAGTAAGGACACAAAACATAAAATTATAGCCTAATTAGTACCGACTGTCCGTATATGTACATGTATTTTTCTGTTTCCCTACTAAAACAAGATATCGCATTGTTCGCATTCGAGGACTTTTATAAAGAAAAGACTATACCAAAAGAAAAATATGCTCAGACTCTAAAAGTATTTCTTGAAGAATACTGGTAGATCTTAGACGAGAAATTCTCGGAAAAGCAGATTCACAAGTATTTACAGCTGGGAGCCTAGGTCTTCCAATTATTCCCAATATAACAAGTACACCAGTGAATCAGAAACAGCTCTATAGAATATAGTTCTTGGTTATGACAGCAACCAAATCTACTAGGATGAAGATGTCTGCTATACAGCCGCCCGACGCAGCCACCAACCCACCAACACTTCATCATCCTGAAAGGATTTGGAGATAGAGGAAGTTGATCGTGAAACTATGCTGAGGGAATTAGGAATAACTAATGACCATTGGACTTTCAAGGCGATATTACACGCTCCGATCTGGATTCTGTAGATATATTGCAAATGATGCACAAACTGTCGCGCGGGAACCCTCACACATTCTTACCACCGAGATCAAAAAGCAAATGTTCGGTTTAACTATAATACTCCTCCAACCACGACCGCAGAGCTCCGATGGTAGGATACTCCAAGAACAGACTCCCGGCCACCACAATCCCCAGTTCCTCGCGGAACTTCTCGGCGATCACCAGACTCATCAGGCTGTCCACACCCAGATTGGCAAATGCTGCGTCGTCGGTGAGATCGGATGGGTCGAGACCGGCTTCGGTGGCAATCAAGGCCAGAGCCTTGCCGGATGTGCTGTCGGAGTCGACGGCCGGGGCAGCAGCAGCGGCCGCCGGTGCTGGTGTAGAGGCAGGGGTCGGTGCTGACGGATTGACCTTTGGGGTAGCCTCTACCACCGCGAGCGTGGGCTGCGAAACAGGAGCAGCAGGCGCCGGGGCAGAGACGGCAGGACCGGCACCCCCAGCAGCAGCATAGGACTTCGCGATCGAGGAGTCCGGCGCGGCGAAGAACCGGTTCATGAGGATGCGGGGGTAGCGACGGAACTGGATGCCGCCCACCATCCCGACGATCACATGGTCCTGGAAGACATACACATCCCCCAGATACACGGAGGGATCGTCGGCGGTTGGGATCATCTTGACATAGGACCGGTACCGCTGCCCGGGGACCAAGGGCCGCGCGAAGCGCATACTGTCCCATCCCGGGGTCACGCAGAAGGTGTTAGCCGTGTCGCTGGCGTCAGAGACGTTCATGATGAACCCGGCCAGATGCGCCACGCTGTCGATGAAGTACGGAGGCACGATGTAGCTCCCGCCGCCGGAGACGTGCTTGAGGGTGACGTCGGCGAAGGCCTCGAACTCGTGCATCACGACCGCTTGCATGCCCCGGTACTTGTCGGCGTACTCGACCAGGTTGTTGCCGAAGAGGGTGTACGCCATCTTGTGCGAGAAGCGGTTGGCGGTCCCCTCCGCGGCGAGACGCTCGAGGGTCTCGATGCGGCCCTGCACCAGGTGCGCGAGCGGGCTCCATGATAAAAGCCAGTCGTCCGCATCGCCGTACACGACGCGGCAGGTTGCAAAGGGTTCCGAGACGGTGCCGTCGTTGGCGACGCTCTCCCAGACGAAGTCGGCGGCACCGGCGTGGATGTCGGCTGTTGTCGCGGTGACGCGGAAGTATTGCGGGACCTTGGTGTTGCTTTGGGCCACGAGGCCCTTGGTCACCTTCAGGTTGGTGATGTTGACATGCACGGTCTTGGCCGTGGGGATGAGCTTCTTGTAGAGGTATTCACCGAGGGTGTATACGATGTCGCCATGGATGGACTATGTGGTCAGTAGAAGCCCGAGGCAGAAGGTCTGATAAGCACTTACAGACGTAACGACACCGCAGTTGTTCATCTTGTGTCCGTGCGCCGCGGCAAGGAGATCAGGCTGCATCAAGTCAGACTGCATGACGACCTTGCCGGACGATCCAGAGAAGTTCTCCTCAATGATCTGCTGCACAGTGGTGGTGCTGAGACTAGAGACCGGGACAGCCGGGGCCTGTCGATTGATACCCTTCTCCACATCGTAGAAGGTATTGCCCTTGGTGAGCGCCCAGTCTCCTCTATACTGAATCCAGTAATTTTTCTCGTTCCAGCTGTAGGTGGGCAGATCTAGAAGACGCAGCGCCGCCTCAAAAGGCCGATGGAACTCATCCCAGCGCACCTGCAGCCCCGCGGTGTGAAGCTGCCCCAGACTCGCTGCGAGAGTGGTCCAGTTGTCCTCCCCACGGCGGAAAGAGCCCACCGTTACCGGAGCAGGGTCGAAGCTGGCTTTGATAAATGCCACACAGACCGGGTGCGGCCCGACCTCAACCCAGACGGTGTCCTTGTCGACGATCGAGGTCTCCTGCGCGTTCTGCATGGCAGACAAGAAATCGACTGTTCCGCGCGTCGCTCGGCGCAAATACTCGGCATTGAGGGACTTTTCATCAAAGACAACTTTACCCAGCAAGGGGGAGACGATGGGCAGCGTGGGTGGGCGGAAGATGACGCTCTTTCTGGCGGTCTCCTCGAACAGGTCCAGGATGGGGTCGGTCTGGGCGGAGTGGAAAGCAAATGGGACATCGAGGAAGATGACCCTGTAGCCTTGTTCTTTGAGAGGGACCGAAACGGCTTCCATCTGCTCGGTGGTCCCCGACAGAACAGTCTCCTTGGGCCCATTCACGCATGCGAGGTCATACGGCAGGTCCCTGACCGCATCCTCAATCTCGCGTCGCGACGCCTTCACGGCCATCATCTTGTGCGTGCCGGCAGTACACAAGGACTCCAGCATCTGAGCACGCGACCCAACCAGGAAAATGGCGTCGCTTGCGGAGAGGACACCGGCGATGACGAAGGCCGCGTACTCGCCCAGACTATGTCCGGCGACGACTTCGGGTTTGATACCCAGTGTCTCCCAGTATTTGGCCAAGGCAATCTCCACGCTGGTGTGAGCCACTTGGGTGATGACGGGCGACCAGGCGTGGTCTTTGGGATAACTGCCATCGACGGCTGGGAGGAACGAGGGAAAGCCGTGCTGTTGACCCAGACGGTCAAGGCTTTCGAGCTGGGACCGGAAGAATGGGGAGTGGTGGTACAGCTGCAGGTTCATCGACTTGTCGGCGGCGCCTTGCCCGGTGAAGACAAATGCGACCGGCGGTGCTCCGGTTGTTGGAATTGGCTTCATGGTGTCGACCCCGTCCAGCTCGGAAATAAGTTGTTGCTTCAGGCTGCTCACGTCTGTAGCGGTAACGGCCACACGATGGTTGTGGTGATACCGTCTGGCTGTAAGGGAGTACGCCAGGTCGGCCATACTCACATCTTCATATTTCTCAAGGTAAGCAATTAGTCGCTGGAGATTGCCCTTGAGGGAAATTTTACTCTTTGCAGAGACGGTAAAGACATGACTGGGTCGCGGATCGGATCCAAGTCTGTCTCGCACTGGACCTTCCTCCAGCACAAGCGTAGTATTACCACCAGCTGCACTGAAGTTGTTCACCACCGCAATGCGTTTCTTCTCGGACGTCCTAGACCATGCAGTGGTCTCGAAGGGAATATGCAGGTTGCGCCGGTCCATATCTTTAGGAAAGCCCGGGTTGATGTCAGTTTTGATGCCGACATGAGGCGGAATTGCACCTTTTTGCAGCATAAGCAGGACCTTGATAAGCGCCGTCACACCCGCAGCAGCCTCTCCGTGGCCAACATTTGCCTTGACAGCACCGATATGAAGCGGCTGTTTGGCGGTTCGCCTTTTGCCCTTTATAGGGGCAAACACGTTGGTGATGGACTCCATCTCTTCGGCATCACCTGCTTGAGTTCCCGTGCCGTGGAACTCCACGTAGCTGACGTCAAGCGGGTCGATGCCGGCCCGCGCCATGACTTGCCGATACAGATCGGACTGGTGGCCGGCGTGAGGATGCGTGATGGAAACCGCATTGGCAGAGTGATTGGTCGCCGCCGCTGGAATCACGCCGAGGATGTTGTCGTTGTCCGCCAATGCATCGTCCAGCCGCTTCATGACAATCGAGCCGACACCATCGGCGCGACAGTACCCATCAGCCGTGCAGTCCCAAGTCTTGCAGGCGTTGGGCGTCTTGGTGAGGAAGTGGCCGTTACAGAGCCCGGCGAACGCATCCGAGTTGGTGAGCACATTCAGACCTCCTGCGACGACAGTGTCGACGTCGCCTGCCCAAAGTGCAGTGCAGGCCGCCTGGATGGTGGCCAGACTCGAGGAGCAGGCCGTGTCGCAGTTGAAACTGGGTCCCGCGAATTTGAAGAAGTAATTGATGCGCCCGGGACCAAAGGCGCGACATCCACCGGGGATGAAGTAGGTGCTGATCTCTTGACCCGTGTTGACCTCCCGATAGTCGTCACTGGCCTGGCCGTACCAGGTGCCGATGCGGTTGAGATTTGTCGCTGGCGTGCGGTTTGCCACATACCCGGCTCGCTCCAGGGCTTCATACGCGGTGACAATAGCCAAGCGCTGCATGGGGTCGGTCTGTTCCGCTTCACGGGGCGACATGTTGAAGAACGGTGCGTCGAAAAGGCCCGGCTCGTCGATGAAGCACCCGTACGCCGTGTGGCTGGTATTCATCCTCTTCCCAGTAGGATCGTGATGCGAGTCCACATCGAAGCGATCGGCGGGGATTCTCCGGTGTACGTCCAGTCCAGCTTCAAGGAGATCCCAGAACTTCTCTGTGTCCGTGGCACCACCTGGCATGCGACAGGACATGCCGACGATCGCAATCTTCGACTGCATGGAGCTTCCGGGCGAGTACTGTCCGTGGTCGACGTCGGTCCCGACCCACGCCAGAAGGTCGTCGGTATCGACCGGGAGATCCGTCATGGCGGACGTCAACGCAGTCGACAGCTGCTGGGCTGGAAGAGAGTGACGGAAGACCTTGATGTTGACATCGTGGACGTCGGTCTTAGCGACCCGCTCGGCAACACCACGAAGAACATTGTCCCACACGATTTGCTTGGTTAGAACCTCGAAAATCACCTGCTCAAATAGCTCTGCAGCACTGGAGGCAAGAAACGGCTGGCCGGAGCTGGTGGACATGACGGGCACGACGGGTTTATATCGCGCCGGTAGCGAAGGCGATCGGACGACTGCCTGTGCGTCTTCACGCGTGTAGAGATGCGCTGCATGGCATAGCCCTCCATAGACCGGGAGGTGCGCAAATTTGCGATCACGAAACGAGGCGTAATTGCGGAAAAGCGCCTTGAGCCGAGATGGGGGTCCGCTCACAGTGACCGAGGTTTCGCTGATCGCACTGACAAAGATCTTGCTGGCTGATGGGGTCCGCTCCTTGGCTTGGATGTCATCCAGCTCTGCCTGAGCTTCGTCGACAGTCATTCCATGGACAACGTATGCCCATGACTCGGAAGACTCCGCATCAACGGCCTCTAGGTTATGCGAGACGTCGGCCACGAACACGCCGAGGCGAAAGGCAATGCGCAAGACTTCCACACCAGCCGTGACTGCATCGTCCAGGGATGTGGAGACTGAAACGGCTGTCGAGACCAGTATACCCACACCCAAGCCAGTCAGTAAGCTGTTGGTCTCTGTTGCCCGGTCCTCTGGATAGAGCTCGCAGTGCCTGATCAATTAGTCTAGCACAGGAAGAACCAAAGGGAATGAGAGGCGTACCCAATGTACATCCCCAGCTGCAACACACAGAGCAGCACTCCATCGATAGATTGAGCAAGCGGTCCCTTGCGTAGCTTTGTCTCACCAGCCAAAGTCGTCACGGACTCGAAAGCAGGAACCAGCTGCCCCAGTTCCACGCGTAGCTGGCTGACCTCATTTCGCAGCACCCTCGTGGCTTCACTCAAGAACCGAGCCAAGATGGGATGACTGCTGTGCTTGCTGTGACTGTGTAACCGGCGCAGAAGGGCCGAAAGGTCATCTGTGGGAAACTCGTTGCTGAAGTACAGGACCTTAAGCTTGGTGGGTAGGTCTTGCGCCTCTGCTGGGGGGGTATAGGTTACCATGTCGAATGAGGCTGTTGAAGACGACGACGAGGGAGCCGACATGCCCTTGCTACCTGTACAAGCGGCAGCAAATATGTAAGTGTAGCGAGGTGTAGGGTAGATATCAGGCAAAAGAAGAGTGGAGAGTGTCTAGCGCGCACCAAAATGCAAAGGAGAGTGAATCAAACTGATTGATAATGGAGCCACATCGACTTGGATTCCCAGGATAAATAGTCCAGTCACTCCATGTATCTCCAAGTACTTGCCACCACATAGACTAGCAGCAGAGACAAATAGCCCGACTCCCGAGTCGGGATCCGGACAACGGAATACGCAGACGCAGCACCCCCGACGGGTTATACAAATGAATCTTGGGAATTTCCGGTCTGAATTGTCGATAACGCTTCCAAGCCAGACCAGACCATCGCATCCCAAGATCAAAATGGGTGAAGGAGGCTACCGACAGATCAACAAGACCCTGAACGCCTGCGCGTTCGATGACTATCTCGTCACCCAGCAGTCACGACTGCCCAAACTTCTGGATATCGAACAGCTCAGCCCGCGGGTGCTTCGAGTCCTTGGCCAGAATGCGGGAAAGGTATGCCCCTCACCGACCCCCCCCCCCCCCCCCGAGTTGATCGAACCTAATGGCCGGTGGAGTTCACGTTGCAAGGCACGAATACCTATATCGTGGGCACAGGCCAGCACCGCCTTCTCATCGACACCGCACAGGGCTACCGTGAGTGGGCCGATTTGATCGACGTCACACTCTCGAACCGATCGATCTCGCTGTCCCATGTGTTCCTCACCCATTGGCACGGTGACCATACCGGCGGCGTTCCGGATCTCATCCGGATGTATCCCCACTTGGTGGATGGTATCTACAAGAACTCGCCCGAGCAGGGCCAACACCCCATCGAGGAAGGCCAAATCTTCAAAGTCGAAGGTGCGACCCTCCGCGCAGTTCACGGACCAGGCCACTCGCATGACCACATGTGCTTTGTCCTTGAGGAGGAAAACGCCATGTTCACGGGCGACAATGTCCTTGGCCACGGCACGAGCGCCGTCGAGCAGCTGGGCCTCTACATGGACACTCTCCGGAAGCTGCAGGCTCAAGGATGTAGGACAGGCTATCCCGCCCACGGTGCCGTCATTCCCGACCTCAATCTCAAGATCGCCACCGAACTGGCGCAGAAGACCCGTCGGGAAAAGCAGTGTCTTGCTGCGCTGGGTCGGATCCGGAAGGAGAGGTCCACGGGGCAGTTGGCCAGTGTTACTGTTGGTGAGCTTATTGACGTAGTTCATGGCACTCGGGTGAATGAGGAAGTACGGAAAATGGCATTAGAACCGTTCATGGAGGAGGTCTTGAGGAAGCTGGCAGAGGATGGAAAGGTGGCATTCCGGGTGAGGAAGGGGGTCAAGACTTGGTTTGCTCTTACTTGACATTCTTGCCTTGACTTTTGCATTCTTTCACCGAGGCTTAGAGCTATGTTTCATGATCCAGAATCATTATCCGGGTCTCAGTCGTGTTGGGAAGGTTGACAGCCCCGCCTGGGACGTGTATCCTACCGATAGCTACAAACCATGCCTACGCAGTGTGACAATCGTAAAGTTCGTGCATCAGTGCAATATGAAGCTTTATTGGCTATCGAGCTCTAGAGACAAACTATCTAAGCAGCACCACCATCAATTCCAAGAACCTTCCCATTCACCCATTCGCTCTCGCTCGAGGCCAAGAAGCACACTACCTTGGCGATATCGACGGGATACCCGCACCGGGTCAAAGGCGAGACATGAGCCACAATCTATAATGTTAGTCTCTGTGAACAAAATGGCGCGGCTTGACGAAACTCACATCCAGGATCTGCTCTTTGGATAGCTTGTCCGCGTTGGGCAGATAGTCCTTGGCCGTCTCATGGAACATATCGGTGACGGTGCCGCCGGGGGCAACCGCATTGACGGTGATCTTCTTGTCGCCACAGTCTTTGGCCAGGCAGCGGACAAAGGTGTTGATGGCCGCCTTGGACGCGGAGTAGAGCGAGTGCTTTGGCACGGTGAACGAGTCGGCCGTGTTGGAGCTCATCAGAATGATCCGACCATTCTGGTTCAAGTGCTTGTACGCTTCGCGGGCGACGAAGAACTGGCCCCGGGTGTTGACGCTGAAGACGCGATCAAACTCTTCCTCGGTGACCTCACTCAGGTGTCCGAATGAGACGACGCCGGCGTTGGAGCAGACAATGTCGATACCGCCGAACACCTTGACGGCTTCCTCAAACAGCTGGACGGTTTGGGGCACCTGGCTGACGTCGGCCTGGAGAGCGACGGCGTCGGACCCCAGGGATTTGATCTCCTCGACCACTTGGTTGGCGGGTCCGGCGGATTTGCTGTAGTTGACGATGACCTTTGCGCCGCATCGGCCCAGCTCGACAGCCATGGCGGCGCCGATGCCGCGGCCGGATCCGGTCACCAGGGCGACTTTGCCATCGAGCCGGTAGGGGATGTACGAGATAGAACCCATTTTCAGAGTGTTGTGAGTTGTGAACTTCGCAAGAGCAACGGCACGACAAAGGATATGTTACTGGAAGTGTATCTTGCACCGTCGTGAATCGAGCGTACGGGTTGAACAAGATATTTGTTCCCAGTCAGGGCTATTTTTCTTTTCCGAATGCCGTCCGTCGAGGTGTCCGGGTCGTGAAATCCCCCGTTATTGCCCGACCCCATTTTCCGACCCACAAGATGTCCATCCAATTCGACTATTATGCGTTCTTTGTCTGTTGTCGCCTGGTTGCATTCACGGTTGAACTTCGCCTCCCATTGCCTCAACCTACCCAGCGAATATTTTGTCACTACAACCTCCGGGCCCTGAGGATATATTTCCACAACCGAGCAACCTGCACTGCCCTGCTAAACCACATTCACCATCTCTACCACGAATACATCCAATCAATGACCGCCCCAGCTTCCACTCAAGCCGCAACACTGCAGCGGTTCCTCTCCGCCTGGAAGAAATGGGACGCCCAGGAATGGATCTCCACCTTCTCCGACGATTTCCAACAAATCACCCTCCCCCACAGCCTGAACATGCCCGTCCGTACCCGCAAGGAAGTGGAGGTTGTTCTGCCTGCCCTCGTCGCGACGGTGAAGTCCTATCAGGTACGCATTCCGTCGCGGTAGCTACGTTCAGGCGGTCAAGCAATGTTAACTCCGACAGCTGCAAATCCACCACGTCATCCATGATCCCGACAACAACAAGGCGGCGGTATACGCGGCGTCGACGGGGACGCTTCCGTGGGGGGACTGGAACCTCGAGTACGCGGCTTTCCTGACGTTCACCGACGACGGAGGAAAAGTGGCCCGACTCGAGGAGATGCTCGATACCGCGTTTCTGCAAGAGTTTGGGCCGAGATTCGGGAAGTACCTGGAGGAGAATGGGGGGCCGGGGGCGGTCGCTGCGGGGGGGAAGTAGGACCCGCGTTCGCAAGCTTGATTTTGAATACTATAATGATAAATCGTTTCATTCCTAGAGAATGGTGTGTGGACTCGTGCATCGGGAGTCAAGATCGTGGTTTCGTAGAGATAGGGCGTATCTCTAAATGCGCCAGACACGAAGGTGTCGTTTCGGTGAGGGTTAACGAAGCAGAAATGATTCAGGGCTGGCCTCGGAAGATGTATTGTAAGTTAAGTTACCGCGACCACGATCAGGTTTACACACCCAGCCAAATAAGTGCAGCTGCGAGTAGAATAACTCCAATAATAAACACGTCACATCCAATGACTGTCAGATATCTATCTACCTGCGCTCAAGCCTCCTCCTGCCCCTTAATATACGCCTCCAACTTCGGCAAGAAGCTCTTCATAAACACCCCATCAAACATCTCCTCGATCCGGTTCACGGACTCGCCACTCTCATCGAACCACACAAAGCACGCGTGCTCGTTCTTGTACGGTCCGAAGGGCGAGTCGGCTGTGGTGATGGCATAGATGACCGCTTTGCTCTCCGCGGGATCATGGATGATGTTGTGTACCGTCAGCTGAATCGGTATTGATTAGCCCTTCGTGTGCCATTGATTAGCTGGGTGGGCTACTGTACCTGAAAGTTGGTCAGAATGGACATGAGCTTGGGAAAGAGCTTCTCGGTGATGGCCCGGGTGCGAGGCGGGACCCCCGAGCTGAATGGCAGAGTCACTTGCGCGCAGTCGTCGGACCAGCTGGCCAGGAAGCCGTCTGGCGTCCAACCTTTCCAGCCGTCGATGAATTTGTTTAAGGTGGCGGTTTGGGTGGCGGCGGGGGCGGGCATGGTGGTAGCTTTGTCACTGGGCAAACGGTCGGTGGTCTGGGTGAAAGGTAGAATGGGGAGAGAGGTATTGCAAGAAAGTCTTAAGGTGATCGTGATGGCCCATGGATAGTACTCGGGGCATTCAGTCAATCGGGAAGTCGGGCTTGAAGGGCCCGGGGGAGTCGGAATGGCTGGAGGGAATATCCAATGAGCAATTACCCGAAAGCACGCTTCAGGAAGATCGTTACAGTGGAAGAAGCCAAGAGAAAAGCGGGAATGGTATCATGAAACTAGTCATTCACTGATTTTCTTGGTCAGATGGGAATGGGGACATCGTAGGCGCCATCTTGAGACACATTACGTATACTTGGGGATACGGCTGGATGTTTCAAGCTTCAATAATCAAATTCAGCACAACACCACGGTTCCAGTCTGCAACTATCGCCTCGTAGCTAAGATAACCTTCGCAGGCCAAGTTCCCTTGACCTCATCGTCGCCAATGATCTCTTCCATCTCCTGCCACAACTCCCCGAAATGCGGATCTTCCCTCGCAAACGGAAACGACAAGACATGCTCCTTCACACCTTCAAGCCCAGTCACAAAGCTCCACCCATCCTCCTGCACAAAGGTCTCGACATCGTCCACGCCCGTATAGACAGGCTCGTCGACCTGCACCTCCGGCGGCAAGGGCGCGGTGATGCCGCCGTTCTCCATGTTGAGGTGAACGCGCTGCGCGCGGGGCAGAAACAGCCGCTCATCCAACGGGGCGACATTGTACTGGCCCTGCGTGCGGGCCATGACGGCAACCAACTTCTCTGGATCATCGGCCTTGGCCAGCAGGGCGCGGCCGCCGGAATGGTTGATGCGAGTGTAAACGTCCTGGATGCGGGGGTCCTCGAACTGCGCCGCGCCAAAAGCCGCGCAGGCAAAGGTGCCCCCGGCCCGGAGCTGGCGCGCGATCTCGCTCATCGCGAGCGGCTGGTCGCAGAAATGCAGGACGTTGGTCGCGAAGACCATGTCCACGCTGCCGGGGGCGATGTCGTCGCCCTCTTCGACCCGGGCTGCGCGGTAGCTGAACCCGTCCGTGCCCAAACGATCCTCGGCGAGGATCACGTTCTCCTGCGCGATGTCGGAGATGATGACATGCTGGAACTTGGAGCGCAGGATGTGTGCGTAGGGCCCGTTGCCGGCGCCGACATCGTGCACCGTCCCGAACTGGCCGCCGTGGGATTGGTGGTAGTGGAAGAGGCGCTGGAAGAAGGCGTCGGGCGCGGAGGGGCGGCCTTTGAGGTAGTTGTTCCAGAAGGCTTGGCCTTTGTCGAAGAGTTTGTCATTCGAGTCAAAGGAGGGGACTGTGGCTGTTGCCATGGTGTACGGATGCACTGGGGTTGGCTGGCGGATGGTCCGGTGGTGTACACCACCTTGCCTGCCACAATATTTAAACCTCAATTGACTCGCCGAGCTTCGGATCTCGGGGTTCGGGGGGTAAGCGCTCGGTGGTAAAGGCCAACTGCATCTATTCTGCATCTGCAAGTGGATTACAAACATAATGTATCACTGTGCATTGTACAAAGGAATCATTATCGGGGTCCCGATTTGGGCCCCTCCCTCTCCGGCCCCTCCAGGCCCAAGTAGCCCTCGATCTCCCTGTGCATGGTGCAGCGGGGTCATCACCTCCGCAAGCGATCCACAATAGCCCTTGACAGGTCACAAAGACGCTTCCGCAGATCGGCTTCCAGCGTGTTCACCAAGCCGGGCGAGAAAGGTTTTAAAAACGCGTGGATGCCTCCTGCAAGGGGGCCGGTCATGTGCAGCGAGGGGTCACAGGTGTCCGGCGGCTCCTCCCCGGCCGTTTCCGAGATGCGGCGCAGCCGCTGTGCCAGCAGATCAACGGATGCCTGGACGCCTGCGAGCTTGGAGAGGATGCGCTGCACGGCAATGCGCTGTTCATCCTCGCACGCGCAGTCGGGGGAGGAGGGGGGGCCTTGCAGGACGGGCTCGAGTGGGTCCTCGCCTGAGGCAGCCCCCGTGGCCGCGGTGTACCAGGCAATGACCCGGAAAACTACGAGAGACAGGGTGATCAGGAGGTAGCTGTCGTTGGTACAGTTGCATTGCAGAATTCTGCGGACGGTCTCGCTGGTCTGCTCGTTTTGGGCGAGAACGCGTTCGAAATCGGGCAGCGTGGGCGTGGCGGTGGCCCCCGGATCGTTGCCGCACCCCGGATTGCCTGGGGAGAGATCGGCTAGCAGCGCAAGAGCACGAGCCAAGCATTGGCAGGCGGCCGAGGTTGGACGGCTGATCGTCGGTGCTGCATCGATGTGAGGTCGCACTGCAGATGTGGGAGATGTCGGGTGCGTGATGAGCTCCGGTGCAGGGAATGGGCACGTGCGGGTGTCGTCGAGGGTGAAGTCAAAGAAAGTGGCTGCATCGTCTTGCTGTTCTAGAGGAAGTCCTACTGCCGAGGCGAAGAGCTCGTCCAAATCTGGGAAAGAACTCGCGGGGAGTGATGATAGGCAGTTCTCGTCGAGCGATCTCAGGGCTCCGAAGATGTCGGGATACGGCGAGCATTGTCTCTGGAGACCGAGCGACGGGGAGAGCCCACCACCATCCGGGGTGGACGGACTGGTGGTGTCACTTGCCTGTGCTGAGGTGAATGTCGGACTCGGTGACGCTGTGGCGGTCATGGTCGCTGTCATCGTCAATGCCGAGTCCCTTCGTGCCCTGGTGTGAGTTTTGCCCGATGTACGACCTGCACGCTTTGCAGTGCTATACACGCAGGGGTGATCTCGTTTGGCACACCGAGCACAGCTCGGCTTTTCTTTGGTGCATCCGACTTTGGTCGCCGCACACAAATCACAGGATTTGCGCAGTTTGGACGAGGCTCGTGAAGATGCGGTCGGCAGTGGTGAAGCCATAGTATGGACTGGCAAAAGGGCAGGGTGATTCAATCGCCGAACGGGAAGTAGAGAATGCGATGAGGGCGTGGTCCCATCTTCTTAACGCTGCGCAATTTACAGCTCTAGCGGACTGCAAGCTATGGTGGTATGGTGGCCACAACTTCCCAATCACGAGCTGTGGCTTATGTCGATCCTGTTAATCCCAGCTTGGACCAGTTTCCTGATTTATCAGGCGCAGAAAGAGTACCCAGGAGGCATGATGCTTCTCCTCTGTCGGAGTCACTACGAAAGCAGTCTACTTGATTCGTGTTCATTCATCGATAAAAGCCCTAGTCACAAGTAGCACCACTCCGTCCCAGACTAGCTAGGTATAGGTAGGCTAGTTCCAAAGGTAATAGCGATGGCGAAGCTCCAGCCAATGATCGGCGACTGTGACGTGCTGCCGATAATCAATCGGTTCCCTGATCTTATGCTGGCCTCCTATTGCAGGAGTCCCCGATATTAAGGCTTACCGCGCTTGGACCTGTTGATAAGCTCTATTTGAATTGATGCTGACGTGAGATCTTCGCCACTTATGATTAGCCTGAATGTAAGGGAGCAAGGATCAGCGGAGATGGCGTTGGTTTCTCGCCCCAGGAGGATTCTGTCCCCATATTGCCCCCAATCAGTTCCAAGGCTCAGATGCAGGATCGACACCACCCCCGAGTGGTTCTGCATGGTAGCAGGCAGCGACTCTAGACCCTCTAGGCGCCGGTGGGGTAATCTTCTCATAAACACCCCGGTCCCAGCGTGCACAGCTTGGAAGACTCCCCCGATCGTCCCCTTTCGCCATGATTTCATGCCAAAAAGAAGCAAACACCCCGTGGAGACTGCTTTGCTATCTTGTATGCCGGGATATGTTCTGGGTACAACGCAGAAAATGCTTGGTTCGCACCAAGTCTCGTTCATGCATTGGGCGGAGAAACCCGAAGAGTGGAAAAGCAAGCGCAATTGTTCAGTCATGCACACCACATTTTAGTGCTGACGGACCCTGACGGCGCGTTCCATCTAGCGTTGCAGCGCGTATCGCAGCTTTGCCTGTTTCTTATCCAGCTCCTGCGGATAGAATGTCCGACCGGGGCATTCTCAAAAACTGTCCGGGGATTCTAACTCCCGAGGCTAGGAATGAAGGCAGATACTCTGCAGTCCTGCAGGAAACAGCGCCACTTCACAGTTGTGAATATCCTCTGCAGCCCAGAAAACCCCGCCTTTGGCATGTGGCCCACAGTCATCCTGCCTCGAGCTCATTACAGCATCTGGCCAAATACGTTCTTCACGAGCTTGCATGGTTCGAAGGATCTTCCATCTTGCTACAAGCGGGGCATCGTGGCCACCATACGCATAAAGCTGTGAGTCTGGATTTGACGAGCGACCTTCAGCTCATTCCTGTCCAACCTCCCATGACATGGCGTACCTGGCTCAGTTGGAGGCAGCCTCGAGTAATCTTTCGGCAGCACTGGAGGAGCTTGCCTCGCATTACAGGAATGGCGGGACAGACAGTCTGGGTGCTCGACCACCACAGCTGCTACCCACAGAAGCACCTCCAGAGGCCCACAAGGCAAGAGAGTCGGCGTTGGCAAGTCTGACCAGATTGCAAGTCATGCTGGCCGGGCCGACGGATTTGCTGCAGAATCTGGCAGGCCAGGTGGTTACCATTTTTCTCCTCGCTGAGATACTGACTAACCAAGCGATAGGTGCAATTGCTGGCCTGTATACAATGGCTTGGCGACAGTCAAGTTCCTGCTTGTATTCCGTTGGACGGCACAGCCTTGATCAAGGATGTTTCCAGTCTTATCGGGGTTCCAGAAAGCCAGCTCAGTCGGGTTATCCGAATGGCCACAACCGGAGGATTCCTCCAGGAACCTCAACCAGGCCATGTGTCCCACAGCGAGGTTTCCGCGGCCTTTGTGACAAGACCGTCGTACCTCGACGCAGCCATGTTTTTGGCTGAAACGGCTGCCCCTGCCGCGTTGACCAAAGAGACAGGTATAATACAGGATTCCGACTCCGATGGGCGAAAGGATGAGAGCCCTTGTCTGTCATCCTTCGCCACTGCCAGCGAAGCCCAATTGCCCCGCCTACAGCGGCAGTGGCAGGCCTACCTGCGATATGGAACGGGCCATGTGTGCGACACGGCGACCGATGTCTTGACCTGTCTAGAGGGAATCCGCATGGCCAATGAGTCTGCCGTGGTTGAGGTAATCACTCCCCCCCCCCCCATATCACCCACCCGAAGCCCGCGTCCATGTCGCTGATCTAAGTCTGGGTGAAGGTCGGCGCACGATCCACAGAACGGGCCATCGCTCTCGCAAACCAATATCCATCGCTCCGCTTTACAGTCCAACTCCAATCCTCCAGACATGACCGACTGCGGATATCGAATCCCAGGATAACCATCTCCCACCGACAGCCAGGATCACCACAACCCATTCTCAACGCCGCACTCTACATCCTCAATTTCCCCATCCCCGTACCAGGATCCTCACCCGCCTCGGTGGCGACGCACCTCTCGGCTGAGCTTCGCGCACATCTACCTGCGTTGCGGCTGAACCGTTCGGCTACCTTGGTCGTCATTGCTCCCTCGACGTCCGATTCAGATGAAGGGATAAGGCTGACTCGGATCCGCGATCTGTCCTTACTACAACTGGCCAGACAACGCGAGTTGGGGTTGTCCGAAGTGATCAACCTGCTGAACGGAGTCAGCGACGGGGAGGGAAGACTGGTGCTTGTGAATCAGGTGCGATCTGTGGGAAAGTATGGGGTCACGGCGTTGGAGGTGAAGTATCAGCCTCATGAATTGGTGCGATAAGAACTTCTGAGTGTAGCCCTATGGAAGGGAATGAAAGCATTCGTCTCAGACCTACAAAATATGCCCAGTGTCTCTCAACGCCCCTTCAATGCTTGATCAGACTGCCGCGGTTGGAAAAGACCCAATTCAATCCAACGAACTAAAGCTCCATTGCTACTAGTGTCCAGTTATCCCAGATGAGCGATACTTGCCTAAATTCATCCAATGCTATTGCTCTGGGGGGTAAGCACAAAAACAATTTCTTGACCTCTTCCTTGGCACATCCGGAGCCAGAGTGACCGCATTTTTTTCTTTTCATATTCTAGTTCCATCCAGTTCAGGCTTTGAGAGGCAATGATCTGTAAATAGAAACGGGGAATTTGCCGAGGTTCGAGGAGCGCAGATATTGCAAGGGAGCTGCAGGAAGTCGAGAATTGGCTTCAGCGCTGCTAAACAGTCACAACGCAGCCGGAGAAAGCTGTGACTAACTGAAATCACGCTAATTATGCATTAATGGGGGGTGGGGGGGGGGGGGGGGAAGGGGGGCAGCATTTCCGGCCCGGGCTCAGACACCAATTACTTTCTGCTTTCAGTGGCCTTGGGACTCCTGTCTCCACTCCGCGTACTTTTTGTCGTATGGTTGGGTTGGCGCGCCCGTGGGAGCGGAGTTTGGGGTCGGTGCCGAGCGGGGGCACACGCCACCGAGAGTCGCCTGGGCAAACATGCTTGATTTCTTCAGTCTGCCCCTCACAGCAGGCGGCGAAGGTGTGGCACCTCGGGCACTAACTATACCTTGGAATAGGACTCCAGCATGACTTGCCAACTGCTAAAAGCTACTCCGCGCCCTCTCCCCGCCCTCTCCCCGCACGTAAAGCTATCTTAGGAGTAGACCTGGAATGTGGCAGTCGGACCAGGAGAGATGAAAGATAGTCAGTTATCTCCGTGGGCGCCACCGGACTCGGGCTCGAATTGATCTCCGCTGCGCTTCTGCGGGGGACCCTCATTTCTCAGTCGGGTTGGATTGCACGGCGCAGTTCATGCCGCGATAAGCAACCGGTCCCATTCACAAGTCTCGGCATCCGTATATTAAGGAACACTCAGGATTCTAGAGTTTGGGATAGAGGAAGTCTGGCAGAAAATGATGGAATGTGACTACACCTTTGGTGGGCTCGCCAGGTAGCTCTCTCAATCAAGGCTCTCCACCGAGAAGCATCGGGTACTTTGATGATGTGAAGGCTCGAATCAGGATCTAGCCCTAAATCGTGAGCCATCAACCGCTGCCACTGTTAGATAACGAGATTGAATGATGACTCGACCCGACTTCGTATTCAGGAGGGTGTGAAGCATCCCATGCACACGGTTTGTTTTACTACTGGAAGTTGCGTAGGCACCGCCGATATTTCACCACCGCGAGACTATGATGCCGACCTTCACTTACGTGTCTCAGGGCATGACTTACGAAAACCCCCGAATAAAGATCGAATTACTGAAACCACCCAACGGATATCTTCAGTATTCAACAGATAGACCCTCATAACCAGCCCGTACGAGACTAAGCAGCCTTGTCCGCGGGCATTCCCACTCGAGCATTACTTGCAGCTGAAGTCGGAAGAGTCAAGATGTTTAGATCAATGCAAAACACAGTATACTCCTGTAAATTCGAGATACTACTCCTTTATTCTGGCTGAGTGGGCTGGTACCTTTCAGTCAATAAACTGTATGACCTTACTCGAACGGCGATGCTCTGATAGGGAAAGTGAGAGCTTGATGCTATCTGATCATGATAAATCGTCCAACGCCACGGTCCTGTTTGGTATTGGATGATTGGCTGTTCATGCGGTCTTAGATTAAATGGGATACCAAAATATATGCGACGTCATCCACAGACAGCTGGAAGGCGCGGTCTAGACCATCATGCTTCTACGAAATAAGCTGCTGACGATTGACCGGGCCGAATCACTGCGCGCAGCACGGTTGTCGACGGGGCATCAAAATGACGACTACGCGCCTAGTCACCTGACCCGGCCAGGATTTCTAAAAATTCATATCGCTGTTTGAATATTGGAATATTGGAATTGAACCTTTCTAGCTGGCAAGATCTCCTATATCTACATCTATACCATTCTGTATCTTGCCCGCTGTGAAAAATCATTTCTTCATCCAATCACACAAGGACTCGGCTATATTTGGATATGATTCTTCTCACGTAACTCTTGGATTTGATCTCAGGCCCACACCACCACCAATCAGCGCCCGTCGTGGGCTCTAGTGCACCGGATAGATTATCCTGGAGCGGACTTTGGACGGGCCGCAGGGGGGTCTGTGAGGGGGAGGTTTCCGATGGGGCCCCCCTCTCGAAACTAAAATCTGACAGGCAGAACGCAACTAGGGTATGGATCCACCGCTGCGGTCTCCTCCGAGGTGGTGCTCCAATCACCTTTCGATCACAGGCGTCGAAAGTGCGTAATTGATTGAAGAACAAGGGACTGCATTTGGCTGCAGATGGAGAATATGAGCCCGGGTAAAGTGTGATGAAAGACGGACAGAAGCCGCGCTCACATGCTTGCGGGCCATATTTTCCCAGTGGATTTTCATCGTCACAGCATGTTGTGGAATTGACGCCGATAAGAGGGGACATGCTTCCTATCAAGCTGGTAGCGTTATGCACGCCCTATCTCTTCGCGATATTTGTGGGCGTGTAGCATCTGAGTGCAACAAACACATCCTATCTAGTCTATCGCTGAAAGCATAAGCCAGAGCCAACGCACGAAGAAGTGATGGGCGATGCCGCAACTCGCAGCTGGGACACAGTTGTCCCTTGCCAGATGAATCGAAGTCGCCCCTAATGCGCGTGGCTCGCCATCGACTGCATCCTAAATACCCCTGTTACTACATCTCTGCGCCTTTAAGCAAAGTACCGTTGTATGGTACGAGGCATGTATCTGCACAGCGCTCGGTGTAGAGATAAGAAATCCGTGTATTGTGCCATACCAGTGTCCGTGGGAGTTCGCTACTTGGTGTCTTCCGAAGCGGTGACCCGCACTTGTGTATTGATGCTTCTTGACTCTGCGGTGCTCCCGTTCGAAGGGGAAGGATGCCGGGCTGTTTCCTACACCTACACTTCACTGAAAAAAGCAATGTATCGCTGTAACATCTTTCCAACAGATTGTGGACCTCTGATCCCCCCCCCCCAAGTACAAGGGCGAATATACCACCTTCTACCGCCCTGGGAGAGACTATCAGTTGCACCGCGGGACAATACACTGCTCTAGTAAGAAAAAAACAAAGTCAACCTGAAAATTCAATCCGAAGAATCACGTATAAGAAACACAGTCTCCTTCGCCAAGCTAGCGGGGAACTCCTAGTCCGCACCGCTCCCAGGAATTCCGAACGGATCGTGCCGATCCAGGAGTGACGACGATGATGACCTGCGATTCGCATGGCCCCGGCCGGGTCGACCCACCCACTAGGCCTCACCAAAGCCCGAGGCTCTCAAGTCGGGTCGACCCCCAACCCATTTCCTAGCAGGTTTTGGTTTAATTATTTTGGACTGTGGAATAGATTTGTACTTAGATTTATAATCTATAATTTCTTAGTGGATATTTACCGATCAATAAGGATGTAAATACTAGAAGCGCCGATAGATTATAAAATCGACGTTGCATGTGACAATATAATATCAGTATCCAAAATGACCGATTATTCAAGATATTCGAACCATGTTACAGGAATAATAAAAACAACAAATATACTAAAGCTAGCTTTCTACAATCTATATATTACACAGGATAAGCAGTGGACTCTGATAAAAAAAAGATATATGAATTTGATTAAAAGCTTTAGCTCAGTCCTATAGAAGTTTTCATTATCATTTGTCTAGGTTCACGTCCATTGAAACTTTGAATTTTTGTTACATATGTGTACTGTTTTTCATCGACTATATACATAAACATGACTAGTCGAGAGTTCTGACCTCTTTATAACAGCGTAAGTAACCAACTTGACGATAAAGATCTTCTGACTGGCCACTCTCCCGTATCAATTCAGTCTGGTGGAAAGGATCTCACGTGTCTGGATCCATTTATCATTTTATCTATCCTTCTGCCTCTCGAATTGTAGACTCAGTCTCAAAATCATAAATCAATCCTTTACATATAGCCAGCTCCCTAGCCAACAGGCTATATGCCGCGCAGACATTCGGATCAGCCCCGGCCTGAAGGAAAAGTTATCATATACTCTACCCCTATATAGCCACCAAGTTGGCTGGCAGGGTTGTAAAAATAGGTCTCTATATACATATTAAGAAGAGTATAGTCTTCCCTATTTCATATATTAAAATGCTTCTTGTCTTCTTAAACGAGCATAAAGTCAACACAACCGCAGGAACAGCAAATAAAAAACAACAACAAAATAGGGCTCTATCGACCCCCACGCATTATATCGGAGCTGCACTTTCTCAGCCATAAAACAACCAGACCATCGGAGGTTTTCTTCGTCTGAAGGCAGAGCATTATACAAAGGCGCCGTCCGCCCTGATTGAGACTATTAAGATCAGCACTCTTTTGTTCGAGGAAATGCAACAAACACAGACTAGATACATCAACTTCGGCCTCCTCTTCGTCACGCCATCGGGCCACTCCTGAGAGGCGACAAGGCCCGCGGGCTGCAGTCGGTCGACCAAGCGTTGCACGGCGGCCTCACACCTCCAATATGTGGCTGTCTTATAGGCTGTATACAGCCTTCCGTCCTCACCAAGACGCCCTAAATACATACAGCAGAATTCATCGGCTGATACATCATCTTGGCCGGGGTCCACTTTTGTGTTAAGCAGAAGCTCTCTCCGTCCCGGAGACTTCAACACAACAGCTAAATGCAGCGGCGGCAAACAGATATCACCATACAACTCACAGCATTTCTGGTCGTCATCAAATCCGTGATATTAGATGGCGAGGAATATCGGGGCGATTGTTGTCAATTGCGATGTGAAGGGGTGTATCGGGAGCCGTGGGCAGATTTAGAGAATCTACAGAAGCAAGAAGAGCAGCGATGGCAGGCAGGTTGCCTATCCGGGTCCATTCTATAATTTCATGAATAGTTAGTATCCAACAACTTGCAATGCCTTTGAGGAGATTGGCTACAAAGAATTTGGAAGAATAAGGAATTATCCTCGAGATCAATCAATATCAAGAGGTGTAACCACTGGTCCTTGCAGTGAATTCCAACCACACTATCACCCGGACAAGTCCCTATCAGCCTTACTAGCTACACATGGGTGGCCTAAAAGGCACCCCCCCCCCTATCTTCCCCCAATCATCACACCTATGATTCTATCTGGAAAGTTCTCAATTTCGAAATCTAGTCTTCTGGGCCGCGGAACGACTCAGCTCCGCCAGAGACATATTGCCCAGGATCTCGAAGACCGCCACATCCGCCCCGATGCGCTTCCCGAACCAATTGCGCAGCTCGACCGCCACCAAAGAATTGATGCCGTTTGCATGCACCGACCGATCCACGTCGATCTCCTCCACGGGAAGGCCCAGGATCTGTGCCAGCTTAGCCACGACCCACTGCACGATCTGCGCCGCGGCCACCGCGACGGACGGGCTCGCTCGCAGCACGCTCGCGGCATCCGCACCCGCTCCGGCCTTCCCCGCTCCTTCTGCCGCAGCCCCAAAGGCTGAGGAAGGGGCGGCGGGATCCGGAGTCGGCAGGTGAGATTCGACGAGGTGGAGGGGCCGGAAATACGGCCGGTGCATCCAGTAGGGCGGGTCAAAGCCCTTGGCTTCCATCGCGGCGGGGCATTCGATGCCCACCACGACCTACGCTTCGGTGGGCGACGGCTGGGCGGTGGCGGCGTCGCAGTAGTGGGTCAGCAGCGCGTGCAGGTCGGCCGGGGTAACGTCCATGAAGTAGCCCAGACGGCGTAGCGAGTCCAGCATGCCGGCCGTCTCGGCGACGACCCCCTCGCCGAGCATCATGCCCAGGTCGATGGCGACGGCTCTCTCCCCGAGCTGCACCCGGTACCGCGCCAGCGCGTCCTTGAAGGTGTTCCCGGCGCAGTAGTTGGATTGACTGGGGGCGCCGAGCACCCCGCCTATCGACGAGAGGAGCACGAAGAAATTCATCCCCTTCGGGAGGAGAGCGTGCAGGTTCCATGAGCCGAAGACCTTGAGTCGTGTGCTGATGATGAAGTCCTCGTATGTCATGTTGGTGAATACGGCATCCTGAAGGGTTGGGCTGGGTGAGCGAATGTTTTCTTCTGGGTGGGGGGAGTTTCGAAAAAGAAAAAAGAAAAAAAAAAAAAAGAAAAAAAGAGTCGTCGTCACTCACTCTCAGCACCATGGTGCACTGGAGGCATCCTCGGATGGGAGGTAACTTAGAGGCATGCTCCTTCAATACATCGGCGAGTGAATTCGGCTGGATGATATCGCATGTCGGCGCCACCACCGTGACCCCGAGCACACCGAGATCCTGAAACAGCTGGCGCGCCGACTCGGACCAGGCCCCGGAGCGGGATAAAACGAGGAGATTCCGCGCTCCTCGACCTGCCATCCATCAACACATGCTCCGGCCCAGGCCGCCAAAGCCACCTGCAATCACATATGTCGCGTTCGCGTGGAACTGGTATTGTGATTTGTTGCGCATATCAGCCTGCACGGTGGTCAATCCATTGATGAGTTTGTTGTCTTTCATCAAACAAGAAAAAAAAAGAGAATTCTCATAGCTGCACTCACCGATACGGACTGCCGTGGGCCTAGATCTAGCACTACCCACCGGATATCTGACTTTTCTGCACGGTTTGTAGAGTTTGGGCAAGCTCCGAAGCCGCGAGGACTTTCAGCGGCGTCACCGGAACCACGGACCCGTCTAGCATAAGCTGTGACAGTTGCCGTAGAAGCTGCTGGACGATAGCGGGTTTCTGGCCATGGAGCTTAGTTACGTCCACGGCAGCAAGGGTGATACACCTGGACGCGGCGTTTCGGAGGAGACGGGGATGGTCATGCGGCCGATTGTTAGAAAGGTCTAAGCTGACCAGCGTGCCAAACGGTGCCAAAGCATCCAGCGATCCTTCCAACTCCTGGCTGTCGAAATTCAAGACCATATCCACCCCTCCCTGAGATAGCCCGCCAGATGCCATTGACTATCTCGAGGCCACCCTGGTGCTCGGAAAGGATGAACTCCGGGGAAAGGTTGAATTTTGCTCGCAAGATCTCTCGCTTCTCCTGGCTATGCTCTGTGACGAGGATTTAGCGCCCATGAGCTGAGCAAGCTGCTTAGCCAGCTGACCGACCGCGTTGGCTGCATGGCGCACAAGAACGGAGTCATCGGTCGAGATGCGTCCCAGAGTGCGTAGAGCATAAAGGGCCATCAATCCCGCCGTCGGGAGTGCGGCCGCCTCCACGAAAGAGATCTGCGGCAGCAAGGGAGCCGCAAACGCCACCGGCAGGCGCAGGAACGTGCGGCAGCAGGTGGGATATCGCAGGAAGACGCGGTCGCCGGCCTGGAACCCACTGCGCGAGCCCGCCTGCAGGACCTCCCCGGCACCCTCGGAGAAGATCCCGGTCTCGTCGTCGTCGTCGCCCGGGGCCTGCCCCGAGGCAATGAGATAGTTGGCGTGACCGACCCCACCGCGTGCACGTGCACGAGAATCTCCGACTCGTCCAGATTGCCACGCTGAGGCGTTTCCTCCATCTCTTCAACATTGAGCTGAACCAAGGGGACTGGATGTATATCCCGAAGGATAAGCGCTACTCCCTCAGAGTCGGGCCTCTCGGAGCAAGCATGAGCTACTGCTATCATTGCTGCCCCGCAGGCTGCGCATTGAACCCCACAGAACCGATTGACGATGTATCCTTCATGCGCGTTCGCCGTTCCATGCAGTAACAACCTGCGGTCGATGACACGGTCAACTTCTTGGTACCGTTTGCTGTGAATCTCCTCATAGCAGTAGCCGAAACAAAATGACTTGTTCCATAGTCCCACGGCAAATCTCAGTAACCATGTCAATCTATGCCTATGTCAGGTGTGAAGCTTACTATCTTTACCTGGAAAAGAAACATCAGCAAATGCAAGGTTAATGAACTCGGATGTTCCGTATGACGTCTAGGGCGGTACTGTTTGAACGGATTTCACTGGCAATACGCGGTTGCAATTCTTCGCATTTCGAAAAGCTTCTAAGAGCGTTGATAGTCGTCTCTTTGTCTTGAGGCCGGGGTCTAGTTCAGTCCTGCCGTTTAGGTAAAATCAAAAAAGGTCAACCTTTGCACCGTTTTGCCATCATCTGTACTTTGTTTGCACTGGACTTCGGTGTGCAACGCGTTGTCCAAAGACATCAATGATTGTACTAGCCCATCTTCGTTCACCAGCGTGACTGGGATTGTTATTTAGATTCTCGAATCGATCCGGCTGAGCCGAGGGGTCCGAATACCCGACCTCGGAGGCTCACGGGGGTCAACTAAGTTGATCCGCATCGGGTCTTTCTGTTTATTCAAGTATTGAAGCACTTATTTTTGCACATTAGACATGTGTTTTAGATCCTGATCAATATTTGATACATGAAGATTCTTGGGAAGATTAAATCAAGAAATATGATATGAAATATCGACCTTAGCGACCGAAATATCACTCAAACCAGTCGACATTCCCATCCGGCTTCCGCCGTAACCGGACCCGTTGGGGCCGTAAGCTGGGCGGGAGGGGCTTTACCGCAGTGGAGACAAGCACGGAGGGATGAACATGGGAGATGGCTTGGGAGCGTAATGCTCCTTCCAGCCGCACAAACCAAGGAGGCTAAGATTGGAGCAACAAAAAAGCGGATTCAGGTTGCGTTGCATTAGTCCTGGCCCTCATAAACCTATCCACTTGGGTTTTTTGTCTGTCGACCCATAGTTAGACTAGAATCCAACAACTACCCCACATACACTTTAGTTAAGCGACCAGGCCAGCCGATGCACCAACAAAAGATGCAATGTGAACCCCAACCAACTAACTCATAAGCACGTAACAAATTAGCGTCCATTTAGAGGCATATCCATAATCGTACCATCCCCTGACCCCAATGCAGTCCTGCATATAAAGCAACCGATCAAGCAAATTTCCCCCATAGCTTCCCAACCCTCTTACCCCCAAAGATGCCCACTCAACCCACCATTGTCCTCGTCCACGGCGCCTGGCACACTCCGGCCAACTACGCCCCTTTCATCATCGCCCTCGAGTCGCGGGGCTTCACCGTCCACTGCCCCCACCTGCCCAGCTGCACCAACACCTCCCCACCACCGGCCACCTACCAAGACGACGTGGCCACCGTCCGCAACCTGGTCACCACCCTCGTCAACAACGGCGACCGCGTCCTCATGATCCTGCACTCCTACGGCGGCGCCATCGGCACCGACGCAGCCCAAGGACTGGACTGGCCCTCGCGCGCAGCAGCCGGCCAACCAGGCGGGATTATCCACCTCCTCTACCTCTGCGCCTACATCCAACGCCCCGGCCGCACCGTCTGGGACGTGATCACCGAGGCCCAGATGACGGGCTTCTGGCCGCAGTTTGTTCGGGACCACGCGGACGGCTCCACCTTCCCCGTCGACCCCGTGCAGCTGTTCTTGGGGGACTGCGACGAGAAGCAAGTGGCCGCCGCGCTGCCGCATCTCGTGCGCAGCCCGTTGAGCGCCTTCCATACGCAGAGCGTCGGGGATGCGTGGCGGAGGCTGCCGGTGACCTACCTCACCACGACGAAGGATTACTCCGTGCCCCGCGTGTACCAGGATATCATGCTGAAGCACGTCGCGGAGGACGGAGTGACGGTCCGCGTGGTGGAGGTGGATACCGCGCACAGTGTGTTTTTGTCGAGACGCGACGAAGTGCTGCGGTTGGTGGAGGAGGCGGGGCGGGATGAGCGGAATCCTTGATTATGGGTGGTCACGTTTGTTTTGGGTGGTGTTAACTGCAAGTTGAGTTTGTAGGATCGGGGTACGGTTCTTGTCGTGTTGGGGGGATACGGCGGGTGGCAGCGAAAGCACGGGGGTCTATAGATATACAGTGGGGCGTAATGGATGCGGTAATTAGCACTACGTTATGCTTGATATGCCGCTCTAAATATTGAACAATATCAAGATATGTATCTTCAACAATCCCCAAAGGATGTTGGATTGATAAGCCACCTGTGGAACAATCACTAGCATTTTGAGCATCCATGCCCAGGTTGATAACCTCGATTGAGAACCTATCTTAGCTCCATGCCACCAATCACAGTGTCTGCAGAGCCCATCAATCAGGTTACATGTAATCATCACACCATAACCCTCAAAACGAGAGCCCTCTTCTGTCTCCCTTTTCTCAGGCAATCGTCTCTATCGCTACGGCAAAGCGCACACCTTCAAGAATTGACATGTGCAGCTATTTCTCACTGTCAATGAGCCGCGACTCAAAAGACGAACTCCTCCTTGCCTCTGCCCCCCTGCCCCGCCAGTTGGCGTCTCACCTCTGTTAGGGCCTTCAGGCCCGTTGGACTCTGGACAAGCAGTCTCCCCCATCTGCGTTCTAGACGGATCCTTCGTATAGCATACACAAGCGCACTCCGCACACGAGCCCGTTCGTGTTCGATATTCTCCTTCACCGTCAAGGGCCTGGGAGGAGGTCCTCACAAAAAGCACCACTGGCGGTAGGGACCCCCCGGCCACATTCCCGCCTATCTGGCAGTGACCGCAATATCCACCTGATGTTTTATCTTTTAGATCTTATACGAGAATTTGGGGAGCGAAAACCGCTCGATGGGGATGGATCTCGTAATCACATCTACTGGTAGTCTAATCCGGGTGGGGTTGTGAAGAGTTGGGGAACTACTTACATGTATGTATGCTTTCAGCTTCATAGCTCGGTTAGGAGCTCCACACCCGACATCGGGTATCCAATCCTAAGATCGGTAGGAAGCGAACATCTGCTCCAGCTAAAGAGTTCTCGAATCCATCCAGGCTGAGCCCCGGGTCCAAGCAAACACGAGGGCTACCGGGCGCACGGTAGCTCAAGATTGAGTTTCTTTGTTCATTGATCTGTACGGTGGCTTTTTAAATTCTTCCACTCGATTCCAAAGATTTGAGGCGATCTTCTCGTACAACGATGGATAGGTTCCAATCCCCCAACACTCTCTGCCAATCAAAACATTGCGTCTTCATCAATAGCCTGGACCAGTACAAACACATACCAAAAAGTCCCCGTCCAGCCAACAAGAAGATTACCTCACAGCGCGTGATGCAGAACCCCGCAAGCCAACCCCATTCCGACCCCCGAGTGGACTATAAAAGCCACCACGAGTACAACTCTGCAGACCGACTACTTACCCTACCCTACCAATTCCAGTCCCAACCCTATGCATATCAAGCCACAACCTTCCCACCATCACTTGCAACACCCTCTTTAAGAAATCATGAAGCCCACCACAATCCTCCTCGCAACCATCCTCCCCGCCCTAGCCATATCAGCAGCCGCCCCCGACCCCGACCCCGAACCCGAAGCCCCCGACACCGCGCCGGACGTCGATCTCAGCGAAAGAGCGGACGCCAACCCCCCCAAGACATGCAAGATCAACAAGGCGAATCCCCCGGATATCGCCCCATTCTGGGAGCTCCCCTGCGCGTGCACCGGGCGTGCAGGGCAGTGGACCCTCGGGACCGATATCAAGCTTGTCTGCCGGACGGAGGTTGCTGGGACGTAAGTTTTGGAAAAACATCCTTGCCTTTTCCCGTGTCCCCATCCGTCAGGGGGCTTTGGGTTTGGTGCATGGGGCATACTATCCCCAAACGGGGTTCCTCTCCCTCTCAGGGGTACTAATGAGTTCTGGTGATGCTAGGGATTGGTATAAGACCAAATCCGGGTTCTGGGTCCGGAACCTGAAGGCTGGAACGCCCGGACCGGGATGTAAGGGTAAGTAGAGACGATCCACCCACTCCTTCCCGGTCAGCCTCACAAGACCCTCATCTGATCGATTCATCAACAGGCGGGATCCCTGCGGGGCTGCCGAACTGCGATATCTGAACTTGGGTCACAGGGACAGGGACTTCTTCGAGGTCCTTGCCTGCTTGCCCCGGATCCCGGCGGCAGCCACTCACTCACTCACTCACTCACTCACTCACTCACTCACTCGCCACAAAATGGAATGCTGGGTCATTTCACCTGATCAGTCAACGCACATGAATGAATGTTCTTTTGATAGCGTCAATCAATCCAAAAGTGACCTACTTTGGTTGCAAGGTTCGGAATTAGGGCACTGTGCTTCAGTCACTTATGCAATATGCGTACTTGCTTGGCAGAATGTTACGTCCAGCCCATGAGAGGTATACAATCAAGCCTCGCATCGCATGACATCGCATCTATTCTGCTGTGTGAGATCCCATAGTGTTATCCTCGGTGAACTTGTTCGTTAGCTTGCACGGCAGCCTTTTCTCCCCAGAATGTCCTAAACGCTTGGCACAAACAGGATGATCCCTGGTTGTTCTAGCGCCTGTACGAGAAGACTAGCAGCCGAAAGAATTTGAACGCGATAGCGAATACCATTCGAGAACCCATAGGCAGTCAGTATTTCCAATCCAGAAAGAAGATCGACAGGATGGATTCTAGTCTGCACTACCCAAACCCGGGATAAATCATTATAGTTTATGCGCATATCCCCACGGAGTTATTTCTTCGCCGCACAGTTCCCTGCTGCTTTTAAGTACTGGTCTCCCCAGCTATTTCTCGGCGTGTATCGTGTCAGTCTCGAACGGGTGAGGACTGGGGTTGTGGAACTGGTCTGCGAAGCCGGAGATGGATCTCGTGGGTATCCTCGTATAGATGCAGGCGGATCAGAGGTAGAAGTGGGTCATGATTGGGAGGATAAGAGGGCGATCCACAGGATTGGAGACAGTCGGATCGAAAGAGAGTGTGTTGTCGGGCTGAACTGGCCGTTTGCGGCTGCTGGACTGCTGGAGCTGATCAGCAACGGTCGCCACTTCGCAAGTTACAACTACGTATAAACTAAGCGAAGTGGTTGCAAAGTCTTCGAAATTAAGCTGACCCGCGATGAATCGTTGCTTCTTGTTATTATCTGCTATGCCCAAACCCTTGTATAATAGATCTAGATCCATCACTCTGGTCAAAAATACCATGTCTCCTCTAATTCAAATCCCAGCATTGAGGCTACCGGATGTATAGCGTCAGTCACAGCATCTCACAATTCTAAACACCGATGCAGAAATATGACTTACCACGTTTTGAATCACCACGGTGGTCCCATCCGTCACCTGCGTCCGCACCAACTGCCGCCCATCCGTGGCGGCCGGCACGAATGGGTTAGGGTTGATGACCGGTCTGCCCGCAGTGCCCCCTGTGCACGGCACCACATCGCCCAGCGCCGCCCGGGGAATTCCGTCCGTTAGCCCGGCATCCAGCTTATACTGGTTGGCTGTGTTCAGGAGGTACGTCTTGATTGCTTGGGACATGCTTCCCAGCCCGTTGGCCATGAACTGCGCCCGCAGGTCCGGCTGGGACAGATAGTAGGCGACCATGCCGGCCGTGATGGCGGTGGCCTGGGAGGTGCCCGCCGGCTCGACCGCGTAGACATTCAGCTGCGAGGTGTCCACCCCTTGGTCGTTGTATCCCACAGTCGCGCAGTCGACGTTGGTGCCGATATTGTAAAGGGTGAGAATGCCGCGCTGCTCTTCGTCGCGGAACTGCGAGGTCGGGTTGCGACTGTTATCGAACAGAGCGTTTCCGACGACGATCAGGGGCGTGTCGGCGCCGCCCTTGCCCCGGGGGTACAGGTAGTTGAGATCCAATTGCGCAGGCTCACGTTGCTGGGTTGCATCGTTTCCCGCGCTGCAGATCACCGCAACACCGAGGTCATAGAACCACTGCAGATATTTGTCGAAGACGTCCCGATACGGCTCGTCAAGCGGATTGAGACTTCCGCCCCAGAGGAATGCCTGCCGAGGACCGCCTTTTTCATGAGGTTTAGGTTAGCAGGGAGAAGAAGGGTAGAAATAAGGTACATGAGAGGGAAAGGCAGACTTACCGAAAGACATGGAGATGACGGCGTTGCCCTGGGCGCCATTGTTCACAATATGCCGGTAAATCTCATGGAAGACAAAGGCCGCCCGGCGGGCGCGCATTTCCAGTATCACCCCAGATTTGGATATCACCAGCTCGACGGCGACGAGACGGGCAGTTTTTCCCATCGAGTGATACGCCCCTGTCGCGAGGGAGGTCATACATGTTCCGTGGCCATTCCGGGGTACGATCGTTAGCCCCGTCTTCCGAGTGCCCACGTCGTCCACGCCGAAGCTGTCATATAGCCGGTCGGTAAAGGACTTGATAGGGCAATGTCAGCATATACCGCAGGTTCTGGATATAGCTGTGTGGCTGACTACTTACCTCATGTCCAGCCAGGAAGGCGGAGTCAATGACATAGACAATGGGCGCGCCGTTGGCGTTCGCATTCGAGGGATCATTGTAAATCAAGTCGTCGAAGCTCAGATAGTCCCCATACAGGTTGCTGTACCGTGATACCTGAGAAAGCCATTGGAGATGGCCGGGGCTCTGCTGTTGGAGATAGAAGCGACTGTTGGCCGTCGGCTCGATGCGTGCCTGAAGGTGCGGCTCCCTTTCCGTGGCGTTCGGGTTGTTGTCATTCAACCACTCATTCAACCACGGCTCGTCAAGGTGATTATTCATGGAGCCAGGATGCCTGGACCCCGCTGGCGTGGCGCTATACGACCTCTTCTTCGCTGATACTGCGTCATTCAGGGTATCGTCGTTGCTATCCAGGTCAATTTCTCCATCAACACTCCACGCGTCAACGATGGGATTGCTATTGAACTCTTCGGCGGTGCATTGATCGACGATTCCCATGTAGACAAACTATAGTCACAATGCCTTGGTAAGTACGAGCCGTGGTAAATGGGGAGTTCAAAGCGAGAAGCTTACGTTCGGCTGCCACGACTCGGTAAATTGAAGAGCCTCGGGGTCTTTTGGCAGGGTTGCCACGAAGTCTTGGAACTCCTGAACGGTGGTCCCTTCCACCGTCATGATAATGACCGGGCTCGTGGTAGCTGTGGCGGCACAGGAAGTGGAAGAGGTAGAAGAGGTGAAGGATGTGGTGGAAGTCGCCGTGGTCATCATGGTGGTGGTGGTGGGCATGATGGTCGGTGCCGCGACGGGTGGCGATCCGTTACTTTCGAACAACGCGGCCAGAGTTGCCATGACGAGGACTATGCTAAATGAGTACCAGGTCCAGCACGACGGTTCTGACACAAAGGCTTACAGATTCCAGTTGCCGAGGCAGCCGCAGAGACAGGGAGTCCGATAGCATTGATCTGTCAAGGTTAGGTCAACATGTTCGTCGTTTGGGAGATATCACGCAGACAGACCGTTATCCTAAGTTGAGAAATACTCGCTGCGGCGTCGATGGCCGGGGCAACGCCAGCAGCAATGGCGTCAGAGAGCTCGACGAGATTGGCATTGAGATCACGGATCACCTCGATCATTTGGCTCTGGAGGGCATCCACTAGTGTCCAAAACTGTGAGAATGCTAGCCATGGCCATGAAAGAATCGAACATACCTGCATTATCCCACTCCTCAAACGCATCTTCCGACACGCGCGGATCGTCTTCGTTAATGGTATCCAGGCGCCGTCCCAACGTCAGCAACCTGTCACCATTTGACTTTGCTGCCGACAGACTACTCGACGCCTCATTTGCATCACTCTGATCTCCCATAATCTGCAGCTCAATCTGCTCATACTCACTCTGATCCGCACGCTTCACCTTGGCCGAAGAAGACTGCAACAGACCCTGCAGCGTCTCCAGATGGTTCTGGTATGATTCGAGCACTTGCAGCGCCTGCCAGACACTCGCGTTGTACTGGTGAATGGCGTCTGCCAGCTCCGCGTAGGTGGGATCCTCCCAGGATCGATCAGCGTAGATCTGCACGCGGTTTCCCCCGCCGCAGGTCTCGCCCGCGTTGCCGGAACAGGGCATGTTGCAGTCGCTGTCCGAATAGGCTGTTCCGTCGTGGATGGTGTTTCCGACGAAACATTGTCTGGGAGGTTAATGTTAGTCTGTCTACGACACAATGTATGAGGTTGATAGGGACCGTACCTGCTATATTCGACACCCGCGTATCGCCATGCACCGGCTTTGGCGATGGATACGCAGGCCTCGATCGTCATGCCCGTGGCGTCCTCTTTCGAGTCGGCTACAAGAACGCGGGGGCTCTCTTGGTCGGAGTAGCAGCCTAGGAAGGAGAAAGAGTCCACTTGGGCTGGTTGGGTCGGGGTTGAAGAGGCAGATGAGGTGTTTGTGGTCGTGGTGGACCTCGATGTCGTCGAAGTGGAAGAGGCTGAGGAAGTGGTAGTGGTCGTCTTGGAGGTGGTAGAGGTGGAAGTAGCAGTCGTGGTAGACTTGCTAGTTGTAATCGTAGTGCTTGTGGTGCCTTTTGTGGTAGTACTCGTCGTAGTGGTCGAGGAAGACACGACCGGCGGCAGAGAGGTCGTCGTACTCGAAGACGTCGATCTTGTAGTAGTCGTAGTAGTCGACTCAGCACCGCCGACACACTGATTACTACCACAAGTCTGGCCAGGGCTGCACACGTTACACGCGGTTCCAATACTGCACTGGATGCTGGGGAAGTCGCAGCAGACTGCGTCAGACGTGTAGCAGTTGCCATGGCTGCGCCAATCGTCAGCAAGAATCCCAGCCTAGGTATTTTCACACGATAAATCAAAGCTCACCAGCATAGACCACTATCGCAGCCAACACCTTGCAGCGTCGTAGGATTCAAAGCACACCACTGCAACCCGGGCGGCGCGCAGGCGTAGTTGCCCTCGAAATTGATGCACGTCTCCCCAGACGGACAGACCACATCGCTCGGGCAGTCCGACTGCTGGCAAAAGAAGCCTTCGGGGCAAGAGGGATCTGCCGACGACGTTGCGCGACGGACATTTTTGGGTGCTGATAGAGGGGCTCTTAGGGGACCAGCGGCGGAAGACGCCACGAGGCCCAAGGCATATAGCCAGGCTACTGCCCTGCCCACGGTCATCTTGTTGATGCGCAGATGACCCAAAGCCTATTGATACTCGGTCACTGATCCCTGACTCTGAAGGAATGCATTGTGTTCTTATAGTAGACCCTCTCACCAGGGAATGATGTCGGAGCAGCAACCCTGATAGGACGGGCTGCCACGCGAGCTGAACAACCGGACCCGCTATACAGCCAGAACTAATGTAGGGACATGGATTTTTCTTCACGCCAAGCCATGAAAACGAGGTGGTGACTATCCTCGTCTATTGGGGACCATCAGCCTCAGGGACACTAAAGGACACTAAGAGGCACTAACCCGCCGCTAAAAGAAGGGGTTTGTGCCTCATGATCCCCATAAACCCTCACGCAGCTCGTGTTCGGTAATTTGCTTACGCTCGGCAGCTGAAGTAGATTACTGATCCGTCTCCACTACTACGGCCCATGTGGTTTCTGCATGACTCGTCACTGCAAATATATAGTAAATAATGCCCTTGCATGTTCAGTTTGAGGGGAGCTTCATCTCACTCATTTGCCAGTTCACAGCCGGCCATGTCCCGGTTATACGCCCTCTTAGGGCTCCTCGCCTCCGCGGCCGCCCTCAACCCCTCCTGCAGCCCGGGGGCAACTTCGACCTCACCAAATGGAACCTCCAACTCCCCACGGGAAGCACGGGGAGTCCTCAGATGATCTCGGGGTCGTCGTTAGCCGGATGCAGCGGCTACAGCAGCAGCGTCTTCTACACGGACGGCTCGACCGGCGAGCTGGTCATGACGGTGCCGGGGGTCCCCGTCGAGTGCGGGCTGCGTCACCACGCCCAACAGCAAGCACTGCCGGACCGAGTTTCGCGAAATCAGCCCGTCCAGCTGGAGTCCCAACAATGGGAACAATCGATTGCGGGTGACCTTGTCAGTGCCGCAGCCGGACGACTCGTCGCATGGGACGGTGATCGGACAGATCCATATCGATGACTCGATCTCTTCGTGAGTACCAGCTTCCTACCGTTGACTTGACATGAATGCTCATTCGATTGCAGAAAGCCCGTCTGCGAGTTGTTCTACAGCTCCTCCGGCCAAATTACGATGGGGGTGGAGCGCACCCGCGCCGGCGGCGAACTGCTCTACACCACGATCGCCACCATCCCCGTGGGCACGAGCTTCACCTACGAGATCCGGTACGAGAGCGGCCAGCTCTCGGTGGCGGTCAACGACGGCGGGTTTGTGCAGCTCTCCCAGTACGAGCTGGCCAACCCCAACAGCTACTTCAAGGTGGGCAATTACAACCAGGGCGACTCGTACTCCGAGGTGCGCATCCAGTCGATCACCGTGACGCACGGGTCGGCCGCCTCAAACACGGGCTCCGCGCATCCCGTATCGACCATCTCCGTGGCCGGGATCGGGCCGCGGGAGGTTCTGTATGCGCTCGACGCGACGGTGAAGCCGTACCCGTCGCCGACGGGGGCGTGCGCCGCGGCGCCGACCAAGTACTCGGACAACACGGTCAACCTGCGGTTGTACTATGAAGATAACTGCTGCCATGATGTGGAGACGGCGCATATCGGGACATTCAACGTGTGCCATAACTCCGATGGTCCGTTTGCCTCGATTGAGCAGGCTGTCGGGGCGAATCTGTTCGACCGCGGCATCCATATCGTCGCCTACGATGGGCTGGACTGCACCGGGGGCTCGACCAGTTTTAGTTTGAGTAACAGCAAGGGGTGTCAGGCCGTGACCAGCGGGACCAGATACCAGAGCTTCATGATCAGCGAGCCGCAGACGTGTGCGGTGACGGGCCCGGCCATCGCGAGCGACAACACGGTGACGATGGAGCTGTATTCGGATGTGGGCTGCTGCACCACAGTGGAGACGATCAAGATGGGCAACACAGGGACGTGCCATGAGGCGGACGCGGCGTTTCACTCGTTCAGCCAGGCGGTAGGCACCAACGAGTTTGGGTGGAATATCCACATCCACACCTTCACCGAGTCTGGGTGTCAGGGCACGTACGACTCGTTCTCGCTGTCGAACGCGGCCACCTGCAACAAGAATGGGGTCGCGTGGAAGAGCTTCATGATCGCGCAGGACTGCACGCGGCACGATCTCACGGCCAAGAATGACAATACCGTGTCGTTGGCGCTGTATCGCGACGGCGAGTGCTGCGTGTTCAATGGCGAGGATATCGACCTGGGGACCGTGGGCAGCTGCCACAATGCCAACGACAAGTTTGGGAGCATCACCCAGGCGGTCGGACAGAACATGTTTGGGAAAAAGGTCCATGTCCAGCTCTTCGAAGGGGCTGATTGCACGGGGACGATGAAGGACCACAGTCTGACCAACGCGAACGGGTGGTGCAGCGCTGGCGGAGTGGATGAGGAGTTCCAGAGCTTTTGGATCAAGAAGCAGTGCGATGCGCACGAGCTGTCTGTGACTGGCAGTTATGAGGTGGCGCTGGCCTTCTGGCAGGATGGGAACTGCTGTGAGTATCAGACTGAAGCCCAGCAGGGCCGGTTCGTGATCGGCGAGTGCCGCAACACCGAGGCGCCGTTTGGCAGCGTCACGCAGGCCGTGGGCCAGGACGTGTTTGGGAATAACATTCACATCCAGGTGTACGAGGGTCTGGGCTGCACCGGGTCGAGCAAGCGATTCAGCCTCACGAATGCGGATGGGTGGTGCAGTGACGGGGGGGTGGCCGAGCAATATCAGAGCTACAGCATTGCGCCAGAGTGCGGGTGGAAGGATCCTGCGAATACCAACGCCAACACCGTCACCATCGAGTTATACTCCGACGTGTCCTGCTGCTCATATGTCAGCGAGACGGTTCTTGGTGTTGCCAGTACTTGTCATAATGCCCCATCGAGCGGTTCCGTGGCTGGGATGGGCATTGGGGCCGGTTCTTCGTGGGATGGTGCGCTGCTGGAGCTTTACGGTGAGAAGGATTGTGCAGGAGACTTCAAGTATTTCGAGTTGTCGGGAGACCTTGCTGGGGCATGTGCTGTTACCGGAGGTGTAGTTGCCAGCTGGCGTTTAGTGGAGAGTCAGCAGGTCAGCAGCTGATTTAGGATAGTAGTAGGAATAAAGGTCTAACCTTTGTAGATCCAAGACAGCCTACTGAGCCGGTAGAATCATGTCAACGAAGTATAGATGAGAACTCATATAGTGAGGTTTTGTAGAAGGTTGACTTTTTCACTGACTGTATGGAAGATCACTCATCTTGTCTTGATCTGTCCGCCCCGCACTATATATAGAGGTAGTCGTGAGTGGTGAACGAACCCAAATTAAGACAACACCCCCAAACAAGAACAGAGATTGAATCTTATAGATACCAGGGAAACCCCCGGACCTCCCTTGTCAAGACAGTTGCCAAAGAACAATCAGAACATCATATAGAATCATGGGGCTTTGAAGCTTTCCGGGGGGGAACCCCCGGACCCCCCTTCCTTATAGCCAAAACAGAACAACAGAGAGATAGAGCTGCACAGTATCATCAACAAAATTTCATTAATCTTATAAGAAGACCGCGGGCGACCCCAGGGCCTATGAAAACGACCTCACAAGACAATCACTCAATCTCCACAACCTCAACACCCCCCCTCACAGTCTCATTATTCCCCGGAACAAACGGCAACGCCCCCCTCAATCCCACCAGAAACCTCTCCACGAAACCATCATCATCCACCGGGCCCCGAATACACTCCACCAGCGCGACCCCCTCCCCCTCCTCCTCATCGCCCGACCCCAGCGACCCAGCATAATCCACCCTGTACCCGAACGCCACCTCGGGCGCCCCCTCCCACGCCGCGCCCACCGTCACCAACCCGACGACATCGACCCCGTCGCGCACGACCACCGGCCAGCACTCCCAGAGCACGCGCTTGCGGCGCGCCAGCTCCGCCTCCCGGCAGGGATCCGGGAGGAAGGTAGCGCGCTCCGGCGCGGCGGTGGGGTAGGGCTGGCGCTCCTCGCGGGGATGCGGGGTGATCACGATCAGGAAGATGCCGTGGGCGGGCGTGGCGACGGCCAGCTGGGTGTAGTGCAGGATCAGGTCGCCTGGGTAGTTGGTTTCGCGCGGGGTGGCGGTGATGGTGTAGGTTTGGGTCTCGGTGTCCGGGAAGAGGCTGCGCAGGCGGTGGAGCCATTCGGCGTAGCGGTTGGCGGGCCCCATTTTTGCGGTTGATCTTGGTAAGTTGGTTGGTTGGTTGGTTAGACGGTGTTGAGGGTGTGGGTGCTTTGTGTGGTTAGTGGGTTGGGGCTGTTTGTTTGTTGCTCAAAGGGAGGTAGAGAGGTAGACGGAGGTTTTATATCTTACTTCTTTGCTGGGGGTTGATCGAGATTGGAGGTTTGTTCTGTGGTGGTGGGATGGCTGCAAAGGACTAGCTGGTGAAGACCGGTTTGTTCTTTGTGGGAGGGCTCTGATCAGGACTGTGCTTTGTTGACTCTCTCTGTCTTGGTTGGCAAAGTCGAGAGAGTATCAGTTGTGGTGATGTGGATGTGAAGGTGTGAGTGAGTAGAATCGCTGTTGATGAAGATAACAACTTCACACTGGAGCTATGACCTGGGCCTGGAGACGGCTACGCAACAGTTCATCGGTGTAGCTTTGTTCCTGGTTCTTACTATACTAGGCTTGTTGCTGTTTGCTACACTTCTCACCCTCTGTATCGAACTCACTATCAAGTTGATATCAACTGAGAATCTCCCGCCAAACGTCCAACAGCCCAAAGAGCAAACAACTTGAAAGAGTACCACCACCCACAAAGAGCCACCGCTCCTCACACACATGTAAATAGCCCTCTCATATTGCCCCCGGAATGACCTCGAAACCATCATCAACCTCCACCAAAAACAAACCTACGACACACACACTACAGTCCACCACTCAAACCAAACAACAAACCCTCCCACGACAATGGACTTCCCATGGCCGCCCCCAAGCCCACCAAGCGGCAGCAACGACAGCCTGGCCGACGAACTACCAGACTACAGCACCTCACCCACCGCATGGCTTGCCGCAGTCGCCAGGAAGGTCTACCCGGCCTCCGACTGCTACCACGAGTGGGACATCCAAATCACCACCGAGGCAGCAGCCCCGGCCTCCTCCTCCGAGGACCACCGCAGCACCCCCCGCTGCGACGTGATCACGATCTCCCATTCTGCGTCGCGCACCGTGCTGATCCTGGTCGCCGGCCCGGACGATGATGAGGTTTCCCTCGAGTCCCCGCGATCCGAAGCAGAAGAAAAAGCAGACGCCGCCGTCATCATCTGGCAGCGCCGCCGGGCGTGTCTGCAGCAGCAGTGGGAACGCCACAACCTGGGCGACGAGTCCGACGAGACCAAGGCGCCGTCCATCCACGGCGCCGTGCTCGTCCGCGGCCAGATCATCTTGGGGAGTACCCGGGCTCTGCCAGCCCATCGTGGGTCAACACCACGGATAACGATGCCCCGTTGGAGCCATGGCGATTGTCCGAGAATGAAGGCAGGGCCTGGTTTGCCGATAAGCTGCTGGAGATCCGGTTGTCTGCCGGGGAGCCCCGCTATGAGGTGGCGTACTGGGTCTGGACGAAGCTGGGACTGTCGTATGCGGACTGGTTGAATCTTGGGAAATACGACCCGCTTGAGTTTGAGTAAGCAATTCACCTCACCCACCCCATTTGTGGTTGTGTCATGGTCTGAGGTTGTCATAGTCTGAGGAAGATTTCACAATTGAATTTCAAAGATATTCTGATATTATAAGTCTGATGCATCGTAGTAACCACACCTTACTGCAGCTTTATTCCCTTTTCTTGTCCGCGAGTTCGCCCTCCTCGGCGAACCGCAGGCGCTTGCCGTACACCCACTTGGTGCGGCCGAGAAGAGTCCCCGCCGCGAATCCCAAGTACGCGCCTGCCAGAATGGTGATGGGGAAGGCTTGCCACGGACGGTCCCTATGGATCATTAGCATGTCATATGAACCGACTAGTATCACCCTTGAACCCTGCACTGCACGCCCAGACACTGCATCCCACTCAAACAAATAGGCAATGAACTCACCAGTCTAATGGAATAGGCACCGCGCCCAACCAAGCCCCAACGCAAGTCCCCAACGCCGCCCCCCACACGGCATCAGCCGGCCGACCGGCGCCCCAGACCTCCCTCCAGACCGCCCCATCAACCCCATGCACGTAAACCAAGGGCACGGCCGCCAGGAGAGCCATATGCGCCGCACAGAGCGCCGTCTGGGCATGATGCGTGGTGAACGGGGCGCCGAAGAGAACGAGGAGGATGGCCAGAACCGGGGTGGCCAGGAGGGCCGTCAGGATGAGGGCGAGGAGTGAAGGCTGGACGAGGTCGCACATTAGCATGGTCTTATCTAGTACATCGTAGCAGTAAGCGTAGCATAGATTCTGCTACACTTGCACGTGTCACAATAATCTTGCAAGAAAAAGCACTTACAATAACCTTCCCTCCCAATCCACCCAGCACCCCACCCCCTACGCCCGCGCCCGCGCCGCCGCTTCCACCACCACCGCCCTTGCGACGCGCAGGCCGTCCCGGACGGAGAATGATGTTGCTCGAGCTGGAGCTTGTTCCGGAAGGGGTCGCACCGGAGGAGCTGTTGCCCAGGGTGTTGTCAAGCGACCCGCCCGCCGGTGGGAGACAGATGATCGCAAACACGACCTGACTGGCGGCCAGGAACGGAAGCGCGTTTAACATCTCCGACACGGGATCGTTGACGAGTTGGGGGAAGCGGACGGCGAATCCCAAGAGAACGGCCGCGGGGTGGGCGAAGGAATAAATGCGCGCGAGCTGCGAGGGGAGGATGCGAACGGGGGGTGAGGACTTGAGGATCGGCGGGGGGCCGCCGCCGCTGTTGCTGCTGCTGCTATTGCTGCTGTTGTTGTTGTTGCCGTGGATAGCGGACATTGCTCCGGTCGTTGTGGGTGAGGGAGGAGAGGAGACCATCTTGTGCGCCAGAAATTGACAAGAAACAAAGCTGTCAAGATGAGGTGGAGGCAGCTCGGGGAAGAAGAAGCTGGGAGAAGGAGAGAAGGGGAACCCCCGGAGAAGGCGGAAGCGGAAAGAATCGAAAAACGGGGCCGGGTGCCTCAGGTGTCAACACCTCGGGGGTACAGTAAAACAGTACAGTACAAACAGTACAAACTAGTTAGTCTAACCACTGCATCGCGCGCGCACATTGACCACAAACCAGGTAAATACAACCTACACTGACACAACTCTTTTACTCTTCTACTCGTTACTCATCTACTTATCACACAGCGAGATTCTGTACGTCTACATCGTTTTTATTCAGCGCTACCCTTTCCCGAACTAATCAATACATACATCAGTCGTAACCCATAAAGCATCAGGCGCAGCTGCAGCCAAAGTATGGCAACACATTCCTCCCTGCACATCCTCATACATAACTTCGCCTGTCTCATCTAGGACAGTTCTCGTCATCCAAAATCCGGAACATAACAAAGGAAAAAGTACATAGAAATTCTATGACGGTACACTAGGCCCCGGTCCGGACTCAGCCTTCTCTTCGTGAACCGTCTGCAATGGCTCGGAAGGAGGCGTTGCCGCTACAGCCTCAGCGGAGTCTGTGGGGTGATCCGTGGGTATTATTGGTACAGTAGGCTCAAAACCGGCCACTTTAGTCTCCAGAGGTTCAGCGCCCGGCTCAGGGACAGAGTCAGTGCCAGGCGCAAGGCTAGGCTCAGCACTAGGCTCCGTACTTGGCTCAGTGCCAGGTTCGGTGCTGGGCTCAGTGTTCGGCTCAGTGCTAGGCTCAGTGGAACTGGTCTCCGTAGGAACAGCAGCTGGGGCATCGGAAGCGGCCGGGACCACGGAAGCCTCAGCAGCAGGTGCAGGGACAGCAGACGTCATAACTGGGCTCTCAGGCATGTGAGGCTCTTCGGGAATCGGTGGCGGGAGTCCAGAGCCAGGCAGAGGTGACACCGGAGAACCGACGGTCGCATCCTTGGGCTGGCTAGTCGAATCGATCGGTGCCGGTCGGTGTCGCACATCTGTAGCTGAAGGTGAGAGCGGTTGCGTTGAGATAATCGAATCCACGTCGTTCACAGGACTGCGCGTGCGATCGCGCTCCGTGGATTCCTTGACGCCATCTCGCACTTGAGCAACCTTGGCTTTGAATTTCCCAAACAGACTACGCTTTTCCGGCTCCGACGCCAACGACGCTTCTCGCGAGCCCCCGGGGTTGCTGACTTCGGCGTCGAGACTTAATGGTTGGTAGCTCGGGTCGTTGGCAAACTGCTGCAGGTCTGACGGGGAGCTCCTGCTGGCATGGTGCCAGCTGCCGATCGAGCTGGTACTCCGGTCTGCGCCCGGAGTCGACGCCATGAGCGGGGGCGAACCCAAGCCCAGGCCAATTTGCTCATTGCTGCGCTTGGACGACCGTGGGAATCGCCAGCTGCGGCGGTGTTCCTTGCGTTCTGCGCGCGACGACTCTTCCGCCGCATCTACATCCGAGTAGTCCGTGAACGACGACCGGGAGTTCATCGACGGGGTGCGAGATCCGTAGGGTCGGAGCGAGGTGTCGCCCATCTGGCCGCCCTCAGTCTGCGAAGCCTGCTTTTCGGGCCGACCTTCTCGCGGTGGGCTCAGTTCATCGGAACTAGTGGTTTGGGGAGGACGAGGAGTTGCACCGCCCACCTCATTGCCAGCATCCGTCGACCGAGGCCCATGCAGAATCGCGGCCAACCCAGGCTCGGATGTCGCGGCTTGCAGCGAATGAGAAGAGCTCTGCGCACTCTCGCTCGCGCTGCCGGGAATTCGTTTCTTCTTCAACCGATTCGGCTGTCGGGGTTCCCGGCCTTCTCCGCTCGGCGGTGGTGATTTGGAGAAGAAACTCGACAGCTTGCGCTCCCGCGTCGGAGTCACCACAGCGGGTGGGGGAGATACCGTTCGCGCAGCGGGAGGCAGGCCTTCATGCAGTACCGGTCGCTCTGTGACTGGTTTTAGTGGCACGGGCTTCTCGGTTGGAGTTGACCCATTTTCAACGTTCGCCCTGGGTATCGGTCCATGGGTCGACGAGTGAACATAGACAACCCCCACCCCAGTGCCTGTCGTTGCAGGTGGAGATTGGGGGTTGCTGGGCTGTGGGCTAACCGCTGGTTGAGGGTTGCACAGTCGTGGGGGAACTGCTTGCTCGGGTACTGCTGGCGCAGGGGTCGATTGCACGGGAGGCCGGCCTGGCATGAGCTGCGCAGGGATGGGCGGCCTAGACGCAGGCTGCGCTTCGCTGGGTGGAGGGACAGGAGAGGGCTGGGTGTTATTAACGGTGGTAACGTTAGGTGATTGGATGGTAGTACTGGAGGTGCTGGACGGGGTTTTGTCCTCCTCCTCAACTGTGGGTGGCGCACGGCTGGACGATCGGGAATGTTGCGCGGAGGTGCGATTCGACGAGTTCAACCCGGTCGACTCAACAACCCGTCCATAGCGATGGGGAGGAATGGCTGGGGACATCTTGGAGGGCAAGGTGTTGCTGCGATGCACACCCGCTCCACTCATCGAGGGTGGCGTCGCCGGGCTGGCGTTGTTCGAGTTGCGCGAATTCCGCGACGAGACAGACACATTCCTGCGAAGGCTTTCGTACTTGCGGAAGCTCTCCCCGCCGCCACTAGCACTCGAGACGGAGCGTCGGATGTTGGTGGAATGAGTAGTGGGCCGGCGCGTCACACCTCCTTCGACCTCCTTGAGTGTTTGTTCATCAGCAGCCGTCCCGTTCATTCCGAACAAGAAATGGTCCTGATTCTCAATCAAAAAGATCAGCACATCCTGGCTCAGCTTGTATTCGTCCGGCGACATGTCGTGTTGCGGATGCGACAGCAGCCCGGGCTGGAAAATAGCGGACAGGTTGGCGGAGGTCATGCGGTTCTGGTCCGATTTCGATGCGAAAACCGCGAGAAGATCCAGAATGTAGAGGAGCAATTGCTTGTTCAGAGGGGGCAACTCGCGGATCAGCTGTTGGTACGCAGCAACGGCCTTCGCATGATCAAAGGCCTCCGACTCGTTGGGAGGGGCATTGTTCTGCATTTGTTCTTGAACTTGTCTTTGGTAGGTGCGGAGCGGCTCGCGGAAACGTTCGTAAAAGTCCAAGGGGACGATCGGCTCTGGTAGTTGGTTCAGGTAGCGTCGCAGCACGTTGGCTGCGTCGTGCACTGTGTATCCCGTCCAGTCGAGGCCTTTGCCATATCGCTCGGGGGAGTCGAACACCTCTTGAAGGTCCTTGATGCGTTTGGCAGACCCGCTGAGACGAAAGATACCCTCAACGTCGGTCGCTAGACCCCTGGATCAGTCCTGGTCAGAATCAGCGAAGAGCAAGACCGGCATACCTTTCTCCTTCAAGAACACTCCACACTTGGCCACCACGATAGGCACATAGCCGTAGATGAAGCTCTCTCCGTTATCGTTGGTCAGCGAAATGGCGACATTGGCGTACTTGATGCTGACGTTGAGCGGGACGCCGAAGATACCCTGCGGTTTCTCTATAGATTCATGATCAGCGCATGACCCGCAAAAAAAAAGACTCTCGGCTAGAGTAATGGAAACAGGGAGTCGGACTCTGTCCGATGCTAAGGGGAGCAGACCGGGCCTGGACCGGATGCGAGTCATGGTGTCTCCCAGCAGTGACGCAGATCAACAGCAGATGACCGCATCGCATCTGGCACCACCCTTGCACTGCAGCCTCCCAGGCCTCAGCCTCAGATGTGTTCCTCCACGCAAACATACCTTTCGGTTCCTCCTTGCGAGTGTTCCTTTTGAACTGCCTCCACCAGGAAGCCAGATCCCGTTTCGAAGGCGGCGAGGTTGCGATGACGTCTGGCTGGGCAGTCGGGGGCGGAAGTGGGTGCAGCGGCTCCACGCCCGCGTGCGATTTGCCCGTGACCATGGTGAGGAGGAAATGCGCGACGAAGACGAGGGTTGGGAGAAAGGGGGGGAAGAGGGGCGAGATGCGACACTGGCGGTATTGAAATAGAGAAAGTAGCGACACGACCAGACCAGACCAGACCAGACCCAGCTAGCAAAAAAGAAAAAAAACCGAGGCTGCTGTCACCGCCCTCGCGTTGGCGCAAGAAATTCCGGGGCTGGGAAGCGTTGCTCCCAAAATAGCACGAGGGCTAGTCAGGCAGCGGATTAGGTGCCGCGCCGTCGGGGGGAACAGCGTACAATGGGAGGGGAAACCCGGGGAAATGGGCCCAGGTACGTCTCGAACGGTGTAGGGCGGCCGAGGGGAAGGGAAACGAGAAAGAGAGAGAAACGGGGGAGGGAGAATGTGAGAGGGGTGGATAGAAGGGGGAGAGAAAAGAAATCAGGAGGAGGAGGAAGAGGAAGAAGAAGAGGAAGAAAGGGAGACGAACAGGCAGGGATGATAGATGGGCGGGCGGGATGAAAGGGGAGCGAGCCAGAGCGTCACAGTTAGGTAGAGTAAGTTAGTTAAGTGGTAAGTGGTAATGAAGTAAGAGAGGGAAGCCACAAAAGCGAATCAATCGATTTCTCGATAGACACGGGGACGAAAAGCTGCACAACCCTGTCAGGTGTTGAATTTTGGGAGAGTGGTTGTTGTTGGAGGTGGGCTTTTTTTTGGTGTTTTTCTTTCTTTTTTTTTAGAGGTAAAGAGAAAGGAGGTAGGTAGAGAGAGGTACTGTACTGTAGGTGATAAAAAGAGGGAAGATTATCACACTCGACGTTGTCGTCGTCGTCGTCAGTTTTGCACACACCCACACTCTCACTCGTTCCCAATCACTAGCAGACCACGCACACACAATCCACTTCAAGAGTGGACTGACAGAGAGAGGGCTGACTTTTGGACCCTCCGACAGGGTGTGCGTGCTGGTCGATCCGGGGATGAAGAGCCAATGACCATCATCGGCAAAAGGGGGGCAAACGGAGGAAGGAGACTGGACCAGAAGAGATCGTCAAAGACCAAAGACGGACACGAGTCTGGTACTGGACTGGATTGATGATGGTGATGGATGGGGGGGGGAATGAGGAAATTGGAGAATGAATGAATGATTGATTGTTGGTTGATGATTGATGGACGTCAGTCAATTAATGGGGAATAATAATAATTTGGAGGGCGGGACCGGAGGAAGAGAGAGCAAAAGAGAATTGACAATTTTGACAGAAGGAGAGTAAGTCAAAAGGTAAAGGATGGGGAACAATAATGCCCGCCCCTCTCTTTAGGATTGATCGCCTATCGGATGTGAGGTATGTAAATTGGAAGAGAGAGTGCGTGTGTGTGTATGCAATTGAGTATAGATTAGTTAGTGAGTTACTTGGTCTAAGTACTGTACATAGCACTGTACCGTAGACTTAAGACTATCAATTATCAAAAACGAGGGAGGAAGGAAAACGATTAAATGTCAATAATTCTCCATCTTATTAATCTTCCGGAGCGGTGCATCGAAAAGATGTCGATGATTATCATTCGAACCCACTTCGAATGGATGTCTCCTCGAACCAGTTCCAGGGATCCAGGGTTTCTGGCACGAAACGACAGAAGCACAGGGGGGGTCCCTGGGCTTTCCCTTTCCCTTTTTTTCTCCCGTCTACCCTTTTACCCTTTCCTTCAGACCCATGATCCGACGGTTCTGGCCCTGGGTCTAGTCAGTCTACCAAGTTAGGCGGTTCTTCAATCATTCCGTTACGACGGTTGGATTAATCTGCTGCTAACTACTGCAGATCGAGCCACTAACAGGAGGCCCAACAGAGTGAGACACTCAATCCATCTAAACTGCTAGTCTACTAGGTAAGCAGTCTAGTCAAGCCCACCAAAAAGGGACCCCATCCAGTCTAGTCTGGTCTAGTCCTACGTGGTGAAGAAAAACACCAGACTCGGTGGATGACTGATGCAGTTCGCAGTTGACTCCACGCGAAGCAAGAATGAAGATGACCAACTGTTCGTTCGTTGTGAAACGGTCTGGGCCAGGTTGATACATTTCTCGGTAAGAGCCACGCAAGAACGCAAGAGAAAAGAAGGGGGAAAAAGGGAAAAGCCCCATTCTTGTTCTCTCCGTCTCCTACTTTCTGTCTTCTAGGCCTCCAGGGCGTGTCCTAAAAATATGAATGGGCCAGGATCGTGGTGCCTGTCGGTCTGCCTGTCAGCAGATGCAACCCTTGGTAGTAGTAGTAGTACGTAGTCAATACATTCGGTAGTTGAATGGCTCCGTCACTGCTCCGTCCCCTTCAGTTTCCCTTTCTTGCCCCTCCCACAGAAACAGTAAAGGACCACTCCATGACGAACTCTACCGCGGTTCACCCGATCAGCAACTGGCTTACTCTGTACTGTATACTCCGTACTATACACCCCAAAGGTTAGGTGGCTGTCAGCCCAAACGGCCCGACACTGGACCTAGGCGGACGGATTATTCAGCGGGATCGCAAGTGTTGGTGGAAAACAATAAGATCTTCTTCTCATCCCCTCTTTATTGTCCGGTCATGCCGCTGCCGATCCTGGAATTGAGAAAGAGACGCACGGATTGTATTGTAGACCTGGGGGAGGGAGGGGAGAAAAGGATTGGGTGGACTGAGGCGGTACCTAGTAGAGTTTCGTACGGGGCAGGGGAAGAGGATATTTCCCTTATTCCCTTTCATTCCCTAATGATCGAGCATCGACCGTCGTCCAGATCCCAGGGTGGTGATAGTGCCAACCATGGTTCTTGGGGCCAGCCAGACAGTAGGTCGGGGTCCAGGACTCCCCCAGCTGGGCGTGTGCTTTTTTTAAACTGTGCCGCAAAGGGCTGACGGTTGTCTCGTCTTGTACGGCGTAGCGTCTCATCCACGGTCGCCTCAGGTCCTGCTCGATGGAGCAACCGACGGAACCGAGAGGTTCCGGATTTCAGCTGAGTCAGACATGGTTGCTTCACGTGATGAGACGGGTAGGAGACAGCCGACTTCACGTGATTCACGCTCAAGTGATGACACGTGATCGCCGCAGAGCCTGCGGTCCGCTGTGAAGCTCCGGAGCTGGTCGTCATCGAGGACTATCAAAGTTGCTTGCTGTGTGCATTCCCTGATTTCCTGAACACTTCTACCATTCACCCCAACTTAATATCACCATGGAAGGGTACGTGTCAAGACATGCATCTGCGACTTCGAAAATATTATTCCCACAAGATCATCTGCTGACCAGCCTAGACTCAATGCCTCGGAACAGCGCGAGCTCGCTGCCCGCATGGAGAGAAAGCAGCTGAAGGAGTTTATGACTGTACGTACCTATCTTATCCCAAGGCTGTTTCCGATTCGATTCCCCTCGCAGTTTGCCCTGTGACCGTGCCAAGCTCTACCACCGCCTACGATAAACTTATCCCTAGCTACCGCTTTCCACCCAGTTACTGACCCTGCCGGTCCTTCCAGATGTACTCCAAGCTCGTGCAGAAGTGCTTCGACGACTGCGTCAACGACTTCACCACCAAGTCCCTGATCAACCGTGAGGAGAGCTGCGTGATGCGCTGTGTTGACAAGTACATGAAGGGTTCGGCCCGGTTGAACGAGCGGTTCCAGGAGCAGAACGCGGCCATGATGCAGCAGGGCCAGATGCCGGGTCGGTAAACTGGTGCTTTGTACGATCTTGTCTTGCTGGGTAGTTCTTGCATTCGGTTTGGCGAACTGTGTATAAAATCTTTAGAATTCAACGACGAGCTCCTGGTTTCGGAAGATATATGATGTTCTGGGAATGCTGTTGGTACGATCAGTGCTTTAGATGCGTGGTACGAGCCGGCGTACAGTGTAGTCTGAGCTCATGCTTGAGTGCGCACCAACTCGGATCGAATGAGCCATGCAGCACACGATGGTAGGAGGATAAAAGCCTCGTGAATTGGATCTTGTCGAGGCTGCACACCAGATCACCTTAGTCATCCTACCAAAATAAGTCTCATATCGATGGAGCAGGCATTGTACACGTAGGCTCAACTCATGAAGCTCTTTCCGGTCAATTCGTAGGTCCCCTCGTCTGCCGTCCCGTCATTCCTCAATCATTCGGTTGCTGCGCAGGTCCCAGACATTGTTCCTAAGGTGTCGAGAAAGTATACAATCAAATGCTTGCTTTGGTACATTGTCGTCAGCAAAATGAAACCCCGAACAGACTTTCAGTATGTCCGGATCATGAGTACAAGCTCGTATCTGCCATCGACCCCTAACCTACCACGCAAACTCACCACGACGACCAACCTGCCTTGCTGCCCCCAAATCAGGAAGCGGTGGAGCAGCCGACATCGGGTCGACGAGAGCGACCCATCCCGTACATAGATAAAGTAGTACTCGAGAGCAATCTTTCGCACTACGAAAGGAAAATGTCTCAATTGGATGTCTTTTGGAGATAGGCCGAGACTTCGCCGATAAATGTATCTCTCTGGACGACGATAATCGATAAGGGCGATAGGTACCCCCTAGTATTGGTGGCGACGAAGGAATCGGGCACGGTGCCAAGCGGCCGGAAAATATTGCCCTTTCTGTGAATCCACACTAAGATGACTCAAAAGTCTCAAAAGTCTCAAATGATAAGAGGTGGTGGGGACGGACTGGACGGAGTGGGGACGGAGCTTACTGGGTACATTTTGGCGTGTTTGCATAGTTTGCAGCATGACTAATCCCATACTGCATCTGCTATGAACCTTGAAAAGTACGATTGAAGGATGCGATGATGCGATGATGCGGAGAGAATGAGGGGCATTCCGTGGCTATGCATGTTGAGTTGCACTCACTATCGGCTTCACTGCTCCTCTTATCCTCCGCCTCGGATGCTCCTCCGAAGCCATAGCCTAGCTATAGCCTAGCTATAGCCTTGAGTGTTTTGCAGGTAATTGAGTAAATTGTACGTATAGTAAATACCGTGCCCCTCACGCCTTCTCCTCTTCTCTTCTCTCCTCCTCTTCTCATCCCCTCCCCTCCCCCTCATCGGCAAAACTCCAACTCCACTTCTCCCACTTCTCCCTGCTGTCTGTCCGGTTCGAGCAATTTATTCCCGCCCGGACCACTTTACTTTCCACCGCTTTCTTTTCATCTTCCATCATCTCTCTTTTCTTTCTTATATCCTCCCCCCCCCCCCCCCACACCTGCCTTCCCTTGGGTCCGTCTAAGCTACCATCTTTGACCTGATACCCATCGTCATCACAATGGCTGACACCGTAGGAAAGGTGAGCTACCCACCCCTCCATAGCTTGGTGTCACCCGCGTTCTCTCGCTAACTTGTCTTCTCTAGACCATCACCTGCAAGGTGGGCAGCTTCGTCTAACGGACCCAAATAGCACAATCCAATTGATTTGATCTCAAAAATCTAGGCTGCTGTCGCCTGGGGCGCCGGAGAGCCTCTCTCCATCGAGGACATTGAGGTCGCGCCTCCCAGGGCTCACGAGGTTCGCATCCAGATCCACCACACCGGTGTCTGCCACACAGGTCCGTAATATATCTACTGCGTGGATTTGCTTTGTCCAACTGACCCCCGTCAGATGCCTACACTCTCTCCGGAAAGGACCCGGAGGGTGCTTTCCCCGTCGTCCTGGGTCACGAGGGTGCCGGTATCGTCGAGTCCGTCGGCGAGGGCGTCACCTCCGTGAAGCCCGGCGACTATGTCATTGCTCTCTAGTGAGTATATCTGCCTCTCATCAATTTGACCTCGATTTAACCACCGGGTCAGCACCCCCGAGTGCCGGGAGTGCAAGTTCTGCAAGTCCGGCAAGACCAACCTCTGCGGCAAGATCCGCGCCACCCAGGGCAAGGGTGTCATGCCCGACGGCACCTCGCGCTTCAAGGCGCGCGGCAAGGACCTCCTGCACTTCATGGGCACCTCGACCTTCTCGCAGTACACCGTGGTGGCCGACATCTCGGTGGTGGCCGTGACGCCCAAGATCCCCACCGACCGCTCGTGCCTGCTGGGCTGCGGTATCACCACCGGATACGGCGCCGCCGTCGAGACCGCCAAGGTCGAGGAGGGCTCCAACATCGCCGTGTTCGGCGCGGGCTGCGTCGGGCTGTCGGTGATCCAGGGCGCGGTCAAGAACAAGGCCGGCAAGATCATCGTCGTGGACGTCAACGACGGTAAGGAGGCGTGGGCCCGCAAGTTCGGCGCCACCGACTTCGTCAACCCCACCAAGCTCAGCGGCAAGACGATCCAGGAGCAGCTGATCGAGATGACCGACGGCGGCTGCGACTACACCTTCGACTGCACGGGTAATGTCGGGGTGATGCGCGCGGCCCTGGAGGCGTGCCACAAGGGATGGGGCCAGAGCATTGTGATTGGTGTTGCCGCTGCCGGGCAGGAGATCTCCACTCGCCGTAAGTTTCTCTGTCGGTGTATCGAGGGCGATGTGCTAACCTCGTGCAGCATTCCAGCTGGTTACCGGCCGTGTGTGGAAGGGATGTGCCTTCGGTGGGATCAAGGGCCGCACGCAGCTGCCTGGCCTGGTTGACGACTACCTGAACGGCCAGCTGAAGGTGGACGAGTTCATCACGCACCGGGAGAAGTTGGCGGACATCAACACCGCGTTTGAGCAGATGAAGCAGGGCGACTGCGTTCGCTGTGTGGTTGATATGTCGTAGATGAAAAGTTATGACTGAAATTGAAGCTGAATATTGAATGCCATATGAATTACCGAATCCACCCATGCGCCGACTGCTCTACTTCCGGCTGTGCTGTATATATGTTAAGCTGTTCCGCAAGGTCCTCATGAGGACCTGGTAGACAAGCAGCAAAATGAAGATCAGTCTGTACCCCGCCAGAGACATAAGACCATGCTCCCAAGTATAGAAGAACACACCACCGTCCAAGCAAAGAACATACGTTATAATCTTCCCGACCAAAGAACAACGTACTTAATCCCAGATATCATACATCTACCACAAATCCCCACCCCTATCTCCAAACGCACCCATTATCTCCTATCCCCCCACACCCAGATAACAAACCCCTCTATCAAGACGAAAGTCGGCCAACTTCCGATGGCCCCCTGCATAGGCCGTATCCGACAGTACCCGCCCACGGCAGCAACTGAGGGGAAGAAGAGGGGTTGAGTTCGAGTACACAGATAACTGTCGACAACGCAATAGTATTGTATCTCCGATGACGGAGTCCAGTCCCCAGAGAACTACCTCCCAGCATCCAACCAGCTATATAACCAGCACCAGCACCAGCACGAACACACACACAACACATACCCAAACACCAAAACCAACACACTCAGTCCCAAACCCACCCACCAATCGACACACCACACCCTCTCACCTCCACACCCGTGACCCCCAAGAACCGAACCCAAAATGCCTCCCCCCAAGACCACCGACCCCATCCCCCTCCCAGCGCCCTTCTCCTCGATCCCCCGCCTCGCGCTAACCCTCGGGCCCTCCCCGATCCACCCGCTCCCCCGCATAACCGCCGACCTAACCACGCCCACCAACCCCGTCCACATCTACGCCAAACGCGACGACCTCTCCTCGCACCTGGCCTACGGGGGCAACAAGACCCGGAAACTGGAGTACATCCTCGCGCCCGCGGTGCTGCCCCCTGCCCAACAAACCAACCAAACCCCCTCCCCTTCCACCACCACCACCACCACCACCACCACCACCTCCGGGGAATGGCGCAAAGCAACCACCCTCATCTCGATCGGCGGCCTGCAATCCAACCACACGCGGCAAGTGGCGGCGTGCGCCGCGCACCTGGGGCTGAAAGCGCGGCTGATCCAAGAGAACTGGGTGCCCGACTACGCGGCGCACAGCCGCGTGTACGACAAGGTGGGCAACCTGCAGCTGTCGCGGCTGATGGGGGCGGACGTGCGGATCCACCTCCCCACGGAGTTCGGGATCGGGGAGAAGGAGACGCTGCGCGCGCTGGAGGAGGAGTGTCGGGGCAGCGGGGAGGTGCCCTACTATATTCCGGCGGGGGGGTCGGATCATCCGCTGGGCGGGGTGGGGTTTGCGCGGTGGGCGTGGGAGGTGAAGCACCAAGAGGAAACGGTGCTGGCGGCGGGGGAGAGGTTCGACACCGTGGTGGTTTGTGCGGTGACGGGGGGCACGTTGGGGGGGATGATTGCCGGGTTTAAGTTGCTCGAGAAGTTGGATCCCGAGGGGGAAGGAGGCCCGAAAAAGAGGAAGGTCGTCGGCATTGATGCGAGTGCGAAGCCGGAGGAGACGCGCGCCCAGGTGTTACGCATTGCGAGGGTGACTGCGACGCAGATCGGGTTGACCGAGGAGGATATCGCCGAGGAGGATGTGGTTCTGGTCGAGGATTATCATGCCGGGCTGTATGGCGTGCCTGACCGGCAGACCTGGGAGGCCATTGAGTATGCGGCCCGCATGGAGGCGTTTATCACCGATCCGGTCTACGAAGGGAAGAGTTTCGCCGGGATGGTGGATTTGATTCGCAAGGGGAAGATTACGGGCAATGTGCTGTATGCTCATCTGGGGGGGCAGCTGGCGCTGAATGCGTATACGGATGTGGGCGAGAGGCAGGAGGGGGTGAATTAGGCTGACGTTTATGGAGAAGACAACGCATGTCAAGCTATCAATCAGCGATCCAAGTTGGTTTGAAGCAACGCATATCAATGTATTAATGAGTGACTAAAGTTGGCTTAAGTGATGAGCTATGGATGGTAGTGGCAAGTAAAAATACTACCCCTACAAAAGCTTGTGCTCAAGAGTCATCTCAGACTCAGGCTGCAGGCCAACACACGCCCGGAAGATGTTGGTCAAGGCGTTGCGCTGCTTGGCCAGCGAGTTGACCACCGGAGTGCCAGGGGGCGTCAAAGGAGCCTTGAGCATGTAGCTCAGCACGCTGAGCACGCTGTGGAACCCACGGTACTCCTCAGCCTCATCCGCCTTCCAGCTGATGCGGGTCATCATCTCCGCCACCAACACCAGATCGATGATCAGAGGAGACGCCAACAGCGAGTCCTCGCAGATGTTGAACAGACTGATCGTCTGGTGGCCTCCCATGAAGATCTCCGCGTAGTACTCGTCCAGCGCACGCTTGTTGTCGCCAACAGCCGGCATGTACTTGATCACAACGGTGTGGTCAGGGTGCTCGTCCTCCGCATACAGGATCTTGTTGGCAGCGACCATGTCGTCCACCACGTTCGACTTAGAGATCTCCTTGGAGCGGAACTGCTTCTGCGAGCTCAGGTTCTTGCCGTCGTTGTTGCCCAGGTGGTTGTAGCTGGCAATCGAGGTGAGCTTGATACCCGCGTTGATCAGGAAGTCGACAAGGGCACTCTTCATCTTGGTCTGGCCAGACTTGAAGTCGTCGCCACCAATGAACGCTCCGTACTTCTCCGCCAGCTGAAGAGCTCCGGGAACGAAGGTGTTCTGGGGAGAGCCGTTGATGAAGGGAATATTGTCGAGGATACAAGCAACAGCAAAGACAGTCGAAGGAGAGACCTCGAGGTGTCCATCCTTGATGGCCGCCAGCAGGTTGTCGGCGGTGTCATTGACGCCCGGCACAATGTCGGCATACCGCTCAGTGTTGGCAGTCCACATGACCACGACCTTGTCGAGACCGTTCTGGGCCTTGAACTCACGCATGTCCTTCTGGATCTGCTCCACGTGAGCCCAGCAGGCCTTGGATCCCTTCAGCACGTTGTCCGCCCGGTCTTCCTGGTTGGCAGCAATGAAGTCCGGGTAGTAGATACTGGGCAGGGGCTTCATCTCGGCCATCTCCTTGCGCACCAGCTGCTTGAGCCCAGGCTCAAGAACTTGGGCCCGGTCCATCGCGTCCGCCAGGTTCATGCTGCTGATGTCCCAACCACCAACGACCAGGTCATTGGGGTGCACCATGGGCAGCATGTCGTGGAAAGGGATGTTGATCTCCTCGCCCGTCTTGGCGTCGGTGCCCAGCTTGATGGTCGATCCCATCACCACAGACCCATAGTAGTTGGAGGCACGCATGCCCTCGCGGGTCTCCCAGCTGAGGCCGCGGCGGTTGGCAATGAGACCGGCAGTCACGGTGGAGCCGTTGTTTCCACCCCAACCGACCATCATCACACCGACTTTGCCCACCTTGCGGTCGACCTTGAAGTGGTAGTTGGTAGCCTTGGGAGTGGCTACCAGCTTGTTGTCGGCCGAGCGGGTGACCTCGGTGGTGTGGTACACATACTGACTTTTGATCTCGGAATCGGTGTACACGACATTGGGCGAGTTGACGGTAAACAAAGGAGCGGTACGCGCAGACCCGTTCACGGCGCCATTGGCAACAACATCCGAACTAGCGTGGGGAGCCATTGTATTGACAGAGGATCGGAAGCGTTTCGGAATAGAGAGTGGTTAAGGATGGCAAATTAAGCGTTTATTGAATGTGATATGCGCAGTCCGATGCTCCACCACGGTTGGATGAGCGCCGGCCGTTGAACGGGTGGTGCCGTCTAGAAAGAGAACTGTTAGCTCTGAACCTGAATTTGGAAAAGTGATTGTGGACGCGAATTGCTCCAAGGGAAGGACCAATTGCTGTTCCGGGCAACACGATGCTGCTGCAGTGCCAGGTGCCAGGTGCCCGGTGCCCGTTGACAGCAATCCGGGGGTGGGGGGCGCGGGCACTCACGAGTTAAGAAGTGTGGAGAAAATTTTGACGGTGGTATGAGATCACGCCTCGGGCAGAGTGTGATCGAAGAAAGGTTGAACTTGGGAGAAGTTGGTTTACGAAACGAAGATATGGAAGTTTGACGGTGGGTGGAAAAGAAAAGGGAAGGGGAAACTTTTGGAGGGGAGTTGCTCTGGGTTCCTTCTTATAAGACAGACAAACCAGGTAACTTACGGACGGAGCAGCTCGGCTCCCGCTGGGCGAGTCCGCAATCGTCCGCCCTCGTCCGCCCGTCCAGCTCCGTCTCTCAACAAGTTCGGGGAAGCGACCCTCATAACTTACCCACTACCCACTACCCACTACCCACTACTGCTCGCGCTAGTTGTCCCAACTTCGAACTACCAGTATCTACCGGACCAATTCAGGCGAGTATGCTTAATTGAATTTCTCCGGAGGTACTTATTCTAGATGTGTTGGCAGCCTGCAACAGGAGAATTTCCTCCCAGAGGTTGCGGTGAGCCCCGCGGAGACCAACCTCCCTGCGAGACAGCTGTTGCGCCGATTCTTTTAATGTTGTGGATCTTTACTGGATGATTTGCATAGCCAGTGGATAGCCAGAGTCATGAATCGTGCGTTATGCAGACACTTTTGGAGTAGTAATGACTTAGGTATACTGCTTGATTGACTGTGTACTGCATATACATAGTAAGTAGATCGTGGTCAATTTGCCCATGCTAATCTGCCCGCACGTGCTCCTCAACCATAAATTTCAATTAGTCCGGCATGCTACCCCTGAGACCGCTGGACTCGTACCCATTTCCACGGAGGGGACATCACCTCCCAGCAGCAGGCATAGTGGACCATGGGATGGCAGGTACCCGCGGGGCTCCGCTTCGCCGACAGTTCATCGACATACTCAGTAAGAAACCAAGTTCCTGGGGAATCAGCATTACGCAGTCTTCATCCTGCACCAGTACCAAGCCATGCTGCTGCTGCAAGCCAGTCTTTTGGGAAGACGCAATGTTGCGGTGAGCAACAGCCAGCTCGGCAGAAGTTGTTCCATGGTTGCCAACTCGGCCCCTGAATTTATGCATCGGTAATGCTGTTTGCGGAGGCTGCGGAGTGCTCTGCTCCTCTCTTATTGCCTGATCGCCTCGCTTAGCACCCGGCACCGCGCACTTGGAATTATGCTGCCTGCCTGCGAGGTCTTGGGAGTTGGGACACGACATCAGTCGTACGTACCCCCGACTGCCCTCTAGATTAGTTCATGTAGGGTTTGTGCTAGTCATCTGGTGCTGGACGGACAAGGGATGGTTTAGGGGGGGTGGGGGGGGGGAACTATGTCAGGTGACCATTCCCCGCTGCGGACTTTCAGGCACCACCGGCTCACAGCCTGTAGTGCCTTAGGCCGCCAATCGTTGCCTCCAGCTGAGGGCAGGGGAGGCGGCTTTTCTCTCAGCATCCTCCACCAATAAATTAACCATCCACCATCTCAAGCCGGGTGCTGACCTCTCGGCTGGAGGAACCGGGCTGCAGTAGTTGCAAGCAGGGTTCCTTTGACCGCACAACGATGTGATCTCACTTTTGTTCTTCCGTCGATAGCCAGACACGGCACAGCCGTTGGCCCCCAATTGAGGCTTTTTGTTTAGTCGAAGTCTGTATACGAAAGATGCTACCCTCTACGCACTATAGCGACCTTTTGTAGACTGGTTCGGCGCTAGATAGGATGAGACGGCACACGCCGGAGTCCGGTCCCGGGTCCTTCGCTTGTGCGCAGGCATCCTCGTAGTAGACGTCCAGGGTGCCAGCATCCCCAGAGGTGAGTTCTAATGGTCAATCAGTCAGCATCTACCCGCACGCTGTGTACGCCTCACGGTCACACATTCCAGCCATTGACGATGACACGCCGTCGACTGACTTCATGAGCAGCATCAATTGCCATAAACCTGGAAGACTCAAAGTTGAGCGTGATGTGCAATTGCCGACCACCGCATTCACTGCCGTCGTCGACACGAACCATGGGACGGGGTGGTTACCGCTTGTTGTGGCCTCCAAGCCTAGGATCAACCTGGCGCAGTGTTGATCTGCGCCGCAAGACGGGATAGCAGCACCTGGAGGACCGTCTGAGCCAGGCACTAGTGCCGACTCGCCTGATGGACCACCTCCTCTGCCCGCTCGCGCGACAAGCATTGTCTGTCACAACGATCGGCGGCGGCCTACCAAGGGTTGACACTCAGCATTTTCGGTATCGTGACCTCCCGGCTCCCGGTCCACTGCCCCAGACCTGGTCTCCCCTTGCATTCGCGACGGTCGGGAATTAATGACATTTATGGTTTGCGCATGGGATCTGCCTGTCCTTGCGGGGTTCACCCATCTTATCCATCGGGGGGTAGTTGTGTGGTTGTAATGAGCCAGACAGTCGAAAGCAAGGATGCAGTCCTGAGAGTAGAAAACCCCATTAGGATCGGGAATGGACAATCGCACGAACTTTAATGCTGGGGATAGATCCCAATGAGATCACTTGGAAACCAAGCCCAGCGTCACAGGAGGGAGGCTCGTGCACTGAAACGAACAAGCTGCAAGTCGGGATCAAAGAGGCAGCGTTCCCCGTGATCCATGATCATGAAACCACAAGGCTTTTGGGTCGTGAAGTAGGTGGGTGGGTGGAAGGAATGGGGCTAGTTGTTGCAAAACATAGAGACCAGGAAGCAGAAGAGGACGACAACTAACCGTGTAACTAATGGACCCTTTGCATCAGACCATGGGGTGTGCATAACCCCTGAGCCACGATCGGCAGTGGAGGATGACCGGTTCAGGGGGGGCGAAGATGACGGACTGATCGCTCACTATGATCGGAACCAGTTTTGCCTCTAGAAAACTCAAGAATTCCCCTGGAATCACTTTGTCTTCGTGATTGGAGGGGAGGGAGGTTGGACAATCAGGGGTAATGATTATAGTACGGAGTAGATATTTAAAAATAAGTCGTCAAACACTGATGGAGATAGTCTACCAAACATAGTCAGTCTCCTGATGCTGGGACTCGTCACAGTGCGTACGTCCAGTAAGGACTGTTCGAGATAGTTGTATGGTGGATTGCATGGTTGCAATGATCCAGACCGAGCCAGAATGGCCATGGAAGCATGAGTGAACCACCAGCCTCACTATAATGGCTAGCAATTATGATTGTTGTGCACAGTCTGTGTACTGTACAGCCCGGGAGTAGAGTCTGAGAGTCATGCAGAACGCAATGTTGGATATGAGGGCCAATCACCGTCCACTGGATGGGGCAGGGTTCGTGGATCTTGATAGGAAATTCATCCCATGAAAACCCACACGAGGCTTCATTTGGAGATGCTTTCCTTTTTCTGTGTCTTGTGCGTTGCGAGGATTGCAGGGGAAGGCAAAAGCACCAAGTTCACGGACAATAAAGAATAAGAAAGAATAAACAAGACAATCAACTTAGTTCCATGTTCCAATTCCACCTCCCAAACCAACCTAATCCACCTAAATATCCCAACTCGGACTAGTGTTGGTTCCTTAGGCTGACGGCGACGGGATCAAACCGTCCAAACCGTCCAAACCAGACCCAGACCAGAGACGCTCCCCCAAATCCCAGATAGTCTAACGAAAAAAAAGGACTGGACAAACCGACCAGCTCAAAACTAATTCGACTATTAGTATTTTGGATGGGCCTTTTCCACCCAACCCAATCCCCCCCCCCCCCCTTCTCCTCTTCTTTTGTTGACAATGAGTGGTTCCTGACCGACTTACTTCCCTTTGGTGTTCCTGCTCCCTCCTCAGTATCCATGCGTCTCTAACCCAGCGACTTTATTCCCCCTCCCCCATTCTCCAGATCGTCTCTTCTATCGTACCCATTCACCATCAGTCTCCGGGGGTGAAAAACCACCTTGGGTTTCTCATTCGACTTCTCTCAATTTCTCTCCAGTTTGAGAGCGGTCTCTCCGTTGGTCAGTCCAATGGTCTAACCACTCGCGAACGTTGCGTGTGCCGTCTGGTATCATAGACCCCGTGAGATTACCGTGCCCAGCATGGCTCCCAGCATGGATAGGGGCTTTTTGCCCAAGATCAAATGCTCCAATTGCGGGATCGATGTTGAGATCTCCGCCATGGGAGACCATGTGTGTGCCAAAACAGATCCAGGTAGCACTCTCCCCTACTTACCGCGTCATGTACCACTTTTTAACTTCTTAAATGGTAGTTCCCCCACAATCACCGCCTCGCCCGCCTTCGAAATCGAGCATTGGATCACCACCCAAAGCAGGCAATGCGTGGGCTGCCAGAGCTGCGAGGATGAATCCTCCGCCACGCATTGATCCTTCGGTAGCCAGTATGTTGTTCCTCCAGACCTGACGACGAAACCACCGCTTTCTCATCAGTGATACCACTTTGCAGATCGGCCGTTCCTGCGCCCGCACAGTCCCCTAGACAACAAAGACCTCCTCGTCCCCTCTCCTCTCTCCACCGCTACTTCAGGCGGGCCACGCTCGCCATTGCGTCCGCTTCAACGTAGCCAGACCTCACCTCTGCCAGAAGAACCACAATCCCCAGACTCAATCAACATGGAAACTGCATTTGCCTCCTTTCCTCTGCCCCGATCGATGTCGGATAGACGTCCAAACGTCGGTCCAGACGCCATGGGAGCAGGAAGGGTTGCTCCTCTCCAGCCAGCACGTCATGCCAGCAGCTTGAGTCGAGATGGTCAGAACGCACCCGTTGAACTGCCGGCCGATAACGAAATACCACCTCCTCCACTACCTAAAGACGGCCCTCCTCTCCCCGGCGCCTCCCACAGATATGGTGCATCAATTGATAGCAAAAGCAGCTATCGAACCTCGGTGGCTAGCACGCGGTACAGCGACCATCGGGCCTCCAAACGATCGGCCTCCATGTCCAGCCGGCGCCCCTCGTTTGGCAGCGTATCCCGCGAACACCTACAATTCATTGACGAAGAGGCACCCCCGGTGCCGCCCCCAGCACCTCAGAATCTGCTACTTCCAGCACGACTCTCGGGAGCCGAGCTTGCCGAGAAGCCGGAAGGACGAGGTGAAATCTACAGTGGATTTGATTTCGGTGTGTCAGCCCGGCCAACGAGTGCCAAGGCTGAGATCGATCATGTTGGGGCCGGGTCGCTTCGAGTATCGTCGCACACAAATCGTAGCTCTGACAGACTGAGTAGTAACCGCGGGTCCGCGGAGCTGTTCTTCCAAAGTCCTACCCCGAGTCCGAATGAGGCTCCCGTTGATTTTGAGCTTCCAGACGAGCCAGCCGCCCCGTCCAGCGTGGAGTACAAGGCTTTCAACCCAGTAACTTCGGAACACCTGCAGCCGGCCGATGCTGAATCCGCAAGTACTCCAGAAGAAGGCAACAAGCAAAGGAAAGATTCCGATTCCGCAAGCGAGAGCAACATCTCAGTTTCCAACTTCGCCCGGGCTCTGGGGCTCGATGTTCCGGATCATGCCGCCGAGAGCTCAATCACGTCGTCGGATTCATCGCCATCTGACACTCGCAGCGGCACTTCCTTCTCTAGTCTACCATCCGACGCCAGTCTCTCGCGGAGGCAACCTTCGGACCCCAGCCGCCTCGGCTCGGTGGTAGAAGAGCTCAAGGGTGGCGCGCGCGCGAAGGAACCCGTGCTGGACGAGCCTGCCACGGAAAGTCCGATTGATCTCGAGCCTCCTCGCATTACGGAGCACCTATTCAGCCCGGATTCGCCGACTGACCCAGCCATCTCTCAGGGGAGCTTATCGCTCGTGTCGGAGAAACTGCCACGAAAAGCAGACGATCATCAGCCCGAGCGACCCACTATGCTCCGCTCTGTGACGGCACCCGCCCCATCCCCGGCCCCGGCCCCTCGCCCGTCCCCACGCCCGAAGGGGCCTTGTCGCGGTTGCGGTGAGATGATCTTGGGCAAGTCCGTGTCCTCGGCCGACGGCCGTCTCACCGGCCGGTACCACCGTGCCTGCTTTGTCTGCTTTCAGTGCAAGACCCCTTTCCAGACTGCGGATTTCTATGTCCTTGAGGACCGACCTTTCTGCGCTCAGCATTACCATGAACGCAACGGCTCCCTCTGCGCTACATGTCACACTGGTATCGAGGGGCAATATCTTGCGACGGACGAACGTCGCGGCCGCGGTCCGGGCGACCGTCAGAAGTTCCATCCCGAGTGCCTCAAATGCCGCACATGCGGCATTGCTCTGAACGGGGACTATTTTGAGTGGTATGGCCAGGTTTACTGCGAGCGCGATGCTCGACAAGCAGCGGCTGCATCGATGGCTCCCCCTCGGCCCCCTCGCTCGCCCATGCCCATGTCTCCGATGGGACCCCCTGGTGGTCGGGGCTATGGACCACCTCCGGGGTACGGTGGTCGCGGTCGAGGCCGACCGCCTCCTGGCCCTCGTCCTGGCTCCTCTGCCAGCCAAGCTCCTCCCATGCCCATCCCAATGCTGCGTCCTCCAGGGCCTGGGGACGGGCCATATGGAGCCATTGGAGCCCTTCCCAGCTCTCGACGATTCCCTGAACGACGCACCACCAAATTGATGATGATATGATAATAAGTACATTGATGGACGTGATTCCAGCCAACATTCGTAATTTCTAGTTTTCCTCACTCGAGAGGGACCCTCGCCTCATGGTTTTCACTGTTCGTCGCTCAAGCCTTGCCCTTTACTGCGATGACCCTAGACTCTCTTTGCTTTATACCCTTTTCGTGGTTTTCATGTTGATAGAATATTGGTTTCTCGATACCATTGTGTTCCCAGCTGCCTGGCGTTTAATGCCACTGGCTGACTGCTGTCGTTTTCTGTCTACATATTCACATGTACTATATGATGTCTATCTGGAATAGTGCTGTGATATACAGTGAATTGTGTTCTTATTATGGATATTGGTGATGCGAGCTTTCCTGTGATTGCGAAGCATGTTAATAGCGAAGCACGTATGTGCTGAGCCCTACGAATTGGCCATCGGGGGACGAGTGATCAACTACGCTAGTAAGGGATTGAAGCCTTTTGCAATTTATATACAAGCAAGTGAGTAAGGCCTCTCGCAACACCTCTGCAAGCAAGCACACGTACAAGTAAGCAAGGAAGGCTTTATAAAGCACCTTTTCCACAGATTAGATGATTATGTAGTCTTGTTTATAATTGTCATCGACTTAAAAGTTTCTGTAG